TGGGTGGCTTGTCCCTCCTCATGCATGTTGACCAGGAAGGAGAAGAAGGATCAAAGGTGCTTTTTCCAAAAGACAACTGGATTTTCTTGGTTTTTCTCCTTGACAACGTTTCACTTCTCATCCAGGAAGCTTCTTCAGTTCCTCCAGGGAAAATAAAAACCAAGAAAGTTCAGTTGCCTTTTTTGGGGAAAGCACCTTTGGGACAACCATGACCTGGATGGTTGAGAATCTCCATAGACATCTTGAAATCCGGCCTCCCATCCTTGTAACCTCCAGGTGTATAGCCTTTAATTCCCAGAGTTCTCAGCAATGGTTCTGCTCATTAGGGAATTCTGGGAGTTGAAGTCTGATATCTGAAGGAAAGTCAGGATGGTGAACCCTGTATTAATCTATAGCTAAGTGTCCCTTAGAAGGCCAGATGGTTCCTGCTTGTCAGGACCAGCCCCAGATAGTGGAGAAGTGATAGGTTTCCAAATGAAGATCAGTTCAGGAAAAACCGTGGGAGAATGTCCTCGTGCTCCTTGTTCTCGGATCTCCCAAAGCTTTGAAGGGACATCTGAACAAGCTGGCCAGAATGGATCTGTCATCTCCTACAGCCACTTTGGTATCGTCCAGACAACTCTTCTTAGATTCTTTGTAGTCATTTCCAATTTGGATCACAAAAAAGAAAGTGTGAGAATAGTTCTAGGAAGAAAGGTTGTGGAGCAACCTGGACCCCAGGTAGGCTTCTGGCGAAAGCTGGACCCCAGGTAGGCTTCTGGCGAAATGAATCATCAGAAGTGCCACCTCTTGTGTTCCCTCTCATACTTCACATGGTGCAAAGAGGACAAGACACAGAGCCAGATGTAAGTTGTTATCTGAGGTTCTTGCTAAGTTCTCCTAGAGAACGTACATAGCTCAGAACTGAACTGTGCAGTTTTTGGTCCTCTTTGAACTTGGTTGTTTACATGCAGATGTTTCATTACCTAACTAGGTAACACCATCAGTATTAGTGAGTGTGGGGTTTGCTCCTTGTTTATATACAACAGCTTGCCCTTCCAGTGTTGGTGGGGGTGTGGTTTTCTTCTTGGTAGTTCCTTGATTAGGGCATTGTTTTCTGCTTGTTTGTTTGTCTGGTGTTAATCCCTGCTTATTATCTTAGGAATTAAGAAGGAAACAAGACCAAAATATATCCTCTCCAGCAACCAACACCCAGATAATCAGGGATTAAGACCTTACCAATGGAAAATTAGTTGGTGAAGGCAAAAAAAAAATATTGTGAAGATTTTTTTTTTTGATATCATAGTTTGCTATGTGCAAGGCGTGAAAAAAAAATGGGAGAGCATTCAACCAAGTCATAAATATACCCATAACAACAAAGGAGAATATCTGCTTGTTTTCTTGCAAGAAAACAAGCAAGCTCAGAGAGCACCAAGGGCCCCTCCTATACCCATGATTTAAACTTTCCAGAAGGGGAAAATGAGGTTATAATGAATAAACTAATTTTGTGGATTCCAACTGTGTTATCACTTGATGTGATGAAGAGAAGACTTGATGGTTGTCTTCAACGATCAGAAACATTGCCATAGTGGAGAAGGATATTCCCTTCCACTGCAGAGTCATGATGAGCAATTGACGTGACCAAAAGTGGAGGGCCAGGGTCTCTGAGAGAAGAAACTTCCTGACACTATGGAAGATCAGATGCTGGGAATAAATTGAGGCCAATTTTGTAGAGGTACTTATGAAACAATGTGATGACCATCTGTCAGGGAAGCTGTAGTTGAATGCTACAAGCGGAATCTGGATTGAGCAGGGGGTGGATTAACAGGACACCAAGACACCTTCCAATTTCAATGGTATTATTTTGTAACTCTACAACACATCGCGTTCCACCGCCCATCCCAACTCTTGATTATTCTGCACACCACATTTCCCAGCCTCCTGACAGATCCAGGTTCAGCAGACCGTTCTGCTTTCCAAACTGGACAAAAGTCTTTCTTGTTAAGCTTGGCAAATCCCAGTCATTAAGAGAGGAATTGACTCTTTATTGAGTAGTTGACTCTTCCCAAGAGATGTAAGCTAGTCTGCCAAATCGTAGCTTCCCTTGCCAAGATGCATCAGAAACTTGTGGTGCCAAAGAATAGCTTAGAAGTTTGCAACTTAACTTGTCGCTGGTGTTCCTTCACCAGCTGGTCTGTTAGCCTCAGGCAAAAGGGAGAGAGCTGGTTGTGTGAAATGCCAGGAAGTAAGTTAGGAATTTGCAAAATCTATAAATATTAAATAAGTATAGAAAGCAACTTCAACTTTCAGCATGTCCTGATTACTAGATATTAGTTGCTTCCATCGTCCCAGGAGAGTATTTTTATCGGACTGTCTGATCCCAAATACCGTCAGCCCTACTAGGTAGACTGGATTAGGAAATCAACACCATAGCAAGACTAAAGCTACTTTTATAGAGATGGGCTATAAAAACAGAATTTTGCAAGTGTTATTACACTGAACTTCTTATACTCAGGGAAGCATCTGCCTGATTCACTTCTGAATGTTATCTGGGTCTTCTGGACTTAAGCAATGTTTCAACCCCTTTTACCTAGACCAGGGGTAGGCAACCTTGGCTCTTTTATGACTCATGGACTTCAACTTCCAGAATTCCCGAGTCAGCTATGCTGACTCGGGAATTCTGGGAGTTGAAGTCCATGAGTCATAAAAGAGCCAAGGTTGCCTACCCCTGACCTAGACAATAGTTCCTGCATAGTTCTACTGAAGTCATCTTTCTTTCTCTACACCAGTGTTTCTCAGCCTTCGCAGGTTGAAGATGTGTGGCCTTCAACTCTCAGAATTTTCCAGCAAGCATGGGAGCTGAAGTCCATATAATTTTGGGAGTTGAAGTCCACATAATTTGGGGAGTTGAAATTCATTCTGGGAGTTGAAGTCCTCACTCCCAATTCTGGAAGTTGAAGTCCATCATATGCTGACTGAGGAATTCTGAGACTTGAAGTCCTCACATCTTCACACTACTAAGGTTGAGAAACACTGATCCACGGAATGTCAGGCTGTTGAAAGGTGGTGTACGTGTTCTGTACTGTCTAGTCTTCTGAGACTAGTAAGCTAGTTCTTGACTAGTTCCTGAGTCCAAGGTCCAAAAAAATGCTTCCAGCACTGAGTGCAGCAAGAGACAAATGTATTCCAGCCATGTGGGTTTCTTTGAGATGGTCAGGTGTGGAGTGTGGGATGTATGTAGACGTATGGCTGTCTGTTTGTCCGCAAATGCTGAATGCAGGACTGGATGCATCAGTATCCATTCATCTGTCACCCCAATCAAGCGAAGGAGCTTTAATTGACTTTAATAGCCATCAAATGCCATCAACAATGTTTCTTAATACACAAATCAATTAACCAGTCTGATTGGCAGGAGGAGAGTGGTCAGGTGGTGGAGAGAGGCAAGGGAGGAGCTGCACACAGCTGGTTGAAGGATGCTGGGAAAAGCATCCTTCACCGCGGCAACAGAGGCAGTTTTGCAAACAACACTGTGGTACCCTGGAGGCTTCTGTATTCAGTTCATGTTACTCTCTTAGCTTGATGTTCCAGGCTATAAATGTAGCATTTATCTTTTTAGCTCGCTCCAATCCTGCCTCCTTAGGAAGTGGCTTAGATAGAAGCAGTCATGCTTGCATGAAGTGTTGACATGCGGACGGTTTCTAGTTCAACATTCTGGCCAGTTCTTTAGACCAGCATCTTTCAGGAAGCATTTTTTCACTCACCTATCCCACCCGCCTTGGGACTAGGTTGCATTTTCACACAACCTCCAGACTGGCTACAGTCATTACGATAAGCCTCAGTTTGCTCAACCGTTGTTTATTGAATGCTTGGGTTTCCATCACACCCTAAGCCATGAAGCTCAGTTCATAAACCACCGTGACTGAGTTCATAGGGCAGGCTAAGCTAAAAACAAACAGAGCACATATTATTATGGTGTGGGAACCCCGCAACAGTCAACACACTGGGCCTGTTTTCTGTCCATACTAATTTTGTTTCAGAGTTTTCCTGTCTTGTGTTGGCTAAACTCCAAGCTTTCCCAATCTTTCAAGAGCTTCCTCTTGAATCTAGGATGATAATGCTCGATCGGTCCAAAGCAGTGTTTCTCAGCGTTAGCTACTCTCAAATGGGTGGTTTTCAACTCCCAGAGTTCTGCAACCAGCTTGCTGGCTAGGGAATTCTGGGAGTTGAAGTCTTCACAGCTTAGAGTTGCCAAGATTGTGAAACGCTGGTCTAAAACTTCACATTGGGGAGAATAGGTTTGGCAATTGTTGAGACAATACTAGTTGTGAGACGGGTAGCAAACAGTAACTTTCCACTGAGAAAATTAAGGTCGGTGGGCCATCATTCCGAAATTATGTTGCATAGGTGAAGCTTGATAGAAAAGCTAAAATTGTACAGATCTGGAATAATTGCTTGTGTAGACTGAAATGTGTGAAAGCCAATTCCTTAATGCAGGATTTAGAGGAAAAAGGATCAATTGAGATTGTTGCAAAGATTCTTAGGACCCTCCCAAAATGTAGCATGCCATCTTTCTTTCTTAAATTGGATGAACCTGACTTTTTTCCACCGGTCCTTTTCTGGAACTCAGAATCTTGTTTTCTTTCTTTATGACAGTCTGATTTATTTTATTGTTGATCTTTGCCAAGTGATCCAAAACCTATCTTGTCTTTTTTGTGGTGACACTACCTGGTCACTATGGGTCCTAGCATGGAACTACCAAACAAAACTAGATTTATTTCTTTTCTTTTTTTTTTTTTCTTTTCCATCGTGGTGCTCAGTCAATTTCAACAAAGGTGCTGCCAGAAAAACGAAGCCACAAGGCTGAATTTCCACCCTCTATTACAGGCACATACACATAGAGGCCTGTGGATATTATCTAAATCTGGACACCCAAGTTCAGAAAGATGGATTCATATTAGAACATGGAACGACTCTATCCAAACCTAGAACCTCACCAATCCTTTCTGTGTTTCCTTTGGCAGATGAATCGTCCAATCCAAGTGAAACCAGCAGATAGCGAAGGCCGGGGAGGTAGGTGGCTTTGTGTTTTTTTAAATAAACATTCTTTGTATGCTCAGCTGATTTCTCCAATGGGTGGTGCAGGCAACCACGTTGGTTTAAATCATTTTGAGGATGATGTGGTTGACGTGCTCTCGGTGTGGTTTAGAGCTCATGGGTGAAGGGTGGTCCCTATGGAGGGGGAGAACAGCGTGATGGACCGCAGTGAAATGGTAGTGTCCCAAGGAGGAGGGAGCACATTACAAAAAGGGGGACAAGACAAGAGCCCAGCCCAGAGCTGGATATGAGACAGACAAAGAGAGTTGGGCTAGCCACTCCTTAGCATCTCCCAGAGTATATCTGTTGGGTTCGAGTAATATAGGTTTGGCCTGGCAAGATTCTGTCTTCCTGGTGTGAGCAAATAAAGAACTAGACTTTGGCTGGATTGTTCTATGTCATTCTTGGGTTGGGCCTGACATCATCCTTCTCAGGAAAGAAACACAATTAGATGAGCTATATCTGCTCTAGGCTACGAGATACATCAGAATCTTACACGTTTCAAGGTACAAACTTCCCCGCCACCACTTTTAACCATCCGACGAATTAGGACAAACCCTAAATGTCTTTCTCTGACGGCTAACCAACGGTGGGCTCTTCCTTCTCTTGTTTGATCATTTCCTAGGCCAGAAGTCCCCAACATTTTGAGCACCAGGGACCGGTTCCATGGAGAGAGGTTTTTCCATGGACCGGAGGGGGCATGGTTTCATATACTGCCTGCATCCCACGGATGGGGCCTCGCTTGTTTGCGCGGACCGGTTTTTGGCATGCTGCAACCCGGTGCCGGTCCACAGACCAGGGGTTGGGGACCCCTGCCCTAGGCAGCGTCTCGTCCCCGCTTCTCCCAAGGTTTCCGTTCTATTACAATGTGGAAGCAGACCGAGAGGAACCATATTCTCTTAATATTATCATGTCTGAGGCCCTCGAATCAAATTAAGATCTTGGTTCTGCATTCTGTGCCGCTGTAGTCATCTTGTCTTTAAGTAGCTGCTTTTCCCTTTAAAAAAAAAACAAAAACAAAACAGAATTGGTATGAATGAGGCCCTTTCTTTCCCAGAAGGCAAATTCCATTAGAATTTCAGAAGGATCCTACTAATAGTGAAGTTCACCCAACTCAGGGCAAAATCCCACAGAGAAATGGTGGAGAATAGAATAAGAATAGAATAACAGAGTTGGAAGAGATCGTGTGGGGCTTCTAGTCCAACCCCCTGCTCAGGCAGGGAACTCTATCTATACCATTTCAGACAACTGGTTGTCTGAAATGGTATAGGACAGTGTTTCCCAATCTTGACAACTTTAAAGCATGTGGACTTCAACTCCCAGAATTCCACAGCCAGCAATGCTGGCTGTGGAATTCTGGGAGTTGAAGTCCACATGCCTTAAAATTGTCAAGATTGGGAAACACTGGTATAGGATGTCAAAGATCCCTTCAGCTGTTTGTGTTGAAGAAGGACTTGAGGACTATTTTGAGGGAATGCTTGTATTTGGACGCCAGTTCTTGTAGGAAAGTAGAGCTGAATGACTTTAGCGGACCCTTCAAGTCTCAGACTGCAGGATTCTAGGTAAAATAGGAACGTTGCAAATCTTTGCAATTGGCCGATCGTCGCAGTTTGAGTAAGGATGGTCCAGTGGAGGAGACAGTTTAGCTCATAGAGATGCAGAGACCTAGGTTAGCTGCAAACTTTGAAATCCTTTAAAAGCCCAGGTCCGGCACTGGACAACTTCTTCTCTCTTGTAACACAAGAGTTTGTGGAGCTTGGACTGCTCTTCCGTGCTTCTGTTCTGACCAGTGGCATTTTTGTAATAGCAGTCTCTCCACTGGCTACATTTAAATTGGCACTTTTGATACTTGGCCACTGACCTTAGAGGCAAGATACACAGTTTGCGGTTTACGCAGCAGTGAGCATTTGAGCAATTAAGCCGACCTATGTAGGAAAAAAAAAACCTAGTTTGGAGCAGCAGGTGCAGTGGTGCTGCTGAAACCCATCAGGTTGAGCCCCGAGCAGTGTCTGCTGCCTCCTCTCCCCATTTTTGACGCAATTGTAATAAAAAGCAAAAATGGAGGTAGAAAAGAACTGACCGATAGCTCTTATTGCGGCACAGACAATCTGATCTTTCAACTTTCCAGGCATTTAAGGACCCAAAAGCTGAACTCTAAGTCCACTCACCAGGCACTCTGTCCACTCACCAGGCACTCAGAATCACTGAATTTTAATTACATTTAAACGATATTTAGCTTTTTTTCCTGACCCCGCCCATTTCTTGAAGTGCAGCTTTAAAGATTTCACCAAAGCTACACATTAGCCTCGGATCCAAGATGGTGAGAGATTGACCGTTGACTTAAGAGCATTTGGTGGTTGCATTTATTTGTTTTGATCAATACCTAGAAATATTTGCAAGTCCACATTATATTCAAATAGATATTTGCATGAGAATGGAGAATTGACGGTAAAAAGAACTAGGCATCCTTGGGCACACCTGAACCAAATTCCATCTCGGTTTGCTGTAATTTGGCCAGGATACTTTGGGCATAACATCTAGGTTTAGCGCACAGTGACACCCGCCCTCTCTGGGGAGAACATCTTAAGGCTTTAGAATTGCTGTTCATGGCTGACTAGCGCCCTCTAGGGGAATGTGCTTGAATTAAAAAAAAAAAAACAAGTTGGAATCCCAAATACCGTAGCATTTACAACCAGATTGAAGTTTTGCCAGAAGCTTCAGGTCTTGGAGAACCGATAGGAAATTCTCAACATCGCAAATCATGAGGAGGGTGAATTATTAATGCCTCCCCTAAGCTGTCTACTTAAATAAATGCCACTATCTTGCACTCGATTTGAGGAAACAATTCTCTCCTCCTTGCCAAAAATAACAGCCTTCCAAACGTAAGAACATTTCCATTTTCAATTAGAACAAAGCAATCAGTGTTAGCAAAAGGAAATGCAAATTTGCCCTGATTCTGCAGGGATCTGTTGAAGGATTATCGTTGATATTATGAGGAGGAGAGGTGGTCACACATGCAGCCAGATGTTTAAATCGGATTTGGCATTTTTATTCACCTTGCAAGTCTTTCCTAAGGACTGAAAGACAGATGTTGTTTGATGATATTATTAGTGGTAGCATTATATACACGCAATGATGTGAAATCACAGCTGCCAGTTCTTTAGCTGGTGCTGGCCTTCACACACTACATTACAACTAAGATGTTGTGTTGCATTGGCGTAGTATACGGGTGGCTATTTAAGATTTGGGGCAGCTGGTTGGAGCTGAGTTAGCACAGCCTATCCACTCTTCCAAACATCTCTCTGTTTGCCTGATAATGAGGAAGGGGGTTACCAAATCCCAAAGTAGAAGACCTCCCAATGACACATCCAAGGTCTATTTGCAACCATCTCCTCTTGTTGACTGAGGTTCAACCTCTTTCTGCAGAAAATCATCTCCTAGCCATGTTCTCTAGACTTTGACTGCAGATATGAGGAACTTTTTGGCGTGTAGATCAAGGGTGTCCAAAGTTGACCAGTTTAAGACATGTGGATTTCAACTCCCAGAATTCCTCAGCCAGCCATTCTGAGAGCTGAAGTCCCCAAGTCTTAAAAGTTGCCAACTTTGGACACCCGTGCTCTAGATTTTTCTAAATACAATTCCGGGCATTGTTCAATTACAGCTGAGCTGGTTGAAACTCCTGGGACTTGTAGTTTTGATCAACAAGTGGAGAGTCACAGATTCTCCGCTATTCTTGCTACTTGAATGGCTTGCATCCAAGGTGTATCTTGGTTGACTTCTCATCTGAAATTTCTCCCTCCTTGCCTCCTCGGTCTCGGCACCTTATTCCCCAGGGTTCTGCCTACAGCCGAATGTACATAAGGATTGGTCTTTTATTCCTAGGTTCTGATGCCTGAGCAGGGTAAATAATCTATTCCAAAAGAGATGTAGTTATTAAACACAACTCAGCTAGTGCCAGCAAAAGCTCCAGGTGTCCCAGAGGGAACAAGGAAATAAATTACCCACTTACAGAATGTAATTGGTGAGGGATTAAAAATCAATGGCTAGAACAAGATAGTAGTTTTGGCTAGGTTCTTTAGAGAAGGAGGGGGAAAAAATATCCTTCCTAGGGAGACAACCCACTCCATCTTTCAGTCCATGGTTGCCAATGTTTGGACATGAGCCACCCTGCAGGGTTTTTTTCTGGAGAAATATCAGGAAGACATTTCATGAGCATCAAACTCATGGGGTAATAGCGAATCCCAAGGGCTGTCTGGAATAGCCAGTTCTGCAGGTGTGGAAAGATCAAAGGGTGGAGGAACCTCAATGAAGGCTCTAGAACTTCAATAACCCAAATCCTTGCCTTCTGGAAAGATTTTCAAGGAGAGTTTGTGTGTGTGTTTGTGAAGGGGGCCCATAGGAATCTTGGCCAGTGTGGTGCAGTGATCAGACCATTAGACTAAGACAGTGATGGCGAACCTATGGCACGGGTGCCAGAGGCGGCACTCAGAGCCCTCTCTGTGGGCACGCGCGCCGTCGCCCCAGTTCTAGGCCTTCAGCTGGGTTTTATAAAACCTTTTCGCTTTAGGCCTCCACTGCCGTGTGCAAAAAAAAAAAAAGGTTCAATCAGTCAGTCGATTTCAACTTGTCAAGGGGAAAAAAAAAGATCTTGCAAAGTTGGAACTGATTGATTGAACTTTTTAGTCCCACCCAGTCTGCCATTACCACTGCAGCCACGCCCACCCAATGGGCCACCCCCCATGGGTCACCCCCCCAATGGGCCACACCCAGCCAATGGGCCACGCCCACCCAGCACCCGATGATGCATAAGTGGGTTTGGGGTTGCAGTTTGGGCACTCGGTCTCTAAAAGGTTCGCCATCACTGGACTAAGAAGAGAAATTTTGGATGAAATCCCCGTTCAGATTATTTGAAGATTTTGAACCAGTCGTTTTGAACCAGTTTTGGGGGGGATATGATAACTGTCTTCCAGTACTTGAGGGACTATCGCAGAGAAGAGGGGATTGACTTATTCTTCAAAGCACCTGAGGGCAGAACAAGGAGCAATAGATGGAAACAACCTGGAAACAAGGAGGAATTATTCTATGAAGCAATGGAGCAATAAGTTATGGGTGCTCCATCCCTGGACGTTTTTCAAAAATACAATGGACAACCATTCGACCAGGATAGTATAAGATCTCCTGCCTTGAACAAGGAGTTGGACTAAAAGACCTCCAGGGTCTATTCTAGTCCTATAATTCTCAGTTCTATAACTTTTGAGCTTGGCTTTTCGTGCAGAGTTATAGGCATGAAACTAAAATGAGAATAATAATGAACGCGGCTTGGAAGAAAAGTGGCTCCTTGGTTTCTAAATGCAACATATAAATTCAGTGCAACAATATAAATAAGAAAGGCGGGAAAGAAATCAAGCCCCTCAATCCGTCGAAATAAAGCCAAGACTTGGCAGCTCAAAGGCTTCCCCTTGTAGCTGATAGAATCTTCTAGAGTTGGCTTTGTCCGCTGACGAATCAACTGTTCTTCGAAAAAGAGAGAGCAGGCACAGAATAAGAAAGGGACATACGAAATGGGGGGGGGAGAGCATGGGATACATTCAGTGTAACAATAGGCTGAGATCTGTTTGAAGAGCTGCTCAAAGGATTACTGTCCATCTCAAAGTAGCTTGACTGAGAAACTGCCCAACTCATGTGTGTTTTAAAAATAGAGATTCCCGAAAAAAGAACAGCAGCGTGGTGGTCGTGAAGCTGCTGTGAGCAGAGAATCCCAGAGTAGCTGACTGAACAGATCATCTCCTGGTAGTAACCATCTCTATGCTGAGAAGAGACCATAGGTTGCATCTCCCTTCACACAACTTGTGTTCTTTCCAGTTTCTGATCTAGGTCTCTGCGGGATACTCCACAGGGTTGGGGACAAGGAGAGGGAAATTAAAATTTGCCAGGCCACATTTAAGCACTTCCCAAGCCACAGTGCTGTCAATGCATGGATGATGACATCGTCATGCAAACGTTGCCTTCATGCAGTGGTGGGATTCAGCCGGTTTGCACCAGTTCGGCAGAACCGGTAGCTAAATTTTGCTGAGTTTGGAGAACTAGCTGAAGTGCAGTCTAGACCTTGGAGATCTGGAGGAGGCCTCCCAGGCTTAGAATGGCCCACCAGAAGTGCATGGATGCCACTTCCGGAAGTCCGTTCTAGGCCTCGGAGGCCCAGGCCTGCATCCAATAAGAGAACCAGTTGTTCAGGTATTTGAATCCCACCACTGCCTTCATGCATTTGTGTCTTGATGTCTGTTGCAAGTAAGCACATTGCATTTTCTTTATTCATCCATTCAACAAATCTACACGACCAGGCTGTATTTGAGGGAGGGAGGGGTTAAACGTGTCATAAGTCTGGAATCCCTTCATGCTCACAAGAGATCTAAATCCAGCCCATCTTGAATTCCGTGGACTCTTATCTGCTGCCAACTTGCTTTGATTGTCAGTATTTCAGATTCTTGTGGAGAGCTTAAGCTTGCAATAAACCCTTATATTCTTTGGAATGCCTGGATTTCCTGATTTCCTGCGCTTGGCAATAGCGGCCCATTCCATGAGAAGTGACTCTGGATGGTGAACAGTAGTTGTAGCATTTGAGGTACATAACTTGCATCAGGCATCAAGGCGCAAGTCTACACAGGCAGCATTTACATGATGACCCCATGACACGTGTATCACTCTTTTTGAAGGCCGCGTGTTTTATATGAGCCCATGTGACACAATTAATTGTTTAAATGAACCTGTTTTCCAAGCTTCAGGCACACAACCTCAAGCAATTGGATTGCATTTGCATAATTCATTAAGCCAAGTAGAAACAAACTAAAGTTCAGACTAACTAAGCGAGTTGGTCCAGCCTCCCCAAGAAAGCAGGACAACTCTGTGGAGGGTGTGAAAAATTCTAGACGGGATCTGAAACTGTGCAACTGCTGTCCCCTTTTTTACATGGACTCGGCATTAAAAGCAGAGGGCTGCAGACCCTGTTTGAGGTTTTTGGCCTCTCCTCCTACAGATTTCTGCAAGAAAGCGGGTCAAGGAAATTGGCCCACACTCCAAGAAAACACAATCGTTGTTACTGTGGCTCGCTCTGGTTTTGAAGAGAGCAGCTTTATATTTAAGGAGAGGATGGATGAAACCTGATCCCTTAACTAATTTTCTCAGCCTCTCCACGGACAAAGCATCCGCCGGGCTGGGCTGTTATTTATTTATTTCCCAGACTGCAGGAGAGCCACCTTATCTCTTGTGTCAAATGCCATTAAAGCCTAACGCTGGTGGGGAGCACGAGAAGAGACAGATGCTGGCAATAATCATGAACGGGTCATTATTTACAGCAGGCTCCAATGAGGTTTTGGTTATTTATGACCCTTGAGAAAGCCAGAAAGGGTAGGTTATTGGGGAAGTCAATCATAACCACATAGGAGCTTGTTACTTTATTTAATAATCTCTTCCTCTGCCACGCACACATATGGAGACCGGCTTCCCGTAACCTTCAGATCTGCCAGTGTGTTATCTGTCCTATTTATCATTGCTCCATGGTAGTATCTGAGACTGTTCAAAATGTGACCTCAGTGCTCTACCTGTTGCTATTCTACATAGAACGTAGGATCCTAGGGCAGGGGTAGGCTCTTTTATGACTTGTGGACTTCAACTCACAGAATTCCTAAGCCAAGGTTGCCTACCCCTGTCCTAGGGCAAGAAGGGACCTCGAAGGTCTTCTAGTCCAACCACCTGCTCAGGGCAGAAGAGCTTATACCAAAGGGTCAAGTAGTTGTCCAATGTCTTCTTGACACCCACAGCTCCAGGAGGCAAGCTGTTCCACTGATTAATTGTTCTTGCGGTCAGAAAATTTCTCTTTACTTCTAGGTTGGATGTCTCTTCAATGTTCTTCCACCAGTTGCTTCTTATCCTGCCTTCAGGTACTTTGGAGAATAGGTCAATGCCCTCTTCTTCTTCCTACTCTGGGCTCTTCCACAACATGTTGTCATCTTATGCTTATTGCTGGGACTCCAGATGTCCAGGATAGTCTTCTTATTCCTCCTTTGCCTTTCCCCACATTAAGAAGGGATTCAAACTCCCTTCCCATCCCATGCTGATGCATTATGTGAGGCTCTGTTTCACATTTCATGCAAATGCAGCTACTGTGATTTGTAAACCAAACTTTAGGTTTTAGTGCAGGAGTATCAAACTGCCAGCCCACAGGCCGTATGCATCCTGCCAAAACTGTGCCCATCCCATTGCTGGCAATGGAAAAAAAGTTGCAATACGTTGCGACACGTCACATGACATTGCGAGTTTGACACCCCTGCTTTAGTAGGTTGTGGGGATTCGGCCAGGGTTGGTGTATACAGAAAACCACTGCTGCATAAATCAGAGCTTAATTCTGCATAAGCCCAGGTTCCAGGTTCTATGGCCAAGTGGCATTCTTCCTCCTGATTGGTTTTGGAGGGCAAACCAGGCAGGCAAAAATAAGGGGAGACAGGTGCCCCCCCCCCAGATGCCATGAAGGCTTTATAGGTGCCAGGTAGTATCTTGAATTGTACCCAGAAGCCAACTGGGAATCAATGTAGCTTGCATAACAACACATGGGCACAACAAGAAGTGACCATCACTACTCACACTACTGCATTTTAAGCCAGCTGTGGCTTCTGGGATGGTTTTCAAGGGCAACTCCATGTAGACCATGTTTCAACAGTCCCATCATGAGGTGACCATCAATAGAAGAGAACATATATGTAGCTCAGGGTTGAACTATGGAGTTCTTGGTGCTCTCTGAGCAAGCAAACCACAGAGCCCAGAAAGCACCAAGGACTTCTTGGTGACCATTATCTCTAGACCACATCCATGTGGTCTACTTGACCATTAAAGGAGAATGAAGTGCGTCATTGCTATGTCAGACTTTGCTAGTTGATGGAAGGCTGTAGGACAGCAATGTCCTCCATGGGTTAGTTAAGCAAACAAACTGGAGATGCAATTTTTACAGTGAAACATTGAGTTCTTGCCATGATGAGACCAAATCTAGTGTCTTCCTAATGTGATTGGCTTTGCTCCTTTGGCGAATCCAGAGGCAGTTTTAGCTGAGCAGGTCCTCTGGTTGGACAGTGTCTCTAACCCTCACTTCTAGGGCAGGCCTGATCATCAAAGCCACCACCCAGCTGGCTCTGATCATTGCATTTTTCTGTTACTCTGACTAATGAGAGGTGGCTTGTTTTTAGAAGACAGGAAGCTCTTTGTAGGCATGTTGGGGAAACAACAAAGTGAGGACGATGTCCGGCGACTCTTTGAACCCTTCGGACAGATTGAAGAATGCACCATCCTCCGAGGCCCTGATGGAGCCAGTAAAGGTGAGGGGCAGATGTAACGGGAGGGTGGGTCTAAAATGGAAAGAAGGTAAGAGATTAGAATCCATATGTATGTCAACTGGGAGTCTACATGGCAGGCACTATGCAAGGAGAATAAATCTAGAAGGTTGATGGATATTGATGGGATGTCTAAAGATGTATCCAATGTGGATCCAGCTGATCAACTGTGTTTAACCCCATTTCTGGGTTTGCATGATACACTGGACCACTGAATGGCCAAGATCTACACCAGGGGTGTCCAACCTTGGCAACTTTAAAACCTGTGGATTCAACTCTCAGAAGTTTCCAGCCAGCAATGTTGTCTGGAGAATTTTGGGAGTTGACGTTCACAAGCTCTTTGCTGTAGTGGATTGTGTAGACCAGGGGTATCCAACCTTGTACCGTGTAACATCCCACAATAGTCTTAGCATCATCTTGTTAATGCCCAATTGCACAATCAGGAGGTGTCTTTGCCACATTGTAATGAGTTTTCTGGTTACAAGTAGCTCTCAACTGATAACCACATTGGGTGAGTTCTTGTCTCTGGCCAGTCTGAATTGGTTCTTATCAGAATCTTACTATCAGATTCCTCATTCTTGCTTTGTTACTTCCAAGGAACTAAAAACATCAATCAAAGGTGCTCCTTGTTACTAAAAAAAGCAACTAGGCCCTCTTCTGCTCCAATCGTTATAAGGAAGGCTACTTGAAAAAAAGTTAATGTTGCTACGGATGCAAAAGATGATGATGATGATAATGATGATGATGATGATAATAATAATAATAATAATGGTTCCTTAGGGTTTCTTTCAAACTGGATTCAAACCTGAACTGTTGAACGGAACCGAACTTTTTCTCTCTGTCTAGGATGTGCCTTTGTCAAATACGGAAGCCACGCAGAAGCTCAAGCCGCCATTAGCACTCTCCATGGGAGTCAGACCATGCCGGTAAGTGTGGGCCAAAACTTACATCCAGAGGGAGGAATCAGAATCAGAATACAGCTGGAAGGGACCTTGGAGGTCTTTTAGTCCAACCCCCTGCTCAGGCAGGAAACCCTATACCATTTCAGGCAAATGGCTGTCCGATCTCTCCAGTAATGAAGCACCCACAACTTCTGCAGACAAATTGTTGCACTGATTAATTGTTCTAACTGTCAGGAAGTTTCTCCTTAGTTCTCAGTTGCTTCTCTCTTTGATTGGTTTCCATCCGTTGCTTCTTGTCTTTGCCTTCAGGCACTTTGGAGAATAGCTTGACTCCCTCTTCTTTGGGGCAGTTCCTGAGATATTGGAAGACTGCTATGCTGTCGCCCCTCGTCCTTTTTCTCTAGACTAGCCAAACCCAAACCCTGCAGCCGTTCTTATATGATTTTATGCACACAAAAGGGAAAGGTGCAAGGCAGCATTAGCCACTGTGTAATACATATATGTATGAGCCGAGGTGGCGTAGCAGTTAGAGTGCAGTCCTGCAGGCCACTTTAGCTGACTGTGTTCAGCAGGTCAACGGTTCAAATCTCACCGGCTCAAGGTTGACTCAGCCTTCCATCCTTCCGGGGTAGGTAAAATGAGGACCCAGATTGTTGGGAGCAATGTAAATATATATATATATATATATATATACATTGCTTACTGGTGTACAACCGCTTAGAGAGTGCTTGCACTTAAAGCGGTATATAAGTCTCATAAATAAATAAATAAATAAACAAACAAACAAACAAACAAACAAACAAATAAATAAATATAGTTATCAACTTACGAATTTCCATAGCTAAGCAAGGCAGTTGGTAAAATAAGTCCTCCTGTCAAATTTTTATCACCTTTCCCAGAATCGAAATGGCATTTTGACATGCAATAAGACCAGATACTGGGCAAACCTTTAATTTGCCTAATGGATAACTGCAGTGGTTAAGCCAGTGGTGGCGAACCTATGGCACGCGTGCCAGAGGTGGCACTCAGAGCCCTCTCTGTGGACACACCTGGTGTCCCCCCAGCCCTGCCTCCCCCCACGGCCCCGTCCTCACCAGCAGCCCCCCCAGAGGAGAGTTGCCCCAGGCGCAGTCCACGCAGAGCAGCACAGCCAAGGACATGGCAGCCAGGCAGGGGGGACAAGTCTCGGCCCTTGCTCCCCGTTGCATGCAGATGATGCAGGGCATGGGCGGAGAGCGTGGCTGCCATGGCGCTGCGGTGGGCCGTGGAGGCAGTGGGTGGCCCTGTGGGCAGGCAGGGGCAGGGACAGGGGGGCGGGGCAGGGCAGAGGCCTGGTCTCTAAAAGGTTCGCCATCACTGGGTTAAGTGACTCATGCGGTCGTTAAGTAAATCCAGCTTCCCCCGCTGACTTTGCTTGCTGGAAGCAGCTGCCAGTGTCAAAAATGGCAGTCCACACCACCCTGGCCTGCTGCAACGGTCACAAATACCTGCCAGTGGCCGAGCACTCGGATTTTGATCCGATGACCGTAGGGATGCTGAGACAAGCGTAAGGGTGAAGACTGCTTGCAAGGCACTTTTTCCAGGGTGGTCGCAACTTTGAACGGTCGCTAAACAAAATGTAAGTTGAGAACTATCTGTGCAGGAGGGACGGCAATCCAAAAAGCAGGAGGAGCCCACCCAAAGCCTAGAATCCATTTGAATTCATCTGCATTGAATTAAAATTATACAGAATTACAATGATATTATCTTAACCCGATTGCTTTCCCCCTATTTAATAATGGCCCCACATATTAAATTAAGCATATGAAAGGTTTGCCAAGCATCTGGGTCTTACTGCAAGTCAAAATCCCATTCAGTTCACGAAAAGGAAATTAACAGTATATTTCCTTCCTTCCTCTCTACCTACCTACCTACTTCCTTCCTTCCTTCTTCTTTCCTTTTCTCCCTCCCTTCCATTTTTTCCTTCCTTCTTTCCTTCTTCCTTCCTTCCTTCCTTCTCCTCACCTTCCCTCTCTCACCCAAACACACATTTTCTCCCCTTTTGTTCCATCGGCTGCCAATTTATCATCTCAGTGATTGGATCAGATTCCTGGGGATCAAGTCACTTGTTGCAAAAAATAACTCTTTGCTGTTTATTCCGATCAGCAGCTGTGTTCTCCAAGCAGGTGTCAGGAGGTAATTGAATCACCGGCTTGAGAAAACTGCCATTTAATTAACAATGAAGGTCATAGTTCTAAATGAGAGTGAGAGGGAAAAGGAGGGAGCAGGAAGGCCCCAGGAGTCGTGGTGATTATAAAAGAGGATTGAACCGATCAGCAGTTGCAAGGAGGTTGGGCTGGCAATGAGGTCCAACGGCCCCAGAAGAGTTTGGAGGGAGGAGGGACCGAAGAAAGGAAGAAAAGAGGTAGATGTGGCGGGAGGGAGGGAGGGAGGGAGGGAGGGAGGGAGGGAGGGAGAGGGAGAGGGAGGGAGGGAGGGAGGGAGGGAGAAAGAAAGAAAGAAAGAAAGAAAGAAAGAAAGAAAGAAAGAAAGAAAGAAAGAGGGAAGGAAGGAAGGACAAAAGAAAAGGAAGGAAGGAAGGAAAGAAAGAAAGAAAGAAAGAAAGAAAGAAAGAAAGAAAGAAAGAAAGAAAGAAAGAAAGAAAGAAAGAAAGAGGGGGAAGGAAGGACAAAAGAAAAGAAAGGAAAGAAAGAAAGAAAAAGAGAGAGAGAAAAAAGAAAGAAAGAAAGAAAGAAAGAAAGAAAGAAAGAAAGAAAGAAAGAAAGAAAGAAAGAAAGAAAGAAAGAAAGAAAGGGGGAAGGAAGGAAGGATGAAAGAAAAGAAAGGAAGGAAAGAAAGAAAGAAAGAAAGAAAGAAAGAAAGAAAGAAAGAAAGAAAGAAAGGGGGAAGGAAGGAAGGACAAAAGAAAAGAAAGGAAGGAAGGAAAGAAAGAAAGAAAGAAAGAAAGAAAGAAAGAAAGAAAGAAAGAAAGAAAGAGGGGGAAAGAAGGAAGGATGAAAGAAAAGAAAAAGAAAGAAAGAAAGAAAGAAAGAAAGAAAGAAAGAAAGAAAGAAAGAAAGGGAGGAAAGGAAGGAAGGAGGGAAGGAAGGAAAGAAGGAAGGAAGGAGGGAAGGAAGGAAGGAAGGCTTCATCTATTGACTGTTGACTGTTGACATCAAATGACCGTTGACATCAAAAGGAGAAGACAAATTTCCAAAGGCACAAAAAAAGACCTTTTGTAAATCACCCATCCTCCATCTCAAAGCAGAAGTCCACAAACATCTTCTCACTGCCCTGTAGGAAAGACCCCTGAAAATTATAACCCAACTCAAAGGTGGTCGAAAGAGGAAACTGTGAAGTACGTGACTGAAGCGTAATCGGGATCGCTCTGTTTGTCGTGAAACTTAATCATAAATGAGGCCAATTTTTTATTTTAAATCAGTCCTGGCCTTGGGAAAAGTAGCACGCCTGGATCCTGGGATTAAAAATGCATTTCAGGAAATGGCCGTTGCAAGGATTAGCACGTTTATCTCCAAGCTTCCCTCGGCCCCCAAACAGACTGTGGCTGTTTCATTACAGGGACAAAATCAATCCCTTTCCTTGTAAATAAAGATAAGGGTTGTTTTCTTAAATGAGGCTAGTTAGCTGGAACCCATGAAGAGTCAATTCTGGTTGAGATAGCAGAAATCTCCCATCAATTGTTTCCATGGACACAACAGGCTAGACAGAATATCTCAGAATCCTGGGATAGATAGATAGATATTACAAATGTCGGGTCTATGGCAGGCGACTTCAGAATCTATTGTGGTCAGTAAAGTTAGGTGACCAGGGATGGTTTAGGTCTTTCTGAGCAGATAGAAACCAGTGTTGGCTAGATAAGAGTTGCTGCTGGGGGTGGGGGGTTAACTAAGTAATGGTAGGTCTAGAAGTCTCTCTTGATGAGATGCAGCCTGTTTTTCAGTAAAAGCTGGACGAAAAAAATCTAGAGAAAAGAAGGACTAGGGGGTGACATGATAGCAGTATTCCAATATTTGAGGGGACTACCCCAAAGAAGAGGGGCTCAACCTATTTCCCAAAGCACCTGAAGGCAGGACAAGAAGCAACGGATGGAAACTAATCAAGGAGAAAAGCAACCTAGAACTAAGGAGGAATTTCCTAACAGTGAGAACAATTAACCAGGTTTTCTTTCAGAAGGCTTTTAAGAAGACACTGGACAGCCACTTGTCTGGACTGGTACAGGGTCTCCTGCGTGAGCAGGGGGCTGGACTAGAAGATCTCCAAGGTCCCTTTCAACTCTTGTGTTATTCTATTATTCTGATGTTCACCAGCCCCAGGACTTTGACCCTCCCACAATCTTGCATCCCAGTCTTAAGTCATTCCTTGCGGGAATAAGTGGGTCTGCATGTTTACAGGGGCGCCGCAAAGTGAAGTGATGCGGCAGGAAAACATGGTCCACTCTGGGTCCGCACATTAGGATGTTGCGCTAAGCCGCAGTGTGGTTTGTTTACCAGGGAGCCAGTCTTGCACGAGAGCTTAGTACGATGTAGCAACCGACGTGGTGTATTTGCTTCATGTTTTTATAAGTGAGTGAGAGGAAGCGGTCTACTTAAACACTTGTGCTCCGTGAATGCAGCATTTTCAGGGAGGACAAAGTAGAATCGTAAGACCAGGACCAGGAAAGGCAGTTTAGAACATGCATAAAATTTGCTACGGGTACGGTAGTTCTCGACTTACAACCACCATGGGGATCAGAATTTCCCTTGGGTGGTGTCTTTTAAAAATAAAATTTATTGTTTTATCCTAGAGAACAAAATGAAGAACAGTAAAACAAACCAACAAAAGGAAACAAAACAAAAACATATGTTCAATCCTAATGACGACAACAACAACAACAAAAAAAATAGTGCACAAGAAAGGAGAAAAAAGTGGTCAATTAAATTTTACATTTTACATGTAGGATCCACCCTGGCTGAGTGCCGAAAGAGAAGAAAAAAAAAGCAATAAATTATCCTGCCCTTTTACAGACAGATAGATAGATGGACAGACAGACAGACAGACAAATGATAGACTAATGATAAATAGACTGATGATAGATGGATAAATAGAGGTAGGTAGATAGGTAGGTAGATAGATGGATGGATGGATGGATGGATGGATAGATAATAGATAGATAGATAGATAGATAGATAGATAGATAGATAGATAGATAGATAGATAGATAGATAGACAGATGATAGACTAATGATAAATAGACTGATGATAGAAAAATAGAGGTAGGTAGGTAGATAGATGGATGGATGGATGGATAGATGATAGATAGATAGATAGATAGATAGATAGACAGACAGACAGACAGACAGACAGATGATAGACTAATGATAAATAGACTGATGATAGATAGATAAATAGAGATGGATGGATGGATGGATGGATAGATAGACAGATAGATAGATAGATATGGATGGACAGACAGGTAGAAAAGAAAAAAGAAGAAAAAACAGTCAACAGGTTGAGCTAAACATTACACTAATCTTCAAATCCCTCTGTTAATCATCTTTTATTACATTTAGCACATAGAAAGTCCACAAACGGTTTCCAGTCTCTTATAAAGCTGTCTAGTCCCTTACCTCTAATCAAAGCAGCTTATTTCGCCCTCTCTGCTAATTCAGCCAATTTCAAAATCCTTTCTTCAACTGTCGGCTTCCCTTTTTCTTTCCAGTGTTTGGCAAGTACAATCCTCGCGGCCGTCACCCTGGGAAGGAATAGCACCCCAAATTGTTTTTCAACTGAATTGTCCATCATACCTAAAAGAAAAGCTGCAGGTTTCATTAATATCTGTATCTTAATTTTTTTTTTTTTTTTGCATTGTCAGTGTTTGTCCGGGATGCTTTCACATACTTGCAGAATTTCCGTTGCTAAGCAATGGTTCTTAAGAGAGTCGCGCCCGATTTTGTAACCATTTCCCCCCAAAGTTGTTAAGCAAATCACAGCATTTGTTGTGATTTTGAATAGTTGCTCAATGAATGGTTTTAAGGCAAGAACTACCTCTAGCAGATACCAAAGGAAGGGAAGTTCCCAAATAAAGGGGGCACCCTAATGTCCCAAAGGAGCATTTTCAGGAGGCAACTGGACTTCCTTTGTTTTTCTTTGAAGATGTTTCGCTTCTCATCCAGGAAGCTTCTTCAGCTCTGACTGGATGGTGGGGAAATGGAAGGATTTATATCCCTTGCAGACAGCTGGTCATTTGCATTCTTTCAGAGAGCCGTTGAGACCACTTGGAGGTTTGTCTGTGTCTTCAAGGTCACCTGAGTAGTGCAAATGGGTGTGGAGCCCTCTTGGAACTGCTTTCAGCACACCCATTTGCACTACTCAGGTGACCTTGAAGACACAGATAAACCTCCAAGTGGCCTCAACGGCTCTCGGAAAGAATGCAAATGACCAGCTGTCTGCAAGGGATATAAATCCTTCCATTCCCCACCATCCAGTCAGAGCTGAAGAAGCTTCCTGGATGAGAAGCGAAACATCTTCAAAGAAAAACAAGAAAGTCCAGTTGCCCTCTGGAAAAGCATCTTTGCGACATCCATGACCTGGATGACTGAGAATCTCTGTAGACACTTAGCAGACCCCCCTAATCTTCAACCTGTTCCTCTGCGTTGCAACTGCCTTTTCCCATAAGAGTCATTTGCAGGACTCCTCAGCCCGAACCGACGCGCCAATGATGGGTACAATCTGCCCCACTCTCTCTGTTTCTGCCTCTGCTTCTCTTCTCCCTCTGCTAGGGTGCATCCTCCAGCTTAGTTGTGAAGTTTGCCGACACAGACAAGGAACGAACTCTGCGGCGGATGCATCAGATGGCAGGACAGCTGGGCATCTTTAATCCCATGACGATCCAGTTTGGAGCCTATGGAGCATACACACAAGCGGTAGGAGATGCTGGCCACCCTGACTGTAGGGCACCATTATTTCCCCTAAAGGTGAAGCAGGAACATTTGGACAAGCCAGAAGATGCTAGTTGGGTGAGGAATGAACCAAGGCTTTCTGGTTCTTCATTCTTTCTCCTTGACCTGACGGGAGGGACTGTTGAAGCTAGATGATTTGGGCTAAGTCTTGAAAAGTTAAGCAGGACAGATCTGGAGAGTTGTTGTATGGGAGATTTCCCCCAAACCCACCAGCTCAGCTGGAAGGAGACTTTTTTGTATCATCAGAGATGCCACATATCCTTGCTGGGAAGGACAGTGATGAGCACTGCCCTCCACTGGCCAATGCAAGCTGCTGCTTTGCTAACTGGAAGGAGACAAACACCGATGGTCTTCTGCTGGAGATAGAACAAGCATCTATGCTATGAATCATAAAAAGGCCAGAAAAGTTGGTTCAAATCTCACCTTAGCTGTGATGGTTTTAGAAAGGAACTAGACCACAAGATGGGAAGATTAGGTAACCTTCATCTGTTCTCCACTCCAGTTCCCATCAGCCCAAGACAGCATGGCTAGAAAACAGAGATGCCAGACATTCTGGAATATCTGGAGCAAGTCTGGTTCTCCAGCCTGGCCTTAGCACCAATTGCTGGTTAGGATGGACTTTCTTACATGGCTCACTGTGAGGGTTGATGAAAGAAGTCATCTCATATGTGCTTTTCAAAAGGCGTCTAGACTTCCTTAGATTTTTCCTTGAAGACAACTCATTTCTCATCCAAGAAGCTTCTTCAGTTGCTTCAGAACTGAAAAAAGTTTGTTGGATAAGAAGTGACACATCTTCAAGGCAAAAAGCTAAGGGTCAACCTAGCCTTTTGGGACAACCATGACCTGGATGATTGAGAATCTCTATAGATGTTGAAGAAAGAGACAGTGTCAAGGCTGTTGGCCATCTGAAAGCATCATTTTGATGTCCCTATGAAATTAGTCTTCATAGGACTAGAACTTCCTCAAGAAAGCCAACAGGCCAGCCTTCATTTCCTTAGAAGTTGTTCCTGACTAGAAAAAGAAGACCAATCTTCATCAGTGAAGTCCATACTAACGATGTCCTTCTTCCCCTCTTCCTTTTCTCCTGTCCTCCACTTTCTTTCCCTGGCTGTTCTCCTTCCCTCCTTCTCTCCCCCTGTGTGTCTTCTTTCCTTAAGATAATGCAGCAGCAGGCAGCGCTCATGGCTGCTGCACAAGGAAGTTGCCTCAACCCCATGGCAGCCATCGCGGCAGCACAGATGCAGCAGATGGCTGCCTTCAATGTGAGCGGCTTGGTGGCGGCTTCCATGACACCCTCATCAGGTACGGAGGTTCCTTATATGGTCTTCTTGGGGTAGCCAGGAGGAAAAGCCAGATGGAAGTCCAGTTAGTCTCAGAGCTTCCTCCACCATAGTTCCCTGTCTCAGCAACTTCCCATTAATGAAGATGGCTGCCCAAGGTGGACTTCTCGGACCATTCAGCCTCTGGTGAAGCTCTCTTTGTTTTGTTTTTAACAAAGAAATAGCCCTGGCACTGTTGCTAAAAAAGGAAGAACTCAGTGTTGATGTAAAGACATTGCCCCTAACCAATTTCAGTACAGTAGCACATGTGTGCTGGTTTCGTAGACAGCAAGTCCTGCTGTAGGATTTGACATTTGGATTGATAGCAACAGCACTAGCAGTAGTAATATGCTGCTCCACAGTGCTTTACAACCCTCTCTGAGTGGTTTACAATGTCAGCATCTTGAGGCCAACAATCTGGGTCCTCATTTGACTGATTTCAGAAGGATGGAAGGTTGAATTAACCTTGAGCCGGTCAGGATTGAACTCCAGACTGTGGGCAGAGTTAGCCCACAATGCTGCATTCTAACCACTGCACAGCCATGGCTCCCCCATCCTCCAAAATCCATGTGACCCTCAACCTAAAGCTGGTCCTTAAAAACATCTCCAGGCCTTTTGGGGCCCTATTGGTGTTCTGTTAATTAGGACACAGTTATCCAGATGTTTTATATTCTTTCTGGATTGCTTTTGTTTTGCTTTGTTTTATGCCCCTGTTTCTCAAGCTCGGCAGTTGCCAAGGTTGAGAAACATGGTTTTAAACTATAATCCACCTAAAGTCACTTTGAAGTTGGGTGGTCTCCAAAAGTAATGAACAAGCCAACAAACTTCCGCCATACAAGGAATGGTTTCAGGAACTGGCTATGTCTAGTTTAATGAAAAGAAGGACGAGGAGTGATATAATAGCAATGTTCCAATATTTGAGGAGCTGCCACAGAGAAGAGGGAATCAAGCTATTCTCCAAAGCACCTGAAGGCAGGAGAAGAAGCAACGGATGGAAACTAATCAAGGAGAGAAGCAACCTAGAACTAAGGAGGAATTTCCTGTAGTGAGAACAATTGATCGGTTGGAACAACCTGCCTCCAGAAATTATGGGTGCTCCAACATTGGAGGTTTTTAAGAAGAGATTGGACAACAATTTATCTGAAATGGTTTCCTGCTTGAGCAGGGGGTTGGACTAGATAGAAGATCTTCCAGTTTGGTTATTCATTCCACAAGATTTCCCCAGATACAGCGGGAAGCAAACCATATTAGCCATCTTCATGCTTCCTTCCCCTTTCCGGCTTGGTCTTAATTTCTCTACCTCTCTTTGGCTTCTCTCTTCAGGTACAAGCACACCTCCAGGGATCAGCGCAGCTCCAGTCCCCAGCATAGCTACACCCATTGGCGTCAATGGGTTTAGCCCTCTCCCGCCACAGACTAACGGACAGCCAGCATCGGAAACCATTTACACCAATGGGATCCACCCGTACCCAGGTAAGATTTGGGACACAGGAAGGGTCGTCAGTGGAGACGGTGCTAAGCGTAGCCATCTGTGCTAAAGCAGAGGAGAAAGATCCTCTCTCAGCCCTGTTGCTCTTTTCATTCCCACCCCGGATCTCAGCCCCATACGGCCATTGAGCCCCCACCCTGCCTTGTGATATTTTCATTACAGGGACTATCACTTGTCCTCCTTTAGGATAGAAAATGTGGCTTGTGGTTTGCTGTTTGTGACCTTACCAGACCCTTTCCAACAAGCCAGATCAATAGGGGAAGCTGGATTCCTTTAACCATCCTGTGTGTCACTTCATGTCTGTGAAGATTTGCTTAAGGACCATGGGGGAAAAAAAAATAATAAAATTGGCATCTTAACAAGCATCTCACTTAGTGATGGAAGTTCTGATCCCAATTGCAGTTGTAAGTGGAGGACTTTTAGCAACTGCCCAGGAGAGAGTGACTTGATGCATTAGCCGGGGGGGGGTCGTGGTTGTTGGGAGGCTTGCGATAACGAATAAGGCTCTGTAAAAGTGGCATGGGAAGAAGACATGGGTAACGTCATGAGCACAGAGAGTTAAAGTAAGAATGAGGAGGTCATTCTTGCACAAAAGAAATGACTATGGAGCGGTGTTTCTCAAAGCTGGCCACTTTAAGATCTGTGGACTTCAACTCCCAGAATCCCCCAGCTAGTAGGTGCTGGCTGGGGAATTCTGGGAATTGAAATCCACAGGTCTTAAAGGGACGCAGTCTGAGAAACACAGCTAGAGAGGGAAGCTTATAAGCTGGTCATTTTGTACCATCCATAAAGGGTGGCAATTCACAGTTTGCAGGAAGTGGAATCTGAAACCAAGTATTAGGTACAGCCTCAAATTCCAGTTCCTGCAAACTTACTAACAGCTCATTCCAAGTTTCCAGCATCCCCAAAATGCAGTTCAGAGCCTACAAAGGTAAGGTTTAAGATGGCGGTACTGGTGCCTCCCTGAATTAAATTTGGGCTGAATGCTGCTGGTACTGCGGATTGTAAACCTCCCCAACAGGACACTGGGATTGTTCCAATTATGCAGGCAAGATCAATCCTGACCTTCTTGGTAATGATCTCCACTGTTCCTCCAGATGTTGCTAAAAGCCATCTCCCACTTGCGTGAACTGGGAAACCCAGAGGGGAAAGGAGGATGGGAACAGGCACGCCACCACATCTGGATGGCCACAGGTTGCTCTTACCAGGGTTTGCAAGTCAAAGAGGAGGATCCGGTCCCCTCCTGGTAACTTTGACCCCTGGTCACTGTTGCTCTGACACCTGTTCTCCAGTGGACTCTGCTTATTCTCGACCTTTTTCCTTCTTTTCTCTTCCCAGCTCAAAGTCCCACCGTGGCAGACCCCCTGCAACAAGCCTACGCAGGCATGCAGCACTATGCAGGTGTCAACATTGCTTTGGCCCTCTGTCCCCCCCCCCTCCTCCCCCTCCTCCCTGGGTCTTGTCCTTTCCTGGCTTCAGTCCCTTGGCAACTTTTGTGATGCAAATTGGGAGGGGGTGTGTGGGAAAGGCAACCGGCCTCGCTTGTTTGGCACCTTTGAAGAGCAGGATGAGGTTAGGGATGAGTGTGTGGCTAGTACCTTGGCTTATCAACTGCACCTGAGTAAGAAAGCTCTCCCACAGGTAGGGATGAAAATGGGAAGTGATGATGGATCATGTCACGAAGGAACTTCAGGGTTGGGCTTCCAAGAAATTATCACTCGTGGTTTTTAAGAAGAGCCTGGACAGCCACCTGTCTGAAATGATATAGAGTCTCCTGCTTGAGCAGGGGGCTGGACTAGGAGACCTTCAAGGTCCCTTCCAGCTCTACTCTGATTCTGATTCAATAAAGGGGGATATTTGTAGGTTGGTGCCCCTTGAGCTTGGTTGCCACCTTGCAGACGTTTCATTACCCAAACATCATCAGTGCTAGGAATGAAGTTTTTGGTGCGGCAACAGGGTAGCAGTGTCCCAGTATCTGAGGGGCTGCCCCAAGGCAGAGGGGGCCAAGTTGTTCACCAGAGCACCAGAGGGAAGGACGAGAAACAATGGTTGGAAACTGACCAAAGAGAGAAGCAACCTGGAATTAAGGAGGAACGTCCTGACGGGGAGGACAATCAACCAGTGGAACAGTTTTGCCTCCAGAAATCATGGCTGCTCCATCCCTGGAGGTTTTTAAGAAGAGACTGGACAATCACCTGTCTGAGATGGTGTAGGTTCTCCTGCTTGAGCAGGGGGCTGGACTAGAAGACCTCCAAGGTCCCTTCCAGCTCTATTCTATTCTAAAGAGGGACTGGGTTTACTTTCTTAATTATACAAGATATCCAAGAGTCTTCCATGTTTTGTGAAAGGACATTGCATGTTTCCAGTCTGTGGCTGTTTCTTAAGGGCTGTCTTTCTGTATTGCTCCCTGGAATGACCCGGTGACTGTACAGTTTGGCAAGTCCCTGGAACCGCCTTAGCGATCCAGCTAATTGTTCTCTGCATTTTTCCCTGCTCAGCTGGATGGGTTGTTGTGGGATGGAGGACTGAAAAGAAGAGAAAGGGCTGGAGATCAGAGGCAGGCTGTCTTGAAGACAAGGCTTCCTTGTGCTTTTCCACCATCTTCTTTCTTGGAGGAGGTTGGACTTTGACACCCATCATCCCCAGCCAGCAGGACCAGTGGAAGTGTGACTCGTACTCCAAAGCACCCGAAGGGCAATAGTTTGGGTTTTACTAATCTTACCCAATAGGTTCAGTTTATATAGAATTCACCATAGTGCAAGTTCTCTCCAGATCAATCAAGCTAGACGGTGGAATCTTCTGGCCTAGAGTTATTTGTATTTGATGTTGCACATGTGTGGGGTGGGTGGGTAGGCAGTGTGTGTGTGAGAGGGAGGGAGGAGAGGGAGAGAGATAGAGAGAGATGCATGCATCTCTTTTCAGAATTGAGTAGGGTCAAGTACGTGGTAGAACATGACCACACTCACTTGGGACCATAGCCACGGGTTTGGTGTGACCCTTTCTCCCGTGAAAGCAGAGCGTTATGCTTGCTTGGGCCTGATCCTTCTGTTTTTGTGTTCTAGCAGCATATCCAGCCGCCTATGCACCAATCAGCCAAGCCTTCCCACAGCAAACTCCCATCATCCCCCAGCAACAGAGAGAAGGTGAGTAGGAATGCAAAGGCTGGGTCTTGGGGAGGAGAGGGGGAACCCCATTCCACAAGGCCCACAAGATCTTCTGAGCAACTTCCTTTTTTGGGGGGGGGGGCAAGATCAAGGTGGCTTGGTAGAAACGTGAAAGAGACCTGTCTAAAAGTAAAAGAATAGTAAGTATACAAGAGAAGAGTAAAAAAAGAATCTAAATGTTATAGAAGTTAGTCTGCCTCTCAGGAGAACATGCAGTGTTGAAAACATTTTAGATTATGCCATATGACTATTGGCCACTTTAGCTAAGGGTCTGGTGAATTGAAAACCAATACATTTGGAAGGCATCTGAGTGGGGAAGATTTATTTAACAAATCAATGGGTGGGGATTAATTACTTTTTAAGCTCATTGACAAAACCCAACGCATTAAGGATTCAAATGCAACGGCGTACAAAAAAGTTGTTCAGTACTCGGTAGTTGACAGCTGTCTACACTTGGTCTCTTTTGCTCTTACACAACTTCTTGTCCCCTGTTTGGTGTACCCTACGTTGCCATCCTAGGTCCTGAGGGCTGTAACCTCTTCATTTATCACCTGCCCCAAGAGTTTGGCGATGCAGAACTTATGCAGATGTTCCTTCCTTTTGGCAGCGTCATCTCTGCCAAAGTCTTTGTTGATCGTGCCACCAACCAAAGTAAATGCTTTGGTAAGTTCCAACAGACTTACTTCAACGTTCCCTTAATCAGTTGGTTTTGCTTTCCGTTAGAAATGCTTTGAGACAAGTTAGGCCAAAAGGAGAAATGTCAGCAAAGGACATGCAGTGGTCAAAATGCAGATTAAAGTTGAATATTCACAAGACCCAAGAAATAGTCCAGTAGAATTTACAGCCCAAGTTAGAAATTGGGGAAAGAAGCAGACGAACAGACTGAGACTTTGACCTAAGCTCAAGGCACCCAGACTTGAGATCAGACATAAGTTACACTCTGAATTAATTTCCTAAATAAATAGACTGGTAATCTCAGCACCATAATTTCATCCAACCTTGTATGAGAATCTCTTGCCAGATAGTGGCATTTTCATCCTGAAATCTTGTAAGGTTCCATGTGAAAAGACCAGTATCTCGTGCGATTTGGCCAACGTCTGAGATTTCAGCCCTTAAAAATTTCAGCCAGCAGAGATGTGTGAAAAGTAATTAATTTTGGAATTCCCTAGAAGCCATCTGAGGCATGAGGTTGATTCCTAGGGCTGCTACACTACACAACTTCCAGGCTAGTATTTTGCTAGAATTTTTATTGATTGACTGATTTCTTTAAACAATACCAAATTTGCAGTACCAAAGCTGAGATTATCCTCTTCTGAGCAAAAAATTCAAACAACCACAGTTGAACTCCGGTGGACTTTTATCCAACCGGGTACTAACCAATTGAGAAGATTAATATCCTTGGAGTTAGATAAAGGTCTGTGGAATTCAAGGTCGGTTAGACTTAGTCCACTTGTCACTATGTAGAGATTCTAGGCCAGTGGTTCTCAACCTATGGGTCGGGACCCCGTTTGGGGTCGAACGACCATTTCATGGTGGTTGCCAAACAACGCAGTCTGCCATTTTCCCCCCCTTTTCTTTAGCTGTGATACTCCTTTTTATTCTATTGGCTTTTGAAAGCCAATAGAATAGACTCTCTTGAATAGAGTCTAATTCTCTTGGCTTTCAAAAGCCAACAGGAATTGTCCAGGCTGTCTCTGCCCTGCTGAGCCCGCCAAAAGTCCCCTTCTGCAAACGGTGCTGCACCAGTTGAGTAATCCTCGACTTACGACCGGTTGAGTAGTCCTCAACTTATGACCGGTTGGGGGTTGTGGCATTAAAAAGGTTGAGAACCACTGTTCTAAGCTGACCCCCCCTTTTTTTAACTCCACCTCCAAGTTCTACCATTCCTTCTCCTACGTCGGTCAACTTATGGAACAAAAAGCCAAGGAGTGTGTTTTCTTTCATTTGTCTCTTCTGACCCTTCACCAACCCCATCACCCCATCACTCACTTCTTTGGCTGGCGGCTCCCTTTCCAGGTTTCGTCAGTTTTGACAATCCAACTAGTGCCCAGGCAGCCATTCAAGCCATGAACGGCTTCCAGATCGGCATGAAGAGGCTAAAGGTCCAATTAAAGAGGCCAAAAGATGCAAATCGACCCTACTGATCCCTGTTCACCCCGGCTTGGAAAACAGGTAAGGCATTGGCAGGTGATGCTTCCGCCAGGTAACCAAGCTCAGGAAGACGATGGCAGAAATCTGCCTTTCCTTCCCAGATAACAAGAGGGCAGAATGACCATCTTCTTAATTATGGGTGTCCATAGCAACTGGCAGTAATGAAAGCCAAGCCATCCTGATGCAGTGACTTGACTTACGTACCTGGGTCAAGGTGCACTGGGACACGTGTATGTAAGAGTGGCAAGCTGAGGTCACCAAGAGCAAGTCACTTGGGGCATCATTGCAATTTGCTACGGGGGCCTCTGTTCCCACTATCCTTTGGGGAAGTGAAGGCCTGATTGGAGACGTTTTCCCCAAAGAGAAACTAGCAGAGTGGAGAACCATGAAACGGGTGTCCAGTTTAAGGTGGAGGAACTCAAGGAGTTTGGCGGTTTGAGCCAAACTATATCATGGCGGGAAATATCTCACAGGGTACTTTATAAACGAAGTTCACTTAATTTGCTCTTTGGTGAGTTACATAGAAAGAGGAATCCTTTCTAAGTGGGAACGTGTGAGTGTGTGTTTGTAAAAGAGAGGAAGAGAGGATCTGTGCACATGCGTGCAAGTGCCTGTAGAAAGATAGAAGTCCAAGAAGAACTTTCTGGGTGAGGTCAAAGGTCTGTCGTACTCCACTCTCTGTTGACCTAGCAAATGCCACTGGGAAATCCTCCAGGAAGAAATGAGTAAGAAAATTCCTTCTGCTATTGATACTCAAGCTCATAACTCTCTCCAATACGGTTGGGAATACAATGCCATCATGATTAGTGGTCATCAATATCCTTCTCCTCCATGAATCTCTTCAATGCTTTGAAAATTCATCCAAGTCAATTGCCATCACCAAGTTTATGGGACTAAATTCCATCATTTGATGACCTGTTGGCTAACAAAGTACTCCTTTTTCTCTTACTGTTCAGTTTCTCAACCTTGGCAAGTTTAAGACACGTGGACTTCAACTCCCAGAATTCCGCAGCCAGCCTAGAATTCTGGGAGTCAAAGTCCACGTGTCTTAAACCTGCCAAGGTTGAGAAACACTGCAGTATAGTAAAGAAGAAAGTGATCGCTTTGTTAGTCCAGTTATCACTGCTAAAAAGTTAGACACTTATAGGGAGAAATGTTTTGGAATAATTTACTGAGGAAAAATATAAAGGTTTATTTTAATGAACATATGTGAGGGCTCAGCTTGATATAGATGTCCAATTAAGGGGCAGCACTAGAAGACCTTACCCTCAAAAGTTGAGCAAAATTTAGACTTGGTTACTTGGGTGAGAAATTCCAGAACTGGATGGGAATGTTAAGGACACCATCCTGGAAAGAGGGTGGTGAGGAATATTTCCATACTGTTGCCAAGAACCTAATGGAATACAGGTCATCATCAGGAGAAGCTCAATTTGAGGGAACATTTAGTTCTACTTTTAACATGCCCATAGACGTGCAAACACATAATATATGGGCACCGGGATACAGATACACCCTTTGTGCATTGACAACCTCACTTCCCTCAACTACTCCATTGATCTGCTTCTCTCCCAAGTGTCCCTTTTTTTGAACCCCACTTAGTGAATTACTGGGTCAAATGAAAGGAGGAGAAAGAGAGTTCCTCTCGATTTGTATAGTTGGAATCTGATACGGATGCACTGATTGTAGATCCGTCAAAAAGAAGCCCAGCCTTTAAAGTCTTGTCACTACAGCTCCTTTTTTATGACCCTGCAATCCCTTAATCCGGGGTAGAATCTGGGCGACTGGATGGAGCTGAGCATTTACTAGCTGGATGCCCTTCCTGACACCTATGTGGAGTTCGCAGCAGATGTCCTTTGCGCCCTGGGAGAGAAACATCTGCCTCTACCTAGAATTGAACTCTCAACCTTCTGAGTGAGAAGCGAGTATCTTCATCACTAGGCCACCACGCTGCTCATTGTCTTGTCACTGTAACAACCTCTTAAATTTCTGAACGGCCACTGGAAACCATTCAGTGAGGTGGAGACTCCATGGAAAGGGGCTTGTGCCCTCTCTCCCCACCTCACACCTCTCCAAATCTACTTTAATCTACTATAATCTACTCCAGGATTGGAAGGAACTTGGTTTGATGAAGTGCAAAGGCTTCAGGTGGGATAGATGCAGAAAATGATTTCTTGCCGATTCAGGTTATGATCTAGGGCAGGGGTCCCCAATCCCCTGGTCCATGGACCGGCACTGGGCCGTGGCATGCCAGCAACTAGTCCGCACAAACAAGCAAAGCCCCATCTGCGAGATGCAGGCAGCACATAAAATCACGCACTCTCCAGTCCATGGATAAACCTCTCTCCACGAAACCGGTCCCTGGTGCCCCAAAAGGTTGGGGACCTCTGATCTAGGGAGATGATGGAAGGAAAGGAAGATCTCCCTTGCTTGTAACATCCTCAGAGTCCAACAGATACTACTTCGAGCTCAGGGAATCTGGGAGATTCAAAATAAATATATGGGTTCAGGCAGCCAACATTGCGATCTCGAGCAACGAAGGGATAGATGCGTAGCTCAAGGGTTGAACTCTGGAATCCCTGCTGCGCTCCGAGCTTGAATGTTTGCTCACAAGCAAACAACTCAGCCCAGAGAGCAACAAAATCCCCAGAGAAATCTTTTTTTTTTTTCCCTTTGAGGGACTTGCAAGCAGGTTCGTGAGTTTGCTTCCAATCCTACTTTCGCCAGACCAACTTGGGCAGAGTTGACAGAGAGGGAGTCTTCTCAGCTCGGCATTCATTTTTGTGGTTTGGAAAATTTTGAATGCCAATATGTGCCAAACAATAGTTTGAAAATGTAGAGAGCAACTCTGTTCTCGGTTATTCTTGGATAGGATGAGCCATTGGTTGCCAATAAGCTCATGCAAGAAAGCCATTACAAAGCATGGTAAAAGGGGAGAGGTATAACCAATCCCTTACTTGTGGGGTCTTTGATGCTCTCTGAGCTTGGTGGGGAGTGTCAGACAGTTCATTACCCATCTGTGCACTGATGATGTTACCTAGTTGGGTAATGAAATGTCTGAAAGAAAAACACCAAGCTCAGAGAGCACCAAGGACCCCTTTCCTCCTCCTCCTCCTCCTCCTCCTCCTCCTCCCTCATTCGCTTCTAGCACTGATGATGTTACCTATTTGGGTAATGAAATGTCTGAAAGAAAACCACCAAGCTCAGAGAGCAACAAGGACCCCATGTTCCACCTTGAACTACAAATATTCTCTTCAGTTGACAAACTTTTACTTACTTTGGCCAAAGCAAGCTCACCACAATAGGGGTCAGTAGAAAAGCAGTCAAGAATGCTTACCAAAAGTCCAGCGCTAAATGTTGTTAATACAGTAGAAGTATCATATTTATGATTGGAAAAATACATTTACAATTCAATTTAGAATTGCTCTGGATAATTTACATATGGCCTCTCTAGAGTTATATTACTGAATTGAGATGAGCAATAACATAGTTACGTTTCTTTCTTTCTTTCTTTCTTTCTTTCTTTCTTTCTTTCTTTCTTTCTTTCTTTCTTTCTTTCTTCAGGGAATTGCTTTTTTAACCACCCCGTTTATATTTCAGTCTGGGACACAGTTCTTCTAAATGCATCACTTGATTATATGCCATAAAGCCTTTTTTTTTTGACAATTTATTCCATTTTGAGTTCCATGGTTCCAAACCAAATTAGGAATTTGAAGAAGAACAAGGAGGGTTTAAAAAAAAAAATTCCAAAGTGAAAAACCGAAAAATGATTTTTCAGGCTTCTATCAGCTTTCTAAGATTATGGAAAGGAAGTTTTAAAAAAGCAAAGAAATCAACTTATTAGAAGAAATGCTGATCTCTTTTATTGACACATTATTTTAATTTCTGGGATACATGTTCTGGAATCAGTTATCCTATCTTCTGCTTTCCTAAGATAACATTCCTGCCTTCAGCTGGAAGATGGAACTAGGATGTCTACCTACCCATTGCTAAAAAATGAAATCATACCATACGGGGGGGAAAAAGAATGCAAGTATATGTGCTCCATACAGATACATACATATCACCCTGTATTTGCTGATTCGTTGGTAGAAATGCACATTTAATTTGTCCTACTTGAAACAGAAATGCAGGATCATCCATCCCGGAGAGAAGATTGGGACTAGACGCTCAACCAGAAGACTATCCCAAAGGTGCTTTTTCAAAAGGCAACTGAACTTCGTTCTCCCTTAAAGATGTATCACTTCTCATCCCAGAAGCTTCTTCAGTTCTGACTGAATGGTGGAGAACGGAAGGATTCAGTCAGAGCTGAAGAAGCTTCTGGGATGAGAAGTGAAACGTCTTCAAGCAAAAACCAAGAAAGTTCAGTTGCCTCTTGAAAAAGCACCTTTGGGACAAACTACAAACTACTGAGAATCTCCATACACATCTCTCCAGAAGACTGTTATAGAGAGGCAACATCTGGTCTCCCCCCCCCTTTTTTTTTTTTAGCTCTGTTTGGACTCAACTAGTTCCATGAAAGGGATCTGGGATGGACAGCTGGGTGGGGGAACTTTCTGAGATAGTTCTAAAGTGGAAGAGGAACCACCAGAAGAAACAATCACAAAACCTGGGAACTCTATCAAACCAATTCATTTTTTTTCCTTTATATTTTTGTTTCCTCCGACCCACCCACTACTGTGTATCTCTAACCAGACCAGGCCAATCATAGCTCCAAGGATGACCCCACAGTTGCCTAGCAACCCTCTAGCTGTTATGGGAGGTCCAAACACAAAACTCTCCCTTCCAAATTATCTGAAACTGTAAGTGACTTCACTCATGTTGTCATCGATCTCTCCGATGACGCCATGTGGCCAGTTGTAATCTTGTTGCATGAACTTGACGTGGATCTTTCTATATCTCTTGCTTTATTTTTTTATTTATTATTATTATCAGTTCTTCTTCCCACCCACCCCTTCCTCTTCTCTTCTGGCGGTTGTGCAGTGCCATATTGATGCCCATGGTGGTTAGTTTTTGGAGTGTTGATTGGTCAGTCTTTTACTAGTTGTGGATTCTCTGAGCCCATAAATTCCACTTTGTCCTCTTTCGTATCTTCTTCTTTTCTTCTCTGTTGTGATGTGACGATGATGTATGTGCCCTTTATGTATGATCATGATGGCTGGATAAAACGGTTGGGGGTTGACCTTAGAAATTAGGTTGTAGAAGAAATAGCAAGATGGGTCACCCAATTTCCCTATCTATCTTCCCTATTTTCCTCATACGAGTCCTGATTTGTTGGATCTGATCTTTCATAATCCTCTTCTCTAGGGTGTCCAAGCAGCATCTACCTAACTATCTAATAGGGCTACTTTAATCTGGATTTCTGCTTTGGAGGGTTGGATTAAATGGCCTCTTCCAATTCTTACAGTCTAGGATTCCCAAAGTTTATGGAAACTCAAATCCAACATATCTGAAGATCACCAGGCTGGAAAACCATAACTGTTTATATTTATAGTTGATACGTTACCCCTCAAAAAGAAGTCTATTGTTGCAGAAGCTTAAGAACATAATAGATCTCCCTAGCGTTGATACCAAATGCTCTTTTATAGCAGATGAGTGCAGGCAGATGCTTTGTCTGTAGAAGCTTCAGAGTCAATTCCCAGCATCTTCCAGGGGTGCTAGGAAGAAGTATCTGAAACTTTAGGGAACTTGCCAATAAGCTCACAGTACTGGATCAACAGATCAGGGATCTGATGTGGTACAAAGCAGGTCTGAACTGTGATGTTTCAACAGGTGGTAATACTTGGCCAACCTTGTCCAGCTCCAAAGCTAAGTAGGCTGATTAGAATTTGGATGAGACACCCCAAAGACTAGAAGTTGGACAAAGAGATCAAAAACCAACCAATACTAGTTTAGATTTGAGGATAAAAGAGATCCCAGAGCAGTGTTTCTCAGCCTTGACCACTTTAAGACGTCTGGACTTCAACTCCCAGAATTCCTCAGCTAGCCATGCTCAATTGTGGGAATTGAAGTCCACCCATTTCCAAGATTGGGAAGTTGAAGCCCATTTCTGGGAGTTGAAGTCCATGCATTTCCAATAGCACAGTATTTCTCAACCGGGGCAACTTTAAGACGAGTGGATGTCCAACTTCAGCATGGCTGACTGGAGAATTCTGGGAGATGTCTTAAAAGTGGTCCTAGCTGAGAAACCCTGTTCCAGAGACCAGCCAGACTTCAGACTTCAGCTTTTCTTGGGTCAGACATTGAATGCTGTTGCCCTTTGGGGGAGCCCCGAGTAGGACACGATTCCTCCCACCGGGAATTTTGGAGGCCTTCAGTCAGAAGAGGTTCCTCAACGGACAAGGCGGGTCCCTCTTTTCACCTTCCTTCACCGTCTCCCTCTGTCTTGCAGATTGGATGCCACGCGGCATACGAAGAGTATTCCCCTTGTCCCATGTGCCGTTTCCAGAACTTGTTAACTTTCTTTGCAACATATCACGGCGGAAAAAGGAAGCGATCAAAAGAGGTCAACGCAGAGGCGAAGCAGAGGTGCTGGGGAAAAGAAAGAGCTCGTTTCGTTCTATTTTTTTTCTCTCTCTTTTTTTTATTTTACTTTTTATTATTTATTTTTTTTGCCCCTCCTTTTAAAATTTTTCAAATCGGTTGGGACTCGGTTTTCTTTTTTCATTTTGGCTTTTTTTTTTTTTTGATGATGACGATGATGATGATGATGATGATTTTGGTCTCTTTAAGGCAAGAAAACAAACAAACAAACAAAAACAAACAAAAAACAAAACCCAAGAAGGTGGTTGTGGCCAAAACTTGGAACTGAGGGAAAGAGGCGATGATGCTCTTTGCCGACTTGAAACTCCATGGACGGGAACGGGGCCGGTGTAGAAGACTTTTCTTTCTTTTGGAAAATAATAATAATAATAATAATGAGGAGGAGGAGGAGGAGGAAGGGGGGGAGACAAAAAAAAACAAGCATCCTTCGCAGCAGAAGGGTGGGACTTTGTGAGAGAAAAGGTTGTGGGTGTGACACTTGCAACCGGGATCAGCTTGTCTCCAAAGCATTTGTCTGATTTTCAAGATTCAGAAGCGGGAGGGAGGGAGCAAAAGGCCTAAACCAAAGCTGATGGGTTTGGACCAGGGAAACGCTTTTGTTTTCAAAGGGGAATGAAGAAAGAAAAAAGAAAAAAAGGAAAATTGTTTTTCTCCACGTCTGTTTGGGAAGAGAAAAAAAAAAGAGAGAGAGAGAAAATCAGTTAACTAAGAGGATGTTGAACCTAACAGAAGAGAGAGAGATATATATAAATAGGTCTATATATCTTTTTTCCCATGGATTGAGTGAGGTCACAGGTTTTTGCCCCAGTCCTGGGAGATTGGATTAACTTCTTTCAAAGTCATATCATTCCTTAGAGTTTAGGGACCAAAGGACTATTGCTTTTTTTAATATATATATAAATATAAATATATATATATATATAAATTAATTAATTTAAAAAACAAAAGAAAAAAAAACTCAAAGAGGTTTAAAAAAAAAGAAGCAAGCAAGCAAGCAAGCAAGAAAATAACCGCTTCAAATCCAAGCTACAAAGTCGTCTCGAAGAGAAGGATGTCAGCATCAACGCAGAAGTCGCTTCGGGAACAACCTGGCTTAAGGCTGGTGGCTTTGTGACTGCATTGAATGCTGTAGGGTTTCAAGGAGCAAAACTGAGGTGCGGGTGGGAGTTTTTTTTGGGGGGGGAGAACTATTTATCCCAGTAGCAATTTGTGCTCTCTCTTCCCCCCTGGATAGAGGCTTAGTTTTCAAAAAAATAAAATTGTTGGGGAAGGAGAGAAGAACAGGATGTCTGCCCCTGATCTACATCTCCCGTGTTGAAAAGGAATATTTGATCAGTGCCAGAAGATACACAGAACTAACGTGAACATCAGCAGTGGCCCTTCTGTAGACTGTTAGATCTTGTGGCTCAGCCTATCCCCACTGTGGCTGCCCTATTTGAGACTCAAAAGACCCCCCTTGGGTTGCGCAGGAGAGACCCTGCTCCTAAAAATAGGCAGAATTTATCCAGAGCAAAAACTAAATTTGATTTAAGTTACGTTCAGATGTGTTTATTTCCCACGTACTTCAGAACGTTCTTTGGCCATTCATTGTGAAACTTTGAGGCCAAATTCTGGAGGTCTTCGGAGGATGAGCCCAAAACTTTAAGGAATGGCAGAAGAGCCTGGGGACTTTGGACCCCAATGTCCATGGATCAGGAACAGCTGCCTGGGATTTAGAGCAGTAGTTCTTTAACTGGGGGTATTTACCCCAAAGGGTTACTTTGGGCCTATCCTGGGATAATGGAGCAATTTGCAAATTGCTTCTTTGTGAGTTGAGTTCCATTTTAGGATAGAGTTGCGTTTTAGGATTGTTCTTTTACACTTGTGTAAAACAAGAGAGTCTTTGGGGGGGGTTGTGTGTGGAGATCATTATATTATTCAAGACTAGAGAAAGGAATTATTGGATCAAACCATTTAAAAACCACTGATTTAGAGACAGGTTTTTCCTCTCCATTGTAAGAGCTGCTTAGAATTAAACCCGGAACGTTTTTTGTTTTGTCTCACTGGAAAAAAACCCCAACCTGTTCCTTTATTCAGAATTCCTCCTTGCCCAGATTAATGCAACTTACTCTTAAGTAAGCATGTGCAAAATTGCATCCTTACTCTGTGTTTGAGGTCTTCTGGTTGCCCCATATTTCAGAAAGAAAACCAGGGGTATAGATTGAACATAACCCCCAAGACTAACTTATTTTAAATGTATAACGTATCTTGCTTTTCAATTCACTTTAGTATCCTCTCCCACCTCCATCCCCCCCAAAAAAATTAAAAAGGGTTTAGACTCCAGAAACTGCCTTAATGCATTAATACCCAATCCCTCTGGAAATTATCTATTATCTATGTAAAAAAAAAAATCTAACCGAAATTCAGGGTGAATCAATGAAAGCCCACAGATGGATAACATCTGGCCACAGATAACTCTATATCACTAGTTTTGAGTGGTCATTAGCCAGTGTACTCTTAGAAAACATACATGTTCATTGCATGATTTGCCAGAAAAAAAAAATAAATGCGACCTGTTCTCTCCCAATCAACTGAAGTCAAAATGATGGAGAGTACATTTCATATCTGTCTTTAAGCCCAAGCCAACTTTTTGAATAACTTTTCAGTCTTTTTTGACTGAAGGGGCAGCTGGTAGATTGGGGATGCATCTTTCCCTACTCCCAGTAATCATATTTTTCATTGAATCTAACCCCAACACCCCCCCCCCATAGAACAAGCTTTTGAGTTCTGTAGAGCCACTGAAGGTATGGAAGAAGCTTTTCCAAACCGTATTTCAAGGGGCTAAACTTGGTTTTAAACGCTCAAAATGTCTAAAAGAGAAAGGAAGCTGTATTCATCCATCACAAAACAAAATCAAGGACGATATTAAAATAACGCCTTCATGGTGTCTATGTATGTATATGTGTATGTGTGTAAACACATGCATAAATGGATGCATACATTTCCTTTTTATCCTACATATGAAAGACAGTTCTGAACACCTGGAAGGCAGTTCTGATCCCTGGAGCTAAGTAGCCATTTGTAAGGGTCAATCTAGTAGAGGCTTCCACGAAAGACAATACACCAGAGTGACAATGAACTCCTGTCAGTTCCACCACCCTCTCCCTTGGACCACTTAACAGCTCCAGAGGGCCATCTCCTCCCCATGGCCATGCTCAGCCAATCCAGAAAGAGAAACCTGGATGTAAAAAGGCAACGTCTTTCATTTCTGAATGAGCACCTTATCTCCCCTCACCCTGAAACTATAACTCCTAAATTCCTGGTGGGTGATGGAGAAGTTCTACCATGCTGGACTTGGCTCCAAGAAAAGCTTTCGGTGATCTTTTAGAAAAGCATCTCCTATCTAATCTTCACGGCAGTGTTTCTCAACCTTGACAATTTTAAGGCATGTGGACTGCAACTCCCAGAATTCCATAGCCAGCAATGCTGGCTGTGGAATTCTGGGAGTTGAAGTCCACATGTCTTAAAATTGTCAAGGTTGAGAAACACTGCTTCACGGCGTGAGCTCTGGCTTTGCACAGGAGAGTCTTCAACAGACATATTGGAAAGACACAAGCCTTGTTTTTTTTCCATTGGATCATCACTCGGTATAGGTTGATTGTAGACGGGAGAGGAAGAGGCCAGCAAATCCGTTGCCTTTGTAGAACCTTATCTCTGTGTCTCTTGTTGCACTGGTATGATTGCAGCCAAATTTAATATTGCTTTCTAGAATCTGCTGGAGAGGATGAGGTCAGGGGAAAGGTGGGAAGGAGGGAGGGAAGGGGAATTCAATTAAGGAAGTGCCAAATAAGAATGAAAGACAGTTAAGATTCATGAAGGATCTGGAGGTTATCTGTCCTTCATGATTCATGTCCCCCAATGCGGTCACTCGGCCACTGGACTTCTTCGAATTCTTCTCTCATTTTTTTTTTTCCTTTTCTTCCCTCTCTTTTTTTCCTGCTTTTTAAACTTTTCGTGCTTCATTGTTAACATGGTTTTAGAACAGAATGCTTTTTTGTAGCGTGATTTAGCATTGAACATAGAAGAGCCCCCCCCCATTCAAAACAAATGAAAACAAAGCAAAAAAAAAAAAGAATCAAAATGGGGGAAAACGACAATCGATTTTAGTGATCTTGTGAAAGTGGACTTTTTTCTAAGAGTAAAAGAAAAAGAAATGGCACACACACACACCACACACACACACACCCCACGACGCACCCATATGTGCACTCACAAAAATACACATGCACGGCAAATGTTTTGTGGTGGGGCGTGGCATATGATAGTCTATTTATTCATGGCAGGGTAAATGGCTGAAATACAATTCTTTTTTCCACTGGCAACGAAGAATGAGAAGTCAGACATAAAGCTGAAGCCCCGTGTATGAATGGTGCTGTTTCTTCTCAAGCCTACTTTGAAAACCAGGCCGTGTGACTGTGTAAAAATAAGAACTGTGGGATCTGCTTGCAGCAGGATCTCCATAACGGCTCGGTTCTTGGGATCCTCTGCGCCAGGACAGGGCAACTTTTGAATGGCCAGGATCTATAGGTAGCTTTCCTTCAGAGATACTGAAGAGAACCAGGTCTCATGTTGAGGGGGAGAGGTTCAATTTTGGGGAAGAGTTTGCTAAGATTCATGGGAAATTTGTAGGTTAAAAAAAATGGATGGGATGGGATGCCAGGTTGAGCCACTGGAAGGCTATAAGCTACCTGAGAAACTCAACTTTGAAAACTGCTGGATTGGCACAGTTGCCTGGAACTAACAGCTGGCTGGACTTTAGTTTGGACCGAGAACAAAGCCAATGCGGTTGTTTTATGTTATACATCTGCTGTTCTCCATCATTTCTTGAGGTAGCTTCCCCAAAGCTGGTGAAAGTTGCCAGAATCCATAGCCAACCATCAGGCTAAAGAAAGCTAAGCTATGGGGCTTTGTTTGCCTATGACTGATTCTGTCTACCTTGAAGAAGTCCTACGAGGACTAATCTGCAAGACCCTTTCAACTGAAGCAACTCTCCTTGCGTTTTTTGTTGACAAGCCCTGGACACTTGACTTGAGGAAGGATGCTTGGAGTAATGACAGAAATTTAGCATAGATAGCTGGCAGTAGATTAGGGATTTGGGGTGTTCATTTGGACCCTTTCCTAGCGGTTTTAATCCATTCCCCACTTCTAAATAGTAGGCAATAGTTAGGTAATGAAACATCTGCAAGCAAACAACTGAGTTCAGAGAGCACCAAGAACTCCACACGGTAGGAAAATCGTTCTGTAGGAAAGGGGTGGACGCATCATCTGAATACATCTCTCGGCTTCTTCCTTCAACCTCCACCTTCAGTTTGCGACTATAACAGCAGGACCCCATTTCTGCTCATGAAAGGAGAGGTTTCATTTCCAAAGCGTTCTTTCACCACCCAAACAGTAGGTCGCGAGCAAGGAAGCCAGCATCTGGGTTTGAAGGTCTCTTTCTGGTTCATTTAATCAACGTCAAAAATCTTTTATTCACATAGGAGCTCAGGCAGTGTGGAAAAGACAATGGGCAACCCTCGTGAAAAACATTCCTTGCCTATCTTCATCGTAAGGTCAAGATGTGGAAGAAGATATTCATTGAGACATTTTTCTTCTCCTTTCAGCCCTTGTGGATCAGGCCAAAGATCTGAGATCTTTTATTAATGCCAGGAGATTCACGGGAGCTCTTAAAGGCTGTGTGCCTTTCACTTTCTTCAGCGTCTGGGCCAGTGTTTCTCAATCTTCTTTTGAACCAGCCACCTGACCATTGAAGGACACGTTCTTCCTCTTTCTTCTCTAACCCAGTTCATCTAAGGGTGATAAACCCTGCTAAGCTCCATGTTTATGGCTTCAGAGAGTGTTCATTGCTCCCTCTCCATGATTGTTTCTACAGAGGTATAGAACATAGAATCTGAAGGTTGGAGGAGACCTTGGAGGTGCTCTAGTCCAATCCTCTGCTCAAGCAAGAGACCCTATATCATTCTAGACAAATGGCTGTCCAGTCTCTTTTTGAAAACCCCCAACAAGGAACCATCCACAACTTTGGGAGGTAAGCCGTTCCACTGATCAATTGCTCTCGCTGTCAGGAAATGTCTCCTTATTTTTAAGATCTCTCCATCCATTGCTGCTTGTCCTGCCCACTGGTGCTTTGGAGAATAGATTGACCACTTCTCAGTGACAGTCCCTCAAGACTGCAATCATATCACCCTTCAATTGTTCATCATGTGGTTTAGCCTCCAGAGCCCTAATCATAATAATCATAATAGAGTTGGAGATATTCCAGTCCAACCCCCTGCTCAGGTAGGAAACCCTGGCCTATAGCATTACAGACAAATGGTTGTCCAGTCTCTTCTTTAAAACTTCCAGTGTTGGAGCATCCACAACTTCTGGAGGCAGGTTGTTTCACTGATTAATTGTCCTCACTGTCAGGAAATTTCTCCTTAGTTCTAGGTTGGTTCTCTCCTTGATTAGTTTCCATCCGTTGCTTCTTGTCCTGCCTTCAGCCGCTTTGGAGAATAAGTTGACTTCCTCTTCTTTGTGGCAGCCCCTGAGATATTGGAACACTGCTATCATGTCCCCCCCTTGTCCTTCTCTTCATTAAACTAGACATACCCAATTCCAGCAACCGTTCCTTATATGTTTTTGCCTCCAGTCCCCTGATCATCTTTGTTGCTCTTTCTTCTCTGTGCTCTTTCTAGAGTTTTTGTTGAGTTTCTGTGCACTCTTTCTGAAATCTCAATATCTTTTTGTATTGTGACAATTAGAATTGGATGCAGTATTCCAAATGTGGGTTGCAATACTCAGAAGCCCCTGCTGATGCTTTCCCAACTTTAGAGACAGTCAAGAGGGGAACACACTACGAGGAAAGGGAAGTTGTTCCACACAAACTCTTCTTAGCATTTCAGTCTTGTCAATATCATCATCCATCTTGCCATCCCTGCACCTAAATAGCAACCCAGCCTATTGTTACGCTGGTAAGGAATCTGGTAGGAAAGCTAAATAATCATAGACAAGGGAGGCTAGAGAAGCTTCTTTCAAGGCCAGCTGTCAAAAAACATCCAGGTTCCACTCTCCAGTTTTCCAGATACATTCACAAAAAGAAGACAATGTTGTCTATAAATCTGTAAATTAGATTTATGGCCAATGTTTGTTACTCTCGTGGCATAGGCCACTGTAAGGGGTACCAGGGGTGTACAAGAAAATCTGTCCGTTGTCACACTTGATTTTTGGCCAAGGTCAAGGAAGATTGGGAGGGTTAATGTTGAAGGGCTTTTTAAGAAAAAAAAAATCTGTCAAGGAAATGTGTCATTTTTTTTTCATGATATTAAAAGCACAGAAAGATGCATGCCACTTTCAGTAATATCCCTTCTTTGCCAGCCATTTCTTTTTCTTCCCAGATATTTGAACAGGAAAAGATGAACAATGATCGGCGGAATATGTTGGGTGCACATATTGTGCCGTTGTAAATGTTGCGTTTTTTTTTTTTAAATGTGTCTATTCTCTGCCACTGCTCGATACCTTTAACAATGATGACCAAGGACAAGGAGAAGGATTGATACCTCTAATTTTGTCAACTCTCTAGGCTTGTCAGAATGAAGGAATCCGAGTTTTGCCTTACAGCAAAGCATTTTTTTTAATGTAAATAACATTCCTTTTAGTTTTAGAAAAAGAAGTCCAGGGATGGTGGAAATGAACAGCCTTGCAGGGTATGAGGTGAAGGCAGACAACTTAAGGTGCCAAAGCCTGAATGTGTCCAGTTCTGTATATAAAATGGAAGAAAGATAACATATTGTGGTATCTCCTTGTTATTTCTAATTTAAGGACCTTCTTAAACATAGGTACCCTCTAGATCAGGGGCCTTCACCCTTGGCAACTTGAAGACTTGTGGACTTCAATCCCCAGAATTCCTCAAACAAGAATTTCTGGGAGTTGAAGTCCACAAGTCTTAAAGCTGCCATGGTGGGAGACCCCTCATCTAGATGGGTTGACTTCAAATTCCAGAATTTTCAATGGTGGTTATGCCACTCTGCACGTTCTGGGATTTAAGTCCACACATCTGAAGAGTGCCCACGTTAAGAGAATGCTATCTTCTCTTTTGGCTACTGTTTTCATATGCTGAACCCCCAGTGTCCATAACTCCTGAGTGAGTGATGAATGTGTGGGTCAGAGGTGGCCTCCACCCCCTTATTTTAGTTTTTGTTAAATGCTAAACCATAAGAATCGCAGCCACCAAATTGCAATATAAAGCTTCATTTCAGCTCGACACCTTCTAAAGCGTTGCAAAGCACACAACAGGGGAACTGGGCCAGTGGCACTATATTCTGTGTGTGCAGCACAACCTGGTCAAATGTGGGTCTGTGGTGCTGGTGGACATGGGGAGGTGGGGTTAGCTGTGTCCTGGGAAAGAGGAGAAAGGGTTAATGGAGGGGTTAGCTCTCTCTGGAAGGAGGCAAAGTCATAGATTGGCCCTCAATTCAAAAGAGGGAGGGGCTTCTCTATGGATTCTGTCTCCAAGTTTTACTTTCCATCATCCCGCAACCAGATTGAGGAAAGGGTGAAAGGAAATGGAGGTGCAGATCCTGTTGTAAGTATTGATTTCCAAGCTTTGCTTCAAAGACTTTTTCAAAACAAAAAAGCTGGGCCATTTTTGCAGCACCTGAAAGTCGGGCACTCCTGTGGCATCAAGACTCGTGGGTTCTCTTCTGCAACAATATATGTGGGTTCCCCTCTTCCTGCCCAGACTAACAGCTGACTGGATCAGCTGGATCATGATCCAAACTCCACCGGAAGGAGAACTCAAGGCGCAGACACATCCCACCAAAAATGGTCGCCCGCTATTGCCATAAAGCACAAACCGCTGACATCTTTTAAGGGCTATGTTTTTGCTATTATGGTCTAGACATTAGATGGGACACAGAGTTGGGCAGTGGGTCTAACTGCAAAGCTACCTCTGATACAGAACCATCCTTTTTTCATGTAGCCAAGTCCTTGCTGAAGATTTTTGTTACTCATCGTTTTGTAGAAAGCATAGAGGTTTTGAAGAAGGTGACTTTAAGATTTTTATTTTATTTTATTTTTATTTTATAAGGGATTACTGTAAAGGAATTATCCCTTAAAACAAATATTTTGGAACGTGAGGGGGATAGTCTAGGCCGTGAATTCAGATGCGATCAATAGGATTTCCTTGTACAGATCCCTCTGAATTCCAGCAGAACCGGCCCTTGCCCCTTAAATAGTAGGTCTATTAAAACGTACTTTGCTCAATACCTATCATCAAACACAGTGCCATAAAATTAAATCTTCCTTTCTCGTTTCTTCAGTACAGACCTCCTCCATATATCTGGAATTAAAGAACTTTCGGATCGAAGATTAAAGCTCTCCAGAGATCCATTTTCCCTACGCTAGGTAGTAAACCAGATCTGAAATGCACTTGTTTGTTAAATCATTCCAAGAGAGCAGACATTAATGCTTCTACTGTTAAGTATGTCTATCCTGATGTAAGAGGAGTTGACCTACCCAGGTTTTTTTTCCTGGGAATATGTAGAACCCCCAAGTGTCTCTGCAACATGTGGGAGAGGCCACCTGGAATGAGAACTTGCAGTTGGCAAATGTTTTTCTACATTATTCTCAGAAAACATTCTGAGATTCTCAGAAATCTTCTCCCTTTCCTCCGGCTTTTGCTTAGGCGATGGGTCAAGGCCTACGATGCCCCCTGCCCTTGAAACGTCATCCTTGGTTGGGAATCCTCTTGGCCACCCTTGAAGGCATGAGGAGCCAGGGATGAGGTCTATGCCAAGTAGACAGTAATTGTAACCTTTCTTGATAACCAAATTGATGGTGGATGTAGCAGTGACCAACTCACCCCTGTGTCTATGCACCTGTAAGGAGGGAAGGGTGCCCCCTTTTTCATTCAGAGCATGATAAATTGGTAGGTCGAGAATTTAGGCCGTCAACAGAAGGCACGTAAAAAGGGATCCCTGTTTCTAAGATGACGTTTGAAGGCCACCACCTCCATCGAAGTGGCCAGTTCACATGAAGGACTGTTTGAGACAAATGACCCATTTCACAAACTTTCCACAATTGTTGTTCCTTTAGATAAAGATCATGGTATGAATTGTAGATTTGGCTTTCTGTATGCAAGGTATTTCTGTTCTTTCCCTCCATCCATTTCACGTCCAGACTACAAGCACAGGGAAGTGGAAACATTTGGTTGTAAATGCGGTTATATGACTGAGTCAAAACCTTTTAAGAAAATCTGTACCTTCTGCATTTTTTTTTCCCATCGGGGTCATTTGAAAGCTGCCATCTCAGGTGGGCACACGGGATTTCAATAAAAATTACCTCCCCCCGCTCATTATCCGAGTCTCATGCTCCTCTTCACCTTCTTCGTAACTGTGTTGTTTTCTTTCAGCCCCACTAAGACTTAAAAATGTCAGCAGCAGGAAGAAGTCGACAACTATTCCCCACTTCCTAAAATTTAAGATGCGGGTGAATTATGTGGGAAGTGGGGAAGTTTTGGCATGGTAAGAATGAAGCTAAAGAAAATGGAAATTTCAGTCATCATTCTCCAATGGGGTACCTGCTTAGAGGCTGATAGAAATCCCAAGTATCTCCAGGATGGGGAAATCTGAATTAAATGAGGATTGATGAACAGCCAAATTAGGGTCTTCATCATCCAAAGTCTACTGTTGGACCAATTAATGAGATTTTCCTCCTCAGTTGGTTACTCGTTTTAAGTAAGATCTTTGGCTACAGCATTCTCATCCCGGATAGCCAAGTTGATGTCACTGAAGGCCCACATACAATGATGGTTTGTGCTCAGTTTGGCTCTCTGAATAGCCACGCTCCCAATCTTAGTCTCTCTCTTTTTTTAACCCTGTTCCCCTCCTGAATTTGGGAAAAGGAGCTTTAGGCCATCTCCATCCATTTCCCATTCCCATGCACACAAAACACACACTCGTGGGCTTTTGGTTTCCATCTTTCAAAAAGGAACACTGCCTCCCCAATAGTGGGGAGCACTTTTTTGGCATTCCAGTGGATTATACGATTCTTTTGATTGGTCTTTCTTATGATTTCCTTGTAGTATAATAAAAGACAGACAAAATGGGCGTTGTGATCTCTGTAGCTCTGTAGTTTAAAATGATATTCTGCTTAGACTGAAAATAAAGCACAGTCCAGTGGGAATTTGACCGGATTGTTTGCGTGAGTCTCTTCTTCAGGAGTTCTCTCCAAAACTTCTCCACTCTTTGGAAACAGGCTACCACTTTATTTAACTAGTCCACTTCACCGTGCCCTTGTATTCTTGCTGGGCGGAAGAGCCCCCAAAACCTCCGTTGGCTCCTGGTTATGCTTCCTGTCCAGTCTCTGGGAAATTCCTCAGCAAAGCTTAACTTGGATCTTGAGACACAGGTACTTCCTGGCTCCCCAGAACCATAAACATGTTTCAGTTCTAAATGTTCAGAAGATATAGCTGCAGGGCTGACCATTTGTCTATTAAAGCTCTTTGTTTTGAGTCCAAGACAGAAACATTCCCAGCCCCAAAGGAAATCAGCAGATGAGGGCTCACTCTACGACCAGGTAGTAGGAATCCGAAATGCACCTCCTTGTAAGTAGAAGCTTACTCAGAACCCAGGAAAGAAGAAAGATCCATTCCTAGATATTGTTATCTGATAAGCCTGCTGAGCAAACGTTTGGAACAGTAGTAGCTCTCCCATATGACATGTTGTTTAGACCAAAGTTCCTCAACCTTACCCACTTTTAAGATGGGTGGACTTCCCAGAATTCTTCAGCCAGCATCCTAGGAATTGAGGTCCATTCGTCCTAAAGTTGCCAACCTTGAGGAACACTGGTCTTGAACCTCTTGTGCTTGACATCAACCCTGTCCCTTATTTTTTGCTCGGTTGATAGTTATGAGGACTGGATGGCAGATTCCTGCCCCCAAATTCCTAACGTAACGTTTTTCAGATAAAATCCTATTTTATCTCCTCTTCATTCTTGACCTTCTTTCCTACTGGCCCTTCCTAAGACAGCACACAACACAGCAGGCAACGGAAACCGAGACAGGGATGATCCGGGTGGCAAGAGGACAGTGACCTTAACTGCATCTTCTCCTGGTCCAGAAGTGGACAACCTGCAGCCACAAAGAACTCTTCAGATCATGTTGGCTAAAACTCAACTTGTGTTTCTCTGCAGCAAGGAATCAATCAAAACTCAAGCACAGTCCAGTCCAAGAGCAACAACAGATTTCCACCTCCAAAGCTGATGTCCATCAATATATGTGATACAGCCACTCCTTCCTCCCTCTAACCCAGTGGTTCTCAACCCGTGGGGCGGGACCCCATTTGGGGTCGAACGACCATTTCACGGGGGTCACCAAACAACGCAGTCCGCCATTTTTTCCCCCCTTTTCCTTAGCTGTGCTCCTCCCTTTTATTATATTGGCTTTTGAAAGCCAATAGAAGAGACTCTCTTGAATAGAATCTAATTCTATTGGCTTTCAAAAGCCAATAGGAATTGTCCAGGCTGTCTCTGCCTTGCTGAGCCCGCCAAAAGTCCCATTCTGCAAACGGTGCTGCACCAGTTGAGTAGTCCTCAACTTACGGCCGGCTGAGTAGTCCTTGACTTACGACTGGTTGGGGGTCGCAGCATTAAAAAGGTTGAGAACCACTGCTCTAACCTGACACAAAAATGGTTAAATGTGGCCTTGGGTACCCCAACAATGGATTCCCCAGACCAGGGAAATAATATTTCCGTAGGGGGAATATATGTGAATAGAGTCCTTTCTTTACATAGTCTGGGAGAGGAGGAGAATAACAGCCATCCAAAAACTGGCACATCTTAAATCCTACTCCGAATTGAAACCAGATTGTTCCACAAAGGACCCAAAGGTCTGAAAGTGTAATCGCAACAAACAAACAAACAAACAAAAAAAGACACCTAATCCCATGCACACAAATGGAGAAAAGGTGTGCAAAGGAAAGCGCACCGCCCGTCCTGCACAAACAAGAGGGGAAAACGCAACATGTGACGGCTGGTTTTGAAAAAAAGACCTCACAGGGACACGAGAGCTGTTTTGTTTTTTTTTTCCAAAGAGAATTTTAATAAGCTAAAACCGCTTGCTTGCACGCACACGTTCTCTCTCTCTGGGGCTCTCTGTTTCATTGTGTGTCTGGGGGGGGGGTGTTTTTGTTTTTGCTCGTTTTCACGGTTAAAAATGCCGTCGTCGAAAACGTGGGCATGCAAACTCAACCATTCCAACCGTTCACAGGAATTGGTCCAAGTCCACCCACTCAACTCTACGGATGGGCAGGGTGGAGCTGCTGCGCCCCCTCCAGAGAGGTCCCCCCTGGCATCCGCGGTCCAGACGTTGACAGCGGTCGCTCCCTCCGGTGGGTCTGTCTTCAGCCGGGCAGAGTCCATGTATGGTCTCCAACAACGGTCCCTTTCCTGCCCCAGGGGGGCAGCGCCAGCCCAGTCTGAAGGGAAGAGCTCCTCCACCCCTCAGTTTGTATAGACCTGAGTGCCAATTACACGCATGATCTCCTTCTGAATTTTTGGGTCCTGAGTATTGATGTTGGCGTCTCCGACTTGGCCATCTTCGTACCTGGCAGGAAGGGTGAGACCGGGGTGAAACGCTCTCTTTCATGCCCCCTCCTTCCCATCAAGCCCCCTGCTGCACATCCAGCTCCCACGGGGGGGGGGGGGGAGAGAGAGAGAGAGAGAGAGAGAGAGAGAGAGAGAGAGAGAGAGAGAGAGAGAGAGAGAGGGAGAGAGCAGTCTCTCCTCCCACCTTGTTAAGGAGACTGAGCGTACTCACACAAAGAAAAAGCGGGTGCAGACGTGATCAGACACAGGACAAACCCAGATGTTGCCATGCTTCTGGAGATCCTTTGATGTGATCACTGCAGAGGAAGAAGGGGGGGGGGGTCAACAACGGAGCGGTGAGCAAATGACACGGCTTGCACCAGTCTGCCCCCTCGTTATGCCAGACAGCCAGATTGGATGGTTCCAGGGTACCAGCCTGGCCAACATGGAAATGGGCTGCAGGAGGAACCGGGCCTTCCGATTAACTCAGCAAAGCCTGGAGGATGTCCCAAAAGTGCTTTTTCCAAACATGTTGGCTTTTCCCCTGAAAAGATCTGAAGAAGCTTCTTGGATGTTTTCAAGGGGAAAAAAACCCAAGAAAAATCCAGTTGCCTTTTGAAAAAGCATCTTTGGAACCACCGTGACCTGGATGACTGAGAATCTCCATAGACAAGGTGTTTCCACCTTTTTCCTTCTGTGAATCATCCACCAATTAGCATTTGCACAAACCAGGAAGTTGGTTGACCTTGGCGTTGGAAGTGGACAGGAATGATGAGTACAATCTCACGGGAATGAACCGGACCAGGTCAACTGAATGCTCATCTTTTCACTCACCTTCACAAAGTGCGATGCAGTTCAGATTGCGACTCTGTAGGAATCTGGACTGGATGGATCGTGTCTGAGAGGAAAGGGGAGATCCAGAATCAAGATCCCATCTTGCTTGGCATTTGCCACAAATTTCCCCACCCCTGGCCCTCCTTGGCTTCTGTTCCTAAGCCCCCACAGGTTCTCTCCCTAAAAAATGGGCATGAAGACAGATCCCCCCTTTGGAGAGCTGCTGCCAAGCGTGGGAAATCCGGAAATCCAGGCAGATCAAATGAATGTAAGGGTTGATTGCAAGCTTGAGTCCCTACAACAGTGGTTCTCAACCTTTTTAATGCCGCGACCCCCAACATGTCGTAAGTCGAGGACTACTCAACCGGTCGTAAGTCGAGGACTACTCAACTGGTGCAGCACCGTTTGCAGAATGGGACTTTTGGCGGGCTCAGCAGGGCAGAGACAGCCTGGACAATTCCCATTGGCTTTGGAAAGCCAATAGAATTAGACTCTATTCAAGCGAGTCTCTTCTATTGGCTTTCAAAAGCCAATAGAATAAAAGGGAGGAGAACAGCTAAGGAAAAGGGGGGGGAATGGTGGACTGCGTTGTTTGGCGACCCCCGTGAAATGGTCGTTCGACCCCAAATGGGGTCCCGACCCACAGGTTGAGAACCACTGCTCTACAAGAATCTGAGCTACTAACGGTCAAAGCAAATTGGTGGTAGATAAGAGTCAATGGGAATCAAGGTGGACGGGACTTAGATCTCTTGTGGGCATGAAGGGACTCAAGACTGATGACGCGTTTGATCCTTCCTTCCGGCTCAGCCTGGTCATCTCCTATATCTGCTTATGAAACCCAATGGGGCAGGTCCACGGCAGATCCAAAGACCTGCATAACCATTACGCATGCACAGCGTTACCTGGGGAATTGTGTTCATCCGGTTGTACCTCTGCACCAGCTCATCCTTGGAAGGCATCCGGTGCTGCCCTTTCCCCATCCCTGCGGGGACAAGAAAGAGGGTAAGAAGAAGCAGCAGCCACGGGAGAGACCAGGAGTGGTTGATCTCCTAGCCCACAAGCGAGTGGTGCTCTTAGTCACGGATGCAAAGGTTTGTGGAGGGCGGAATAATGCAAACAGGAAGCATGATCAAAAGAGATCCTACAGATCGACAGAGTAGTGAGTCAAGCACCCTGGACCTAACATGTGGCTTCAGAACAGATTCCTTGCTGCCTGCCAAGCTATTTTCTCTCTCTCTCTTTTAACCCTTTAATTAAAATACAATGAGCTCGAAGCTAACACACTGCAAAGCTAAACACCAGCCTCAAGGATATTATATTCTGTATTCCACAGAGACTCCAAAGGCATATTCAGAACATAGAGGTTGGCTGGTTGCAGCCCAATTAGGTTGCTGGCTTCCCAATGGATGGGTACTGATAGAAGAGGATATTGGTAGCTCAGGGTTAAAATAAGAGGTCCTTGCTGCTCTCTGAGCTTGGTGGTTTTCTTGCAGACATTTCATCACCCAGCTATGTAACACCATCAGTGCTAGTAGGATGTGGGGACTGCTCTCACTTTATATACTGGTGCAGGGGTCTTCAAACGTGGGCCTTTTATGACTTGTGGACTTCAACTCCCAGAATTCCTCAGCCAGGCACATTGCAGGGGTCTTCAAACGTGGGCCTTTTATGACTTGTGGACTTCAACTCCCAGAATTCCTCAGCCAGGCACATGTGCCTGGCTGAGGAATTCTGGGAGTTGAAGTCCACAAGTCATAAAAGGCCCACGTTTGAAGACCCCTGGACTAGTGACTAGCCCTGTCAGTTTTGATGGGAGCGGTTTGGCAGTTCCTTAATTGAGCTGTTGTTGACTGTTAACTTGTTTGTCTGATACAACCAACTCAGTTGTAACAGTACAATTCAACCCGAATGTACATCTCGCACTGCCTCTTCCTCCTCCAACTCTTACGCAGAATTTAATAAATGGTCATCAAAAAGAAACAGGGCTCATCTCACATTCTCCACCAATTTGGAAGGCAAGGTCTAAACATTCGTTTGGTGTGCGGTTGGTACCCAACTGCCTTCTTTACTCCTTTATTCCTACTCAGGAATAAAGCTTAAAAGTCGGTGTTCATAAAGTATATTTAACCCGGTTACCGAATTAACTCACGTTCAGGCTTTTGCATAATACATTGAACCTTAAACTAATCCACAAGCTGAGCTCACATCAACACATTCAGCTACAAAAGAAAAGAAAAAGGTTAAAACTAATCTAGCATAACACGTTGCCACCTGCAAGCCCGTTGGATGGTTTCCCCTCACCTTCTCACTCCAGAACCACCTGATACGGTTTGCAGTGAACCCCCCCCCCAAAATGGGGACGCATCTATCTGTAGATCTCCACTCTTTGGAGGATGAAGGGTGTTTTTTTTAAAAATAATAATAATAAAAAAAATTTAAAGGACATTGTGACACTGTCACGTTCGCTGTTTTTGAATTTTGATCCATCTGCTTAAAGAGCCAGCCAACTGATTGGATGAAAGAGGTGACTGTATTCATCCTTGTTTTTTTAAAAATCAATCAATCAATCAGATGATAAACAAAGAAGCACGAAGTCCACCCCAACTTTGCTTCCTGTTTTGTTTGGTTAGCTACATCCCAAACGTGTTTCTCTTGGTTGGAGAGATTAGAGCTGGGGCCCAACCTCTCTGTAGGGCATCAACCTAAGGAGGCCTAAGATAACCTCCTGGCGGGCAGCAGAATACAAACAGTAGGAAGTAGAAAGCCTGGGAGTGCCAAAGGCCAACCATGTCTTCCTTGGAAAATAAGTCTCTGTGGAGACTTGGAGGCACATAGAACAATTCATCAGTGGAACTCCTTGCCTTCAGAAGTTGTGAATGCTCCAACACTGGAAGTTTTAAAGAAGAGATTGGACAGCCATTTGTCTGAAATGGTATAGGGTTTCCTGTCTGAGCAGGGACATGATAGCAGTCTTCCAATATCTCAGGGGCTGCCCCAAAGAAGAGGGAGTCAAGCTCTTCTCCAAAGCGCCCGAAGGCAGGACAAGAAGCAACGGATGGAGAAACTAATCAAGGAGAGAAGCAACCTAGAACTAAGGAGAAACTTCCTGACAGTGAGAACAATTAACCAGTGGAACAACCTGCCTCCAGAAGCGGTGAATGCTCCAACACTGGAAGCTTTTAAGAAGAGACTGGACAGCCATTTGTCTGAGATGGTATAGGGCAGTGGTGGCGAACCTATGGCACGCGTGCCAGAGGCGGCACTCAGAGCTCTCTGTTGGCACGCGCGCCACCACCACCAGCAGCGGGTCCATCAGGCCACCACTGCCGAAGCAGCCGACTAGCAAGCTCCAGTAGAGGTGGTAGAGCACTTTGCAGCATAGTGGCCCATTTTTGCACCCCCGGTTTTTGCGTGCCAGAGGCGGCACTCAGAGGCGCCCCCCTGCTCCCCCCCCAGTGCACCACAATACTGATGCAGCCCTGGCACTTTGCAATAAATAAGTGGGTTTTGGGTTGCAATTTGGGCACTCGGTCTCTAAAAGGTTCGCCACCACTGGTATAGGGTTTCCTGCCTGAGCAGGGGGTTGGACTAGATGACCTCCAAGGTCCCTTCCAACTTTATTATTGTTATTATTGATCATCGCACAGTCAGCCGGATATTCAGACTGGATTTGGCACTTTTGTCTACCTATCGAGTCCTTACCCAGAATCTGGGATAGGCAGATGTGGATGTTTGGTGGTATTACAGATATCGTCGCAGGATGGAAGCTGTTCCTAGTAAGGCCGCCTTTTGCAATTGACTAATGGTGAATCTGTCAATGCCGATGATGGTGTCCAAGTGGTGCTCTACTTGTTTTGGGATTGCACCCAAGGCGCTGCTTATTATTATTATTATTACTATTATTATTATTATTATGGATCATCGCAGTCAGCCAGATGTTCAGACTAGATTTGGCATTTTGTCTATTATTATTATTATTATTACATATGTCTATAAGGCAGGCCACAAGTGCATGAGGCAGCTGCCATATTGAACAGGGATCACATCTGTCTGCATTTGTGTACACGGTTTGCTTGGGAAACTCTCAGTCTTAAAACAAACCTCCCCCCCCCAAGGCACGCCCAGCTCCCAAGCGTCATGACAATCCATTGCGATGGATGGCAGAACCCACCCATTCCAATGGCCTCAAGTTGGCAACCTACTCCACAGGTACACAACCTTCTCAGGACACAACGGAGGGGAATCATCCTCAAGGGTGGGAGGACATTTCGGAAGGAGAAGGATGAACAGACTAGAGCTGGAAGGGACCTTGGAGGTCTTCTAGTCCAGCCCCCTGCTCAAGCAGGAGAACCTATACCGTCTCAGACAAGCGACCGTCTAGCCTCAAGGGGGGGGGGGGAAAGAGAGAGATAGGGCCAAGGTTAGGTCTGGCTGCCACCCCCAGCGCAAGATGTCCACCGAAGAATCAACCCAGATGCGTGGAGTGAATGGCTCCCTTCCCCACCCGGAGCATGTGGATGAAGAACACGAGGGGGGGAGGGGAGGGTGAGAGCGGCTCTTGAATGCAAGGCAAGCGCATGTGCAGGACACGGGGTGCACTGACAGATGGAGGGATGACGAGAGAGCCGCTTACCTGAATATCCAAAGGAAATACTGGAGATGGGGCTCAGATAGATGCCTTTGCCATAGGCTGCTCCATGCAGCTTGCAGAAAAACACCAATGTGAGCCAGAAAAAACAAAGCAAAAAACAAAACAAAACAAAACAAAACAAGGCTAGGGGATAGGACACAGGACAGTCTGGACCCTGAAACACTGCGGTGCGTCCCTCTGGAATTATCTGGAAACGTGAGCGTTCCTCCGGCTGCAGAGTCCCCTACTACTATTATTCTATACCAGTGGTGGCGAACCTATGGCACTAGTGCCAGAGGCGGCACTCGGAGCCCTCTCTGTGGGCACGCATGCCATCGCCCCAGCCCTGCCTTACCCCATAGCTCCCTCCTCACCAGCAGCCCCCCCCCAGAGGAGAATCACCCCCGGGTGCGGCCCGTGCGGAGCTGCACAGCCAAGCACGTGGCAGCTGGGCAGCAGATGATGTTGCGGGGTGCGGGCGGAGGGCGTGGCCACCATGGCACTGCAGGGCCACCTGGGCGATCCGCAGCGGGCTGTGGATGGCCCTGCGGGTGGGCGGGGTGAGGGCGGAGCAGGGCGGGAGTGGGTGGGCAGAGCGGGGGTGGGCCGGTTTTGGGGCACTCGGTCTCTAAAAGGTTCGCCATCACTGTCCTATACAGTGGTCAGTTACTGATCAGAGGCTGGGTCTTCCCCCCAAAACCAACAGCAAACGGGACCCCAGGAGACCTTATCCAAGAGAAGCGGGCTGCAACGGAGTCAGCCTTCCCTGCAGGCAATGGGATATGGTGCATCCTATCTCACCCCGCCTGGAGGCGGCACGGGGGTGACGCCGGGAGGGGGCTCTCCTGCAAGGCTGCTGCTAACTCTCAGCCTATACCCCACAGGGTTGGGGCTTCAATCTGCTGGATGATAGGGGCCGGCCCTGTGCATTCAGCTCTACAAATTAGACAGGGGTTTTCTGCAGGGAGAGGGGGAGGAAATACGCACTGCAAAGAAAGAGTTAAAACTTTTAGAGGAGGGTGGCTTGGCATGCAGCAGGAATATAGCACTTAGCCATAGCACTTAGACCAGGGGCTTCCAACTGGGGGTGTTGACACCCCCCGGAGGTGCCAGACGATGTTCCAGGGGGGGGTACGAAAACTTGGGTTTGGAAGTTTCAAAATTATAGTATATATGCAAAATTCACTTCGAACTTTTGTTAAGGGGTACGGAAATATATCCGATGCGTTCTAAGGGTGCGGGGTACAGAAAAGGTTGGGAACCGCTGACTTAGACTTATATATACCGCTCCACGGTGCTTTACAGCTCTCTCTAAGCGCTTTACAGAGTCTGCCCCCAACAATCTGGGTCCTCATTTTACCCACCTCGGAAGGAGGGAAGGCTGAGTTAACCTGGAGCCGGTCAGGATCAAACTCTTGGCGGTGGGCAGAGTCAGCCTGCAACGCTGCCTTCGAACGAGTCTGCCACCGCAGCTCTTAACTCCAATAGCCCTTAGACTTGTATACCGCTTCACAGCCCTCTCTAGGCGGTTTAAAATCAGCGTATTTGCCCCCAACAATCTGGGTCCTCGTTTTACTGACCTCGGAAGGATGGGAGGCTTGAGTCAACCTGGAGCCGGTGAGAATCGAACTGCCAAACTGCAGGGCAGCCGGCAGGCAGCAGAAGTAGCCTGCAGTACTGCGTTCTCACCACTGCACCACCACGCCTCAGTAATATGCAGAGAGGATGCTGAAACGGCCTCCTTCCCCTAGTACAGGGGTAGGCAACCCTGGCTCTTTTATGACTGGTGGACTTCAACTCCCAGAATTCCTGAGCCAGCATGGCTCAGCTTGGAAACCTCTCCCTGTCCCCTCAGCATGGCTGGCTCAGGAATTCTGGGAGTTGAAGTCCACGAGTCATAAAAGAGCCAAGGTTGCCTACCCGTGTCCTAGTAGTTCCTTCTTCGTTCTGTCACCTTTTAAAATAGTCAGGCCAAGAGTCTGTTCCTTGATTCCCCCAGAATTACCTGGTCTTTCCTGCTCTCCTTTGATGAACACAGTACTCATTTGCCCCCCCCCCCCACACACACACACCAAATGTCTGCCGCAGTTATTCACTGTTAGGCTCATAATCAGAAGAAATTCTCCCTTGGCCACAGAGCTGATTCTGTGGCTTAAAGAGGAGGGCTAGTTGTTGCGGGGAACTATTTGAAGTTGTTTTTTAATGATGATTTTAACTATTTTTTTTTTAAGGCAGGAAGAACGTGTCCTCTTGAACTCCTCAGAAGAAAAGGATAAGCAGAAATAAAACCAGACTTTTAAGGCCACAACACACTGGCATGGAAGAATAGGGTTTGTGCGTCTGCAGGTATGTGGATGTGTTTTATTTCAATGAACACAACTGAAAGGTAGTGTGAAATGCAAAGCATTTCCTCCCAGGAACATCATTAGGGATGGGCTGCAGTTAATCCATGCTCAGTTTGCTAAGTCATGCTGGCCTCCAGAACTGGCACAAGGCCCTGTTGCATTCAGCCACGCGATGCTATTACAACGGCACCGAGGGGAGAGAAGCTGGCTGTGGTCCAGCACATTGAGCCCTGACGCTCTACCAAGGGACTGCTGAAGGACTGGATGAACAGTGGCTGGGAGGGAGAGGTCAATGTCCAAAGGGTTGCTCCAGGAGAGTCTTGGGAGTGGCCAGGAGTATCACAGGGATGGGATGGGGGGCAGACACCCAGAGCTGCCTGTAGCCAAGGGACAAGAGGGGATCCCAAATGAAGCAGGACAAGTCAGCTGGCTAGCCATGATTATCATCTGAAGAAGGGGGAGGGGGTCTGTTAGCCCAGGAAGCCCACAGCCTCCCGCGATTCGATCCGTCCCACCGAGAATGGCAGCAGCACGTCACAGTCCCTTACCTGCAGTTTGGTGTAGGATGCATTGACCAGCCCATTGCGCAGAATGGAATGCCAATTCTCAATGTGAGAGCCACTGCAAGGGGAGGGGAGGGGAGAGAAACGCGTCACTTGCGAGCCCTTTCTGCCACCACGGAGAACCAATCACGCGAGCATGCGCGCCTCAATGCAAGATCTTGTGGCAGAGGACCCGCCACCCTCAGGCTAAGTGAAATCTGCAGAAATCGCTTGCAGAAACCACTGCTTCCCGGACCACTTTGCATCCAAAGGGGTAAAAAAAAAATATAGAGAAAGAAAAGGAAAAAGAAAGAAAAGAAAAAAAAGAAAAGAAGAAAAAAGCCTGAACAATCTCTTGATAAAGCACCCCAAATCACCCCCAGAGTTTTCCCACGCTTTCTGTTTATATCAGACATGTCAAACACAAGGCCCGGGGGCCGGATGTGGCCTGCGAAGTGGTTTCATGTGACCCGCAAAGCCATCCTGGAAACAGTGAGCGAATGGCCCCCTGCTGCCTTGTCCCTGGCTCAGGCCGGCCGGCCGGGAGCCCATGTACAATTTTGTGGTGGCCATCTATGCTGAAACACATTCAGTCTCCCTCTGACTTTGCCCTGGTACCCATCATGAGCAACCTGGCTAAGGAGAGCAAGCACAGCAGCAGCAGCCTTGAGGAAGAGAAGGTAAGTGCAGCTGGGCACCCCCTTGGGTAAGTGGGGCTGGGCTTGGTGCTGTGGATGCTCAAGGGCCAGGCTGGGCGTTTTGACCTCTGCTGCCCAGGGCTCCGGGCAGCCCCCGCCACCATCCAGCCCCCCCCCCGCATGGCCTGAGAGGAACAGTGAGGCTCCTCCAGTGGACCATGCCTTGGCACTTGTCCCGGTCCCACCCCCTTCTGCCAGAGACCCTCAGATCTGTCCCACTCCTGCCCAGGCATCCTTGATGCGAACGATGTAGAGCTGGCCACGCCCACCCAATAGGCCACACCCACTCCCTCCACACCCACCCAGTAGGCCGCACCCACCCTGGCCACACCCACTCCCCCCCCCCCCAGGGCAACTGCAATGCTGATGCGGCCCTCAGTGAAATTGAGTTTGACATCCCTGGTCTATATCAAAGACAAGGAAAAGGGTCTCCATGGCTCATCCTCACCATATAAGGACATAGTAGAGTCCACATCTAGGAGCAGAAAGGAAGTGCCACTAGGCTTGGCGGAAGTCCAAGCTTAGGAGAACAATCAAGAAACGCCTCAAACAAGGAAGACTGAGCTGATTTTTTTTTTTTAAAAAAAAGGCCCCATTAGTAATTGAGAAGCAGCAGGAGAAAAGTCAGGAAGCAGGGCGTGAGCTTCTCCTCCTGGTCGGAACTGGGAGGAGGGACTGGGAGGGACTGGGAAACGGTGCCTGGAGACTTACTGGAAGGCGAAGGTGCTGCCGTACAGTTTCTTGGCTGTCCGGAAGCGAGCCTCTTTCGCAGGAGGGCTGCTCAGCAGGAGAAACTGGTGTGAGGTGTGCATAAATTTCAGCTGCTACCAAGGGAAGCGGACCCACGTGAAAAGGAGAAGGGGGGGGAGAAAGAGTGGCACAACAGCAGAAAGAAAGAAAGAAAGAGAGAGAGAGAGAGAGAGAGAGAGAGAGAAGAACCATCATGCAAGGTAGTCTTTGCCGACAAGCTCCAGTTCTGATTTAACAGCCTGCCTTTTCCTAATCCTGTTTTTTTTTTTTTAAAAAAAAAAAAAACAAAACAAAACAGGTTTTTATGAGCATTCTAGAAAAACGGTAAATTATTCAGGCTCATAACCCAGGACCTCAACTCGAAGGCGACTGGCTGCCTTTTTGACTCTTATTTAAAAACAGTAGTGCAAGCAGCCTTGGGAGGAAAAGAAAAAAAAAAAAAGGAAGCCGTAACTTAGCAAGAGCCAGCAATAAAATAACAAGTCGTTTAGAAGAATCCCAATAAAACTCAAAAGGAACAAAGACCGCTGATACTGGCAAATGGCCCGTTGTAGGAAGGCTAACTCAAAAGAGAGGGTGGGTGGGGTTACTACCAGATAGGTGGTTACAGGATGACAGCTTAAGGCAGTGGTTCTCAACCTTTTTAATGCCACAACCCCCCCAACCGGTCGTAAGTCGAGGACTGCTCAACTGGTCGTAAGTCGAGGACTACTCAACTGGTTGTAGGTCGAGGACTACTCAACTGGTGCAGCACCGTTTGCAGAATGGGACTTTTGGCGGGCTCAGCAGGGCAGAGACAGCCTGGACCATTCCTATTGGCTTTTGAAAGCCAATAGAATTAGACTCTATTCAAGAGAATCTATTCTATTGGCTTCCAAAAGCCAATAGAAAAAAAGGGAGGAGCACAGCTAAGGAAAAGGGGGAAAAAAATGGTGGACTGCGTTGTTTGGCGACCCCCGTGAAATGGCCGTTCGACCCCAGATGGGGTCCCGACCCACCGGTGGAGCACCACTGGCTTAAGGGTTCCTAACTTCGCAGCATTTAAAAGGGGTGGATGTTTAGGGAACCAGGTGAGATGGCTGCCAGGCAAGAGGTTTGCTGCATCCTCTCACTCAGGGGTGTCAAAATGCCGGCTCGCAGGCCGGATGCGTCATGGCGAAACCGCGCCCACCCCGGCTCCGGCAAATGGAGGAAAACGTCACGATACGTTGCGACACGTCACGTGATGTGACAAGTTTGACACCCCTGCTCTAACTGGAAAAGATGGGACTAGAACTCGGGGACCAGCTGCGTGCACAAAATCTGCAGTTTACTACTGAGTTACGGGATGTTTCGCTCTCATGCGCCCACCTCGAGTGGGTTGATTGCAAGCAAAAGAAGGGAGGATGGTCACATACCCTGCTGAGAGGTAGCTTGACAATGTGAGATCTGTTGCTGGAAATTATCCTAGGAAGGGCGGAGAGAAAGTCAGAGTAGGGAAAAGGCCTAGGCACCTTCAATCCACAGAGAGCACAGCCCAAAAGAATCTCCACCTAGGCTACGGGAACAGCATTCAGGAATTCTGGGAGTTGCAGTCCACAAGTCATAAGAGAGCCAAGGTTCCCCACCCTGCTGGCTCAGGAATTCTGGGAGTTGAAGTCCACGAGTCATAAGACAGCCAAGGTTCCCCACCACTTCTGCTGGCTCAGGAATTCTGGGAGTTGAAGTCCACGGGTCATAAGAGAGCCAAGGTTCCCCACCACCCCTGCTGGCTCAGGAATTCTGGGAGTTGAAGTCCACGAGTCATAAGAGAGCCAAGGTTCCCCACCCTTGATCTAGGGCAATTTAGCAGAAGATGCCTGGTGGGATAGCAGGAGTGTGGAAAATTTATCTTCCCGTGAGAAGCTCATTTTTCAAAGATCCTTTGAGAAGAAGGGAGCCCAAGTTTCAGAGTGGAGATTAGGGCAACCAGCCCCATGATCATCTGTGGCATTTGAAACTCAAGGTCCTGAAATCAAACCAAGGTCTAGTGCAGGGGTGGGCCACTAAGCCCCTTTACAACCTGTAGACTTCCAACTCCCAGAATTCCTGAGCCAGGGTGGGTGATAAAGGGGCCACGGTTGCCCACCCCAGTGGGATATGTTTCAATAGGGGTGTCCTGAAGGACTGCAACCATTGCAGAGGTAATTCCACTTACTCTCCCAGCCCCCATCTCATGCCTTACTCTTACTTGGCTTCCAGCAGCCTCTGCACCATAGTTATTATCTGCTTACTTACCACTGTAGGAGGGGATGGGCCAAAGGATCCAACTTGTCCATTTGCTTCTTGATCTCCAGGTAAGAGCCCTGAAAAAAGAAGGCAGCCACTTCAGAACGACGGCCACGCTTCCTACCGTCACTCTGAATGGGCCAAGCTACTGATTTCACAACTCTACAGAGGAACGCGTACGTACAATGCTACATCAACACGCACAGGGGTTCATGTGCTCTAGTTCACACCACTTCTATGCATTCCATCAACATGAGAGCTCTCTCCTGACGAGAGATGGGCTTCATCTAACCCAGACATAAAGTGCAAATGCATACTTGAGTCATTTCACGGATTGACATGACGCTGTCCAGGGCCTTCTGCAGCCTCTCATAATTCTTTTTCTATAGGTCAATGAAAGAGGAGATATGGGTCAAAAATACAAATAAGCCACTCTTACGTCCTTCTGGTTCTACTGGTTGAATTGGTGACAGACTACAAAGTTCTTGTTGCTGACCAGGGTCTGGGCAGGTGTCTGAGCCCCCAGCTCAGAGCTTCTCATCCTTGACAGCTTTACGATACATGGACTTCTAGAATTCCCCAGCCAGCGTGGGTGGGGAATTCTGGGAGTTGAAGTCCACCCATTTGGGAGTTGAAGTCCACCCATCTTAAAGCTGTCAAGGTTAAGAAACGTCACTCCAGCTAAACAACAAAACGACCGGCAGTTGTTTTCTATAAGGTAGACTTCTATAACGTAGACACTGGATTCCTAGGGTGAGTGTTATTGGCCATTACAAATCCCACCGCAGGTAAGAACGCTTTGTGCTGAAGAACGGCACCAACCTTGGGGTTGAAGGCAAGGGTCTTGGGGTCACTGGGATCCACAACAGATGGGTAAGGCTCAAAGATGATGCTCTTGCGTGGGGATTCCAAAGCCGCCCGGCACATGGCTACCAGCAGGTCGACTACCTGAAGGAAAGTAGACACGGAAGAAAGACTGTGACTGGCTCATCTCCATTACAACAGCTCTCCTACTCTACTTCCAACTGACAGCCCAGATTATGAGCTGCCCAGAGTCATTTGCTGAGATGGGTGAAGAAGGAAGGAAGGAAGGAGGGAGGAAGAAAGGAAGGAAAGAAAGAAGGAAGGAGGGAAGGAGGGAGGAAGGAAGGAAAGAAGGAAAGGAAAGAAAGAGGGAAGGAGGGAGGGAGGGAGGAAGGAAAGAGGGAAGGAGGGAGGAAGGAAGGGAGGAAGGAAAGGAAGGAAGGAAAGAGGGAAGGAGGGAGGGAGGAAGGAAAGAAGGAAAGGAAGGAAGGAAAGAGGGAAGGAGGGAGGGAGGAAGGAGGGAAGGAAGGAAGGAAAGAAGGAAAGGAAGGAAAGGGAAGGAGGGAGGGAGGAAGGAAGGAAAGAGGGAAGAAGGGAGGAAAGAAAGAAATCTGATATTTCATTTCAGGGGGGCAATTTGATATTTCATTTCCATCTTGATTAGCAAGAGTTATGCAGACAGATTCAGGGACACCAGTGTGGAAATGAATATGTATCACCAGGAGTGACTTTTTTTCACCATCCCTTTCTCTCCTCTTCCTGTTCCCACACAGCACGTGCATATTTGGGGAGGCCGTATTCAAAACCAAACTGCCAAAGGTGCTGTCACACCTTTGGGTGGGTGGAGACCGCGCGTCTCTCCAACCTGAAGCCTTCCAAATGAGTTGAGCGAAGGCTTCATTAGAGACGAGGTCTACTGGGACTTGAGGGTACCAAGTTGGGATAAGCACGAATAAAAGAGTCCCACTTCTAAAAGTGGTCCACACACTCACACTTCATGGAGAACACAAGAATTAGCCCAGAGTTTACGTCAGACCCTCGGCCCGAGGTCTAACCCCTTTATACTGTATAGCAGGGGTCTTCAAACTTGGCCCTTTGATGACTTGTGGACTTCAACTCCCAGAATTCCTCAGCCAGGCACGCGTGCCTGGCTGAGGAATTCTGGGAGTTGAAGTCCACAAGTCATCAAAGGGCCAAGTTTGAAGACCCCTGCTGCATATGCTCCCCTTCCAGTTTGGACCCCAACTCTTAGTACCTCTGCTCCCGTGGCCACCTCTTCTGCAGCACCAGACATCACACCCAAGGTGTAGAAAGAGAAGACACAGAGCTCTCGTGTGCACACAGCTGGCTAAAAACAAAAGCCACGTCGTTAGTGAGAAAGGACACCAAAGCCATTGACAGCCCTTCTGGATCCTCCCTTAAGGCCGAGTTCTCCTCCATTCACGAAGGGATTGGGCTTCTTTCTGGCACAGAACATAAAGAGTGCGTGGGAAATTCAAAATGCTCGTAGTGTAACACGACAACAAGGCAGGATCGCGTTGTACGTAAATATGAGGTCACACACAGGTGCAAAAGCTTGAGACGCATTGCTGCTGTCGTCATAAAAAAGATGTCGAGATTCTAGAAAGAGTGCAGAGAAGAGCAACAAAGAGGATCAGGGGACTGGAGGCTAAAACATACAAGGAACGGTTGCTGGAATTGGGTATGTCTAGTTTAATGAAGAGAAGGACGAGGGGGGACAGGATAGCAGCGTTCCAGTATCTCAGGGGTTTCCCCAAAGAAGAGGGAGTCAAGCTATTCTCCAAAGCACCTGAAGGCAGGACAAGAAGCAACGGATGGAAACTAACCAAGGAGAGAAGCAGCCTAGAACTGAGGAGAAACTTCCTGACAGGGAGGACAATTAATCAGTGGAACAACCTGCCTCTAGAAGCGGTGAATGCTCCAACACTGGAAGTTTTTAAGAAGAGACTGGATGGCCATTTGTCTGAAATGGTATAGGGTTTCCTGCCTGAGCAGGGGGCTGGACTAGATGACCTCCAAGGTCCCTTTCAACTTTATTATTATTTTGAGAACATTGCTGTCTGCTAAACTAGTAAGTTAGCCTGAGCAGGGGGTTGGACTAGATGACCTCCAAGGTCCCTTCCAACATCATCATCAACATCATCCTCATCCTTATTATTATTATTATTATTATTATTATTATTATTATTATTATTTTGAGCAGAACACTGCTGTCTGCTAAACTAGTTAGTCCTAGTGTTACAACCACCATTAAGCCCAAAACGTCTGTGGCTGAGACGTTTGTCCAGTGAGCCTTGCCCCATTTTACAACCTTTCTTGCACACGGTTGTTAAGTGAAGTACTGCCGCTGTTAAATTAGGAACACGGTGGTTAAGTTGCCTCTGGCTTCCCCATTGACTTTGCTTGTCAGAAAGGTCACAAAAGGGGACTGCAACCGTCATATATGTGCCCCAATTGCCAAGCTGCAATGGCCGCATGAAAAACGGTCGTAAGTTCGTTTTCCCTCTGCCGTGGTCACTTTGAACGGGTCACTAAATCAATGTTTGTGAGTTGAGGACCACCTGTATTCTGCCTAACGTGGCTTACCACTTCCTGCTCCATTAACCTGGGAATGTTTCCAGTTCTTCAGTTCTCTGCTTAAACTAGACCAGGGGTGGCGAACCTATGGCACGTGTGCCAGGGGCGGCACTCGGAGCCCTCGCTGTGGGCACGCGTCCTGTTGCCTCAGCCCTGCCTCCCCCCCCAGCCCCCTCCTCACAAGCAGCCCCCTCGGTGGAGAGTTGCCCCCGGCCGCAGTCCATGCAGAGCGGCGCAGCCAAGGACATGACTCTGCCCTCGCGCTCCATCATGCGCAGATGATGCTGCAGGGCATGGACGGAGGGCGTGGCCACCATGGCGCTGCTGGGCAGCCTGGGCGATCTGCTGCGGCAGGCCGTGGAGGCGGTGGGTGGCCCCGCAGGTGGGGCGGGGTGTGGAGTGGGGACGGGTAGGGGCAGTTTTTGGGCACTTGGTCTCTCAAAGGTTTGCCATTACTGAACTAGACCATCGAGACCTCCTTGCCATCAAAGATCTGGCAAAAGAACCCCGGTGACTCCTGAACTCGACTTTTCCATAAGGGTGCAGGAAATATTCCGGTCGGTCCCTTCCCAGCTGTTTATGCTGACAGAAGGAAGTGAAACGAGTGAAATCAAGAACAAGCACACACACACAGACACACCCTGCTAAGAAGGGCAGAACCACCTGCTGTACATAAACAGGGAGAAAACCCGACACTCACTAGCACTGATGACATAACCTAATCAGGTAATGAAACGTCTGCGAGCAACAAGCAAGCGCAGGAAGCACCAAGGACTCCACAGAGAAATCGACGCTTCACGAGGTGCAGTACCTTCAGCATGGACCCATTCTGGAAGACGTGCTGCTCGTCACATACCACACAGTACTCGTTCAAAGTAGGAATCCTCTGCTCTGCATATTTCATTATCTGAGAGAGACAGAGACAGAGAGAGAGAGACAGAGAGAGAGAGACAGAGAGACAAAGAGAGACAGACAGAGACAAAGAGAGAGAGACAGAAACAGAAAGTGACAAAGAGAGAGAGAAAAAAACATAGACAGAGAGACAAAGAGAGACAGACAGAGACAGAAAGAGAGACAGAGACAGAAACAGAGAGACAGACAGAGACGGAGACAGAGACAAAGAGAGAGAGACAGAGAGACAGAAAGAGACAGAGAGAGAGAGACGAGAGAGAGACAGAGACAGAGAGACAAAGAGAGACAGACAAAGAGAGAGACGGAGACAGAGACAGAAAGAGAGACAGAGACAGAAACAGAGAGACAGAGACAGAGAGACAAAGAGAGACAGACAGAGACAAAGAGAGAGAGACAGAAACAGAAAGTGACAAAGAGAGAGAGAAAAAAACATAGACAGAGAGACAAAGAGAGACAGACAGAGACAGAAAGAGAGACAGAGACAGAAACAGAGAGACAGACAGAGACGGAGACAGAGACAAAGAGAGAGAGACAGAGAGACAGAAAGAGACAGAGAGAGAGAGACGAGAGAGAGACAGAGACAGAGAGACAAAGAGAGACAGACAAAGAGAGAGAGAGACGGAGACAGAGACAGAAAGAGAGACAGAGACAGAAACAGAGAGACAGAGACAGAGAGACAAAGAGAGAGACAGAGAGATGGAGACAGAGACAGAGAGATAGACAGAGACAAAGAGACAGATAGAAAGACAGAGACAGACAGACAGAGAAAGAGAGACAAAAAGAGACAGAGACGGAGACAGAGAGACAAAGAGAGACAGACAGAAACAGAGAGACAAAGACAGAGAGACAAAGAGAGACAGACAGAGAGACAGAGACGGAGACAGAGAGACAGAAACAGAGAGATAGAGAAAGAGAGAGAGACCACAGGGAAGTCAGAAAAACCAACTCCCCTACTGCTAGTGCAGCCTCAGCTTCGAGAAGGTCCAGAGTCAATCCTCAGCCTTTCCCATTAGTGGATCTCAAAGCAGGCCTGGAAAAGCATTGCCAGGCTGCTCAAGTCAACCTCATCTCAGAAGCAAGGGATCAGCAAGGTGACAGCACAGGTGTGGGATATAATACTGAATGAAGTAGAATATATGAAAGCAAAGGAGGATGCACGGATATTTACCTGGACGAGAAAACCATATTCCAAGGTGGGGATGTTTTTGCAGTGGCCACCAACCTGTGGACAAAACACAAGGAAAGAGAGCACCACATGACTTGGCACCTGCGCACTCATTATCCGGACAGCCCCTTCATCCGCAGCTCAGACCTGTGGTCATCCCAGGAAATCTCCTCATGAAGGAACTCTGGGAATGTCAGCTGAGAACTTTGCAGCCTATGTGAGCTCACTCTCTTCCTAGGTAGGGGAACCTGTGGCCCTCTCTAAGTGGAGACTACCATTTTCACAATCTGCAAAGGTTGACCGTTCAGGTTGAAGCTGGCACATCTGGAGGGCAGCTGGCTTCCTATCACTGCAAAGGTGCCGAGGAAAACTGCTTGTTTATCCCCACAGGGTGAAGGAGGATAGTCATTCCTTCAGCTTGTAGAAAGGAGCGCACTCCGAGGGGATGTATCCAAGATATGTTTTGCAAAGTTTTAGATATCATGTCAAACCAACCCCTTAAAAATACTCCTTAGCTCTGATGGGAGGCCCACTGTTGACATACATGACTGGGCAGCTTAGTGTCAAGGAACCTATTTTACACCCAAAAATCTTTCTCCCAGTTAAACACTTTATGGAGCCAGTGATGGGAAGGTGTCCCAGCCATAATTAGATGGGAAATGGGCCCTGGCAGCTCCCAACCATCTAGGGCGGTGGGGGGGGGAGGAACCTTGGCTCTTTTATGACTTGTGGACTTCAACTCCCAGAGTTCCTGAGCCAGCATGGCTGGTTCTGGGAGTTGAAGTCCACAAGTCATAAAAGAGCCAAGGTTCCCCACCCCTGATGCAGGGCATTTGTTTTGCTTTCCTCAAGACAGCCAACCAAACCTGGCTTCCTACATATTGGGGATATCAAAATGGAAAAAGGGATGCTATCCTATTCTCTGGGCAGAGTGAAAAACAATTTCCAGCCAGGTTCCAGCCAAAGGGATTTTTCCCTCAGCTGCACTTGGCAGCTAAGAGAGACTAAAAGTCTCTACGGAACTCCAGAACAAAAATCCAAATAAAACTTTTAATAGAACTACAGTTGTAGAAATTACTGGACGGTTCTTCATTCCAAGTAATGAATCTTTTCAGAAAGTGAGCAATGGGCTTTTTAAATTTGGCTCTTAACCAATTTTTTTTTTAAATAATAATAATAATTCTCGGCTACCAATAAAATATCAAGGCAGTGGAACCTCAACGTTCTGCTATTTTGAGATTGCAGGATGTTTCCTGAATGGATAATTGGAGTAGAGCAGGGATCTTCAAACTTGGCCCTTTTATGCCTTGTGGACTTCAACTCCCAGAACTCCTCAGCCAGCGTGGCTGGCTCAGGAATTCTAGGAGTTGAAGTCCACACGTCATAAAAGGCTACGTTTGAAGAGCCCTACATTATGTGATGCCACAAGGTAGAAGAGCAGGTTGGGGACAAAGCATAGCTGGCTGGGGAATTCTGGGAGTTGAAGTCCACACCTCTTAAAATGGCCGAGGTTGAGAAACATCGGTTTAACTCTTTCTGAGTTAGCATTATTTCCCCCACACATTATGTCAGGGGTCTTCAAACATGGCCCTTTTATCACTGGTGGACTTCAACTCCCAGAGTTCCTCAGCCAGCCTCCATTTTGTTTGTTAGATTTAACACAGGGGTCTTCAAACTTGGCCCTTTTATGACTGGTGGACTTCAACTCCCAGAGTTCCTCAGCCAGCCTCCATTTTGTTTGTTAGATTTAAGACAGGGCTCTTCAAACTTGGCCCTTTTATGACTGGTGGACTTCAACTCCCAGAATTCCTCAGCCAGCGTGCTGAGGAAGAGTTGAAGTCCACCAGTCATAAAAGGGCCAAGTTTGAAGGCCCCTGGAGCAGAGAGAGGCCTTCAGATCCGTTCTTTCCCCCACCTGCAACCCAACGCATTGAACTCCAAGAGTCTGAGGATTGTCTCTTTTGATTCTAATTTCTCCAAGGAGGGAGGCAGAACCCAAAAATGAACTCTCCCAACCAGCCCCGAAGGGACAAGGGCAGAGAGGGAACCCACCAGGATGTTGAATGGGACGACACCTGCCTGGGTGCTGGGAGGGTAGCCAAAAACTTCCACCTTAGAATTCTTCATCGTGCAGGAGATAGAACGGTTCATGAGGCGGTTGACCCGTAGCTCTGGGACGCCAAGTTTGCCCTTGAGCATCGAGTCCTGGATGACAGGAAAACTGGGAGACCTGCATGTGCCAAAGAGACGTGCATCAGTTGAGGGATCTCCAGTTTGGGCATGAAAAAGGAGAATCATGAGATCCTGGACTGGGTAAGAGCTGGGTTTCATAGCTAAGGGCCAACCTCTGCGATTGGGCATTTGGGCTTCCCTCCATTTCCATGTCCGGTGGAGAGTTCCCAACTACTTCCGTGTCTCTCTTAGGAAGAGAGGACCATAAAGAGCAGCCCAGCCACCTTCCATGTCCAATGGAAGCTTCCAAGCACCTCCACCACCCTCTTAACAAGAGAAAGGAAAAGACAGCAACCCTACTTGGGGATGGGTGAAAAGATGCTGAGACCGGCACGGAATTTTTTGATTGTGCCACCGGCTTTGAACCAGCTGTGCCGCTTTTCCTGCTGGGTCTTGAGGAAGTCGTTGCTGAGGTGTTTCCATTGCTGGGATGTGAACATGCCCAGGATCCTGTGAAGAGGATCAACAAGGACTGATAGAACTAGACAGCAGAGAACGCCACAAGGCATACTCTTTGGGGGGGGGGGTGTTTCCCCGCCTGATCTGAACGGGTGAATGAGAAAAAGGAAGAAAGGACAGAGAGAAAAGACCTCAGGGCTTCGTCCTTCCCATCACTACAACTCCCAAGTCCACAAAGGACAAAAAGCCACCTACCCCTGTAGTTTGTCACACACTGGTCCTGTCTGAATGGGCGTCTTTTCGAAAATAAACCAGTTTCATCACTAGACAAATAAATGTAAGATGACTAGCAACGAAGCTGCTAGTTTATCTTCGGAAAGACGCTCATTCAGACAGGACCAGGGTGTGACAAACTACTTCAGGGATAGGTGGCATAGGAATGTTCTTGGCTTTTTGCCTTTTGCGTACTTAGGCATTTCAAGGCAGGAGGAGGACTTGTTTTGCCTTGCAAGAAACAATCCCTCTGTCCTGCAGTTGGAGGCCATAGGAACGGGTTGCTCTGCCTCATGGCCCAGGATTAAAAGAACCAACCCCTGACTCACTTCTTCAGCTGAAGGCCCAGTCCAAACCCTTCCTTGTTGGATGGTTGGAAAACCTCGATGGACGGTTCTGGAAAACAAAGCCAGAGTAAAGGGTTAGCAGTGAGCCAGGAGTCTAATGTGAAATCCAGCTAACCCTGATCAAAGTTGCACGTGGAAGGGGAAAGTGAGACCACAACATCCCCCAACCCTCCCCCTCACTTTGAAACACATGACTGTTTCCTGGTATGGAGCAAAAGAAAAGCCATTTGATAAGGATGGGGGAGTTTTTTTTCTCTCTCTCTCTCTATTCATTTGTTGTTGTTGTTAATTGCGAAGTCGTGTCCGACCCATCGCGACCCCATGGACCACGTTCCTCCAGGCCTTCCTGTCCTCTACCATCTTCTGGAGTCCATTTCAGCTGACTCCATCCAGCCACCTCATTCTCTGTCGTCCCCTTCTTCTATTGTCCTCAATCTTTCCCAGCATTAGGCTCCTCTCTAGTGAGTCCTTCCTTCTCATTAGGTGGCCAAAGTATTTGAGTTTCCACTTCAGGATCTGGCCTTCTAAAGAGCAGTCAGGGTTGATCTCCTCTAGGACTGACCGGTTGGATCGCCTTGCAGTCCAGGGGACTCACAGGAGTCTTCTCCAGCACCATAGTTCAAAGGCCTCAATTCTTTGGCGCTCAGCCTTTCTTATGGTTCAACTTTCACATCCATACATTGCAACTGGGAAGACCATGGCCTTGATTATATGCACTTTTGTTGGCAGGATGATGTCTCTGCTTTTTAGTATGCAGTCTAGATTTGCCATAGCTTTCCTCCCCAGGAGCAAGCGTCTTTTAATTTCTTGGCTGCAGTCCCCATCTGCGGTGATCTTGGAGCCCAGGAAAATAAAATCTGTCACCACCTCCATTTCCTCCCCATCTATTTGCCAGGAATTGAGAGGGCCGGATGCCATGATTTTGGTTTTCTTAATGTTGAGTTTCAAGCCAACTTTTGCACTCTCCTTCTTCACCCACATCAAGAGGCTCTTTAGTTCCTCTTCACTTTCTGCCATAAGAGTGGTATCATCTGCACATCTTAGGTTGTTGATATTTCTCCCGGCAATCTTAATTCCAACTTTTGATTCATCTAGCCCTGCCTTTCTCATGATGTGCTCTGCATATAAGTTATATAGGCAGGGCGACAGTATATAGCCTTGCCGGACTCCTTTCCCAATTTTGAACCAATCAGTGGTTCCGTGTCCAGTTCTCACTGTTGCTTCTTGACCCACATATAGGTTTCTCAAGAGACAAACAAGATGGGCATAAGAGCAACTAAAAGAGAGCACCTTGATCAGGATCATCTGATCAGGGTCTGTGGGTCAGAAGAGTTCCCTTTGTTCCAGTAGAGAGATTGTGTCACAGTGTGCACCGTCTTACTGCGCTAACCCAGGAGTAAACATAGTAAACAGTGGTCTATATTAAATGGTGGTTTATCTTACACTATCTACAATATCATACACCAGGAACAATATACATACACATGGTAATACAGCAAACTCCAACACACAGCAGTTACAGCAGGAAATGGAAGAGAAAAAGACACTCCAGCAAAGCACTCCCTTTTATACTCAGGCTCTTAAAGGGACACAGACCCTGCTTGCTCTTAAAGGGACATAGACCCTGCTGAGTCATTTGTATCATTGCATCATCTGCCTTATGTTACATTACATCATTACATAAGCTGTTTAGATTCTATGATAGATTAGCAGAGTTCTCTTTCCCTACTGTTAGGAGACGTAAAGAGGAGTAGAACTTACACCACCAGCCCCGCCCCGCATGCACCCCCAAAGTGTATTGCCATTCCAAGGCTCACAAATGAGAGGCTGACCCCAACCCAATGTTATCAACCCCTGACTTAGCGTAAGAAGACCCTTCAGGGGTTTCTTAAACCAAGGAGCCAGCAATTAAAATTTTAGCGTTGCGTGTCAGCAGGAGCCAACTCAGTAAAGAAGCTGATGAAACGTGACAGTGAAAAAGCTGTACAAAACAAAGGTTTATCATTTATTTATTCCCTCATTCATTCATTCATTCATCTCACCGTCAGCTGGCCAATCGCACTTCAGCTCAGAAGACAAACCGTATAAATAACATTATGTCCACAGCTGGTCCTTTACGCACAATCACAACTGAGCCCAACATGTATCCACTGTTAAGTGAGCCAGTTGTTAAGGGCCTCATTTGACAACCTTTCTTGACACGGTTGTTAAGTGGAATCACTGCAGTTGTTAAATGAGTAACACGGCTCCTAAGTGAATTTGGCTTCCTCCGTTCGACTTGGTGGGTCAGAAGGGGGGAGGAAAGGGGATCACATGACCCCAGGATTGTTTTCAGTGCCGTTGTAACTTCAAACAGTTACTAAACCAATGGTTTTAAGTAAAGGGCTACCTACAATGGCAACTTAAGGATCGAACATGCATTCCTCAAATAAAGCACACGTCAGATAATGAACGGCTAAGATGTGATAGGACCCATCGTCTTGACCAAATGGTCAACGAGCAAAAAAGGCTGAGAATCTTGAACGCTCCTTCCGTGTCTCCTCAAGAGGCATGTTGTCATGGTTCCGACAGATGAAGCTCTTCAAAGAACTTCGAGGCATAGTTTACCTTAAAGAATCTTTATTCAAGTTGCACAGCCTCGGCACGTACATGGTCGAAACCGAAGTCTAAATTCCCCTCCCCTGAGCAGATAGTATCAAAGCACAATTCCCTCCTCCAATTAACAGTCATAAATCCCATTCTCCAATTAGCTTGAATGGCAGGCTTTCCCTCCTGTTCTCTAACCCGCCAATTCTTTTCATCTCTTATTTTAAGCTCTGAATTCACACACTAGTACAGTATCGTGATGTCTAACTAACTCCCACCACATTCCGCCTCCTCCCACAGCATCATCTAATTCTAAGAGTAAAGCATAAGAAAGAAAAAGGCTGCATCTCCATACGTTGTCAGAGCAAGAACATCCAATGTTAGCAGTGTTGACACATGTTACTCACCGGGGCCATCCAGATACTGGGAAAGGGAGAACCGCAGTCGGAGAACAATGGGCTCGGTCCGTAGGACCTTCCAAGCTGTGGCAACTTCCTCCTACAATAAGAAACAATAAACGTGGAGGGAGGGGGGTTATTTCCTCATTTATTTGTTTTGATGAGAGACAGAGCAATTCCAGACTAAATACACTAAGTCCGTGTGTAAAGACCCACCCCACTTTACATCTTAAGAAGACAGAACTCTTGGAATATTTCTTCCAACAGGCATCCTTTATTAAGAGAAAATGGTTGCAGGCGTTCTAGACAGGACCTAGGGCCCAAGTCCTACGGTTCAAGGTTTTAAGGAGTCCCCAGCAGCCCCACCCCACCATCTTTCCAGCGACTATCCCAGGCGTTACATTTCCACCCCCTTTTCCCTCACTGCCAGTGGAAGGGAGACTTCAGAGAGGAGTACATGAAAGCTGATGGCCCCATTGTTATGGTTAGTCCTTTTGGTGGTATCCACCCAGTCTCTTTGAAGTGTACTGAAAGAAGTGAGGGCCATAAAGCCCCTTTGTTCACCCCCCTTCCCTTCATCGTATGACAGAATCCAGAGAGGGCAGAAATGGGGTTTTCCATAGTCGATAACTAGAGATGAAATATAATTAGATTCTGACACCGTGGTGGCAAGCCTATGGCACGCATGCCACAGGTGGCACTCAGAGCCCTCTCTGTGGGCACGCACACCATCGCCCCAGTCCTAGGCGTTCAGCTGAGTTTTATAAAACCTTTTCGCTTTAGGCCTCCGCCGTGTGCAAAAAAAAAAAAGGCTCAACCAATCAATCAATTTCAACTTCTTGCGGGGGAAAAAAAAGATCTCGCAAAGTTGGAATTGATTGATTGAACGTTTTAGTCCCACCCAGTTTTAGTCCCACTGCGGACACGTCCAGCCAATGGGCCATGCCCAGCCAATGGGCCATGCCCACCTGGCACCCGACGATACATAAGTGGGTTTTGGGTTGCAGTTTGGGCACTCGGTCTCTAAAAGGTTCGCCATCACTGCAGTAGGTGTTTCTCTGGGCAAAAATTGGCAAGTTTCAGCAGTGCTAACTCGGGGTCTTTGAGGAGCCAATGGAAGAGAAGGTTTGCAGCTCAGGATCGAACTGTGGAGACCTCGGTGTTCTCTGAGCTTGGCTGTTTTCTTGCAGACGTTTCACTACCCAACTAGGTAATCTCATCAGTGTTAGTAGGGAGTGGGGTCTTTGGTGAAGGAGGAGGAGGATTATGAGGTCCTTGGATCTCCCTGAGCTTGTCTGTTTTCTTGCAGCGTTTCATTACCCAACTAGGGAACATCATCAGTGCTAGAAAGGGGGGGGATATGTAAAATTGTGTAATGAAAGCGTCTGCAAGAAAAAAAACAAACCAAGCTCAGAAAGCACCAAGGGCTCCACAGACCACTTGCTACATACCGCCGCCATACTGTCCACTTCTGATTTCAGCCACTACTTTACTCCATCTTGCTTCATGCTTGCACAGGGAATAGCAAGAATGTTATTCTCTGCTTGTGACTGAAGAATACCCAGCAGGGGCAGAAAGAAATCGGCAAAGATGAAAAATGGCAGCCCTTTGCCAACCTCCATCCCTTCAGCACAAGAAACGCACCAGCGTGCCCTGCGACTTACATCTAGGAAGCCGATGTTGATGTGCAGGTCAATGTCCACGTCATCGATGGTCCCATATTCCCTACAGGGGGAAAAGGGAGGTTAGGAAGAGGCCTCCTGTGTGACGAGGAAGCAAGGCAAGCCAAAAGCAATGGGGCAGAGGCCGGAGAAGAACCTGGCTGACCCACAAAAGATTCTCCCCTGATATGATTGATGGCTTAAATGGTTTGGATGGGAAAGATTATAGAGAGGAGAGAGTTACACTGTAAACACAGGAATAAGTGGTAAATTTATCGTTGCTCTTGTAACTGCTGCAAAAAATAGGGCAGGGGAGGGAAAAGAGAAGGGAAGGGGAGGGGAAAGGGAAGGGGAAGGGAAAAGGGAAGGGGAGGGGAGAATGGGAAGGGAAAGAGGGAAGGGGAGGGAAAGGGGGAAAAAGAAGGCAAGGGGGAAAGGGAAGAAAAGGGGAAATGAGAAGGGGAAAAGGCAAGGGTAATATTATCCCTTTTAGGAAGATTTTCGCCCACAGCTCCAGCTTCGACTGAAAGCTCCAGTCCACCCACCCAGGCCTCCTGCACAAAGCTACTCCTTTCAGGAGGGTTTCTGCTCCTTCCCAGCTCTGCAGCTTAGCTGCCCTCATCCCCCCCACCCTCCCTTGGCTTTGATACGCTTCACTAAAACCCTCCCTGGTTGATTTCTCTGACCTTAACATTTCTGCTGCTGCTATCTAATAATTGCTGCTTCTGCTTCAGAAGGCAAGAAAAGAAGCAACTTGTCCTCCGGGCACAAACAGCTCACAAATACACACACACACACACATCACAGACAGAGAAAGAGAGAAAGAGAGAGAGAACATTGTCCTGCAAATCACCTGAGATTTTATTGCTTCTCCAAGGAACTATATTTAGACTGGAAATGCACGTATTTAAACTTAGCTTTGCGTTAATCGGCGCACGCATGTTCACGAATGCTCGAACCTCAAAGCAAGCCTTGTTTTTCTTGTCTTGTCTGCAGGGCAGGGCTTACCGGACAGATACAGAATTCTCACTGTACAGTTCTTTCACGGCTTCAATGTCCACATCCAGCTGAGGGTGTCGATACAGGTCTGCGGCACAGGTTCCCTGCAGGACGACGAAGGAAACCATTACGGAGTCATATCCAGAAACATTGGCAGGTTCGTACATGACATTAGGCGTAGTTGGGTGGGTGAACCACAATGCTTGGTTCACCCAGAGGGCTAAGCCAAAAGTCGATCTAAAGACATCGTGGCTTAGCATAAACTGACAAGAGCAAAGGCAGTGAGATGCCAGGTCCTTAGGCATTTAATCAGGATTCATGGCGAGATGTCATTGTAACGTGATTAACATTATTTCTAGTTATTCCAAGTCAGAGAAGCCCAGCCTTTGAAAAAGAGGGCTCTGCGTTGGGGAATCCAATAATCAAGGTAGGCTATAGAATGGTTGTTATTTTATTAGAGCGAGAGCGGTTTTATGCTGTCCCATGGTTTCTAGGAAATCCTACTTACTCCCACCTTAAGTAAGTCACCATAACTCATCATCTTGACCTTTCAGAGGTCACAAGGGCCTGACCTGTACTCCATATAAAAATTCCTCGGATTCATTTTCTCCATCAGAATCATCATCAGTCCAGTACTGGCCTTTGATGTCCTAAAAGACAAGAAAGGTACCTAGTTTTATAGCTGGAAAATCGACATATTCACCCCAGCTAATACCGCATATCCCAAATCACAGAAGCCTTTCATATTTGGGCTTTTTTTTTTAGGTTTTTCAACAACTACAAAAAATATTGTTAATCCTCAGCAATGAACTCAGCAACATGTTAAATTATCTTAAATCTGCACATATATATATATATATATATATATATATATATATATATATATATAGGCATATTTCCCCATCTCTCTTCTACTTTCCTTCCCGCTTGTTTTTCCATCTGTGGAATCAGAAATTTCATATTCCTCAATGAGAGATCCTTCTTCTGGTTACACACAAACAGTTAACCAGGAATCACCATCACTAACCACTATGTCATGAGCTATCTCACACACACACACACACACACACACACACACACACACACAAATATATAATTTTATGTATATATTAATTTATAAATAACATATTTATAATAAATATTTGATTTATAAATAAAATGTATAATTTATACACACACATGTAAACAAAAAGGGCTGGAAATAATAATAATAATAATAATAATAATAATAATAATAATAATAATAATAATGATAATAATAATAATCCTGTGGGACTTTCGGATCCAAACAGACAGACATTTGGCCCACAACACACCTGACATCACTACCGTGGAAAAGAAAAAAAAGTCTGGTTCATTAATATTGAAATACCAGATGCTGTACGAATTGAAGGGAAAGAGATAGGGAAAAAAACCCAACTATCACAATTTGCACATTTCAAATCTGAGTGACCATACAGGAATAAATCAATGGTTGTCTCAATAGTAACAGGGATCCTTGGAACAACACCCAAAGGGCTGCCTAGATGGTGGAAATTTTGAACTTTAAATTAGACCTGAATATTCTGACTTTGCAAAAAAAAACAAAAAACACCAATTTACTCGGAACTGCCTTTATACTCAGATGCTACCTTAACAACCCTTAGGCCCTTAGTTAGGACTTGAACTGTTAAGTGTTTATAGACCCAGATTGTGAACTGAAGATTAGATCAATAACAACAATAATAATGTACTCAGATGCAACCTTAACTGTTAAGGTTGCATCTGAGTACATTATTGTTATTACTATTGAATTGTTACGTTTTACCAGCCCCAGACTGTGAACTGAATTGAAGATAATAATAACAACAACAACAACAACAACATCTCAGTTTTTACCAACCCAGACTGTGAATCGAATTGAAGATTAACCATAATAACAACAATGCCAAGATGCCATCCCTGGAGGGGGCCGTTCAAAGGCTTCTTCCTTTAAGTTCCACCCTCCAGGAACACAAAAGGCATCCTTTTCCAGGGATGCCTTCCCCCCCCCCATACACACACACACACACACACACACACACACACACACACACACAGAACTTCTGGTTGGATTTGAACCCAGGAGGGTGGCAGAAAACCCTCTCCTGAGACTCGGGCTGCCGCAGAGGGTCTGCAACGGGGGTCCCAGTCAGCGCTGCTGCCCCAAGAGAAGCAGCCTGGGCAAAGAACGGCAGGGCAAGGCGCAACCCGCCTGGGCTGCAATGCTCGCGAAGGGCACGAGAGGGCAGCAAAGAGACACCAGCCCCGGCCCCCTAGCGGAGCCTCGGGGTTCTGCAGCCCAGAGCCGCCCTTCCAGAGGGGCGCCTCTCCTCCCCCTCCTCCCACACCGGCCGCAGCCGCCTCCCCAGGGCCCAGCCCCGGCCCAGAGGAAGGGGAGAGAGGGAGGGCAGAGCGAGCCCCTTCCCCTCCGCCCCGCCGCCGCCCCTTCCCCTCCGCCCCCGCCAGCCCTCTTCCGCCGCTCACCATTTGCCTGGCGGGTTCAGAGGCGCTGCTTTCCGCTCAGGGCCGGGCCTCGCCCCTCCATGCCACCAGCCGCCAGCCTGCGAGCTGCCAGACGGGCATCCGGGCCGGGCGCGGGGAGAGGAGGCCTCGGGGTCAGGCCGGGCGGCCGACTCCTCCGTCGCCCCGGCAACCAAGGCTCCGTCCGCGAGGAAGCGGCGGCGGCGGCGGCGGCGCGGCGGTGGTGACGTCAGCGTCTCCTCATTGGTCCGGGGAAACTCCGCCTCCTGGGGAAAAAAAAAAGAGCGATAAGGGGAAACCCAGGAGGCTTGGGTGGCTTGCTGCCGGGGCGCATGGGAGCTGTAGTCCCATCTCATCTGGAGCTGGGAGGAGCTGCCTTGCCCTGAATTCATTCCTTTTCCTGAGCCTTTCAGGGTTAATCTTGGGCTTTTTTGTAAAGGATGGATGGAGGGATGGATGGATGGATGGAACAGACAGACACACAGACAGATAGATAGATAGATAGATAGATAGATAGATAGATAGATAGATAGACGGAGACGGAGACAGACAGATAGATAGATAGATAGATAGCTGGGTAGGTAGGTAGGTAGGTGGATAGGTAGGTAGGTGGATAGATAGATAGGTAGGTAGGTAGAAAATAGATAGATAGATAGATAGATAGATAGATAGATAGATAGATAGATAGCTGGGTAGGTAGGTAGGTAGGTAGGTAGGTGGATAGGTAGGTAGACAGACAGAAGACAGACATATAGATAGATAGATGGGTAGGTAGATAGATAGATAGATAGATAGATAGATAGATAGATAGATGCAACAAACGATAGATAGATACACAGATACTCAATAGAGATAAGCAAACAATAGATAAAAGATATAGACACTCAATAAAGAGATAAATAGACAAAGAAGAGAGAGAGAGAGATGAATGCATGGATGCCACGAACGATGGATGGATGGCAACAAACGATAGATAGATACAAGATACTCAATAGAGATAAGCAAACAATAGATAAAAGATATAGACACTCAATAAAGAGATAAATAGACAAAGAAGAGAGAGAGAGAGATGAATGCATGGATGCCACGAACGATGGATGGATGGATGCAACAAACGATAGATAGACAGACAGATAGATACTCAATAGAGATAAGCAAACAATAGATAGATAAAGAGATAAATAGATAGAGAGAGAGATGAATGCATGGATGCCACAAATGATAGATAGATAGATGCAGGGCTTTTTTTCTCATAGAACGCCCAGAATGGAGTTCCGGCACCTTTTTTGGATGGAACCTTGTAGGGTAGGCAAGGCGGGTTGTATGACATGTGTGAGTTCCGGCACCTTTTTTTTTTTTTTTTTAGAAAAAAAGCACTGGATGGATGGATGGATGGATGGATGGATAGATAAATAGATCAGAGAGAGATAAATGAGAAGATAAATGATAGAAAGGGTGGATTAAACAGAAGATAGATGATAGAAAGACAATAGAATAGAGATGGAGCTAGACAGAAGAGAGAGAGAGAAAAGATTGATCTTCTAAGTTGCCATAAGATACATAGATATAGAAGCTAGAAAGAGAGGAAAGAAAGAGAGAGAGAAAGAAGGGAGTTATGTATATACATGTCTATACATATATTTCTATCCATTTATTTCTATTTCTTCCTTTTTTCCCTCAAAGCAAGTCTCACACTATGAAATGGCTTCGCTGGTGTTGTTACATTTTTTTTTTTTTCAGAAAAGGAAGCCACGTATTGGTTCTTGTCTTCCTAGACTCCAAAGGTTCCTTGTGGGAGCAACCTCAGTAGGCTAGGGAAAGAAAAGTGTTACAATATGGGTACTCGTTTGAAAATGCAGAGAAGTCAGTTGCTATTAAAGGGTTTTGCAGGATATTTCTGGTCCATTCTTAGTCCTTTCCCCCATATCAACTGACTTGGGTTGTGTATGACTCTTCCATAATGTCCAAACTGTTTTTCCGTTTATTTTTATCTTTTAGATTTATAATTTATATTTTGCATCCATTTTTAGAGCAAGGGTAATATAAAAAAACAAAGTAAAATGGACACAGAGTCAAAAGCGGAAAGAAAATTTGAGGCACGATGTTTGAGAATGAATTAAACCAGTGTTTCTCAAACTTTGCAATTTTAAGACATAGGAACTTCGTTTCCCAGAATTCCCTAGCCAGCATGCTGGCTGGGAATTGAAGTCCACAGATCTTGCAGTCGGCAAGTTTGAGAAACTGTGGATTAACCCAAAACCAATGCATTTTATGGCTCAGTTTAGAACAGGGGTCTTCAAACTTGGCCCTTTTATGACTTGTGGACTTCAACTCCCAGAATTCCTCAGCCAGGCACGCTGGCTGAGGAATTCTGGAAGTTGAAGTCCACAAGTCATAAAAGGGCCAAGTTTGAAGACCCCCTGGTTTAGAACAACCAAATTTCTTTCCCTTGTCATAAAATCCAAACACGTTGGTATATGATGCAGGAAATGTCTAAAACTCTCTTTCTTTCCTTTCCTTATTGTCATAATTCAATAGCCCAATCAAATCACTTCTTTCTCTTGATATCCTGCTTCAGCAACCTCCCTATGTGGGAGGACCAGTCACTTTCAGTGAATATTATTAGAAAACAGCAAAACCCTGATGTGACACTCCTTCCTTCCAACACAGCCCTTCACCCACCCCAGTTGTAGGGAAAGGATCTGGATTTAAAAGCCCTCCAGGGGCTGCTTATGATCAGATGTCACCTTCTGTTCTGTTCTTCAAAAGCCCTGGTTTCTTCCTTAGCGGGCGATCAGGAAGAAATTGTGATGCGTCTAACATGCCTTCCAAATCCCTGGAGTGTCACTATCTGGCAGGACCCAATCCTCTTATTATGACACATAAGAACCGAAGGCCACCCCCCCCTCCTTTCCTAAAACCCCAAGAAGCTGTACATGTACGCATGAATGTGCATGAACGAAATCAACCTCTGTCCTTTGTGCGAGATTCACAATAACAGATCCTGGCTCCCCTCTCCCCAGGCAAACCTTTACAAGCAAAGCTGAGGCAACGGTTGTGGGAAAGAGTTGCTACCGGTATGTACGGATTGGAGGGGGGAGTAGTTAAGGATCCTGCCATTTACCCCCCCCCCCCAACAACTCTTCTTCCAGACTGATCCATGAGCCTGCGGTCTTCCCAGGCAAGCAGGCCCCCAAATCCGAGCTAACCACCCTCCCCTTCCACCCTACTCACAGCTATTGCCACCCTGATGGAGGGACCTCTGTGCGGGAATGCTCCAGGGGGACCAGCCAGGAGATGCTGAGCGCCAGACGGAGACCGTGGGATCAGCCTTCCCTGCAGGAGAAAATGGGTCACGAGAATCCCCAAGCTGCCCTGTCAGTTTTGGCAGAAACAAAAGGCTTGCCTTCCACCGGCTGCAGCTTTCTTTGTTGTTCTCCACAAGCACCAGCCTGGCGGCCCAGATGGTTGTGCCCATGCTCGGTGCAACTCTGAGCTGGGGGGGGGGTGTCACGTGATTGTTCCCTGTCAGCAGAATGGTGCTTCGGAAAGGTCTGCTGGCGAAGGAGACAGCCATACACCGGGACCTGTGCACGCACGATGGGTGGCGCAAGAAAGCGCCAGCCGGCCTCAGTCTGATCAGAATGCAGCCCTTTTCGCCTGCTGGCTCCCAGGTCCCCTGGTGGGATTGGCACAGGTGTGCCACCAAAGGAAGAGGACAGATGTCAAGGCTTTGAGCTGGCACATGGATGCGCTTTCTTTGAACAAATGCCGGGGGGGGGGCAATCACAGAAGGAAAATATTTGAAGCTCAGGGTTGAGGTGAGGGGTCCTTGGTCCTCTCTGAGCTTGGTGGTTTTCTTGCAGACGTTTCATTACCCAACTAGGTAACATCATCAGTGCTAGAAGGGAGGGGGGCAGAAGACTATGGGGTCCTTGGTGCTCTCTGCGCTTGGTGTTTACTTGCAGATGTGTCATTACCCAACTAGACAACATCATCAGTGCTAGAAGAGTAGGGTGGGAGGAGGAGGAGGATCCTTGGTGCTCTCTTGAGTTTGGTTGTTTTCTTGCAGACACTTCCTTATGTTAAAGGTAACATCATCAGTGCTAGAAGAGTAGAGTGGGAGGAGGAGGAGGAGGAGGAGGTGGTTTTTGAGCTGGGTGGTTTTCTTGCAGATGTGTCATTACCCAATTAAGTAATATCATCAGTGCTAGAAGAGAGCAGGGTGGGAGGAGGAAGAGGAGTATATTATGCTGTATATTATTAATGGTTATTTTCATTGCACACAACTCAGAAACTCATTACCTGAGTTTTGCAGTCTTATAAATGTATGAAACAAATACATTAGGTTTTTTTTTCCTACCACCATTGTTATCTGAACAACTGAATCTTTTTGTATTGCTCTGCTTGAATGTTTGCGGCAGGTGTTACCTCAAATAAAATATGCTATCACTTCTGCTATTAAGACGACTTAATAGTGTAGCTTTTTTTTTCATGCCGTTCGACACATAACGCTTCACATACAGGGATGGTGTAGATTAATTATGTTGCTCTCTTCTGCTGTGGCTGGAGGCCAGAGCTTTTTTTTTTTTAAGCTCCCAAACTTACAGCAACTAAGGACAGGACATCTTTAGTCCTTCCCAAAATCTTCTTTCCAGAATTTGAAGCTCAAGAGCAGAGACAGCTACTCATGCCGTTGGAAGCTTCGGGAACGATTTTGAAGAACCTCGAAAGAATGTTCTTGATTTTGTTTGATAAGAGAGGAGAGAGAATTTGAATGGGCTTTCAGGATTCTGTTATTCGACATAAAAGGAATTTGTGACATCCTCCTTCTTGCCTGTTTCTTATCCTGACCGATATCGAAAAGCTTGCATTTGGGAACCACGTTTGTTCCAAGATTACTCAAGGCTCCTTTCATTCATCCTGGAGAAAAAAGCTCCCTTGGATCCACGGTTTTCATTTTAATCTCAGATGTTTGGCAACACAGCCTTAAGGCTGTAATGTTGTTGCCTGTCTATTTCTTGTATCCCTGAGATTTTTTTTACACAGAACTGGACACTGCTTGTTCTTTCTTTGGCAGTAAAACTTCTACAGTGTTCTTGCGTTTACAGAATGCAAAAAAAAAAAAAAACACTCCTCGACTTACGATCAGAATTGAGCCTCCAAAGTCTGTTGCTAAGCGAGACATTTGTTAAGTGAGGTTTTGCCCCATTTTATGACCTTTCTCACCACAGTTGTTAAGTGAATCTGGCTTCCCCATTGATTTAGCTTGCAAAAGGTCATAAATGGGGATCCCACGACCCCAGGACACTGCAACCGTCATAAATATGAGTCAGTGGCCAAACATCCGAATTTGGTCCACGTGGCTGTGGGGATGCTGCAAGAGTCGTGTGAAAAATAGTCGTAAGTGCCGTTATAATTTCAAATGGTCACTAAATGAATCATTGTTAAGTCAGGGACTATTGAGTATTGACTTCTCCAACACTTGAAAGTAACTAGTCACAGAAGACAGCAATCCAGGTATGCCGTTTTGTGTTTTTATTATTTGTCTGAAGGATCCAACAAAAGACAACTCAACTCTTACCAAGTCAAGTGCTTCACAATGCATCCCGGATAAATTCCTAATACTGAACTGCTTCTAGCCACATGCAAAGACTCTCCATAACAAGCCTGTCAGAATCCAATTATATTTCATCTCTAGTTATCGACTATGCAAAACCCCATTTCTGCCCTCTCTGGATTCTGTCATACGATGAAGGGGGTGGGTGGGTGAACTAAGGGGTTTTATGGCCCTCACTTCCTTCGGTACAACTTCAAAAGGGACTGAATGTGGATACCACCAAAAGGACTAACCATAACAATGGGGCCATCAGCTTTCATCTACTCCCCTCTGAAGTCTCCCTTCCACCGGCAGTGAGGAAAAAGGGGGTGGAAATGTAACGCCTGGGATTGTCACTGGAAGGATGGTGGGATGGGGTGGGGTTGCTGGGAACCCCTTAAAACCTTGAACCATAGGGCTTGGCCCCCAAGTCCTGTCTAGAACGCCTGCAACCATTTTCTCTTAATAAAGGATGCCTGTTGGAAGAAATATTCCAAGAGTTCTGTCTTCTTAAGAGGCAAAGTGGGGTGGGTCCTTACAAAGCCATCTGCTTCCAGGCCAGCTTCTTCGTCCTTCTAGCCCACACGCTTGATGTAGTAGTCGGTAGTAGTAATCTTCCAGCAGACGTTGTCCACATTACGGTACAACTTGATTCTTTTCTAGTGGAAGATCCTGGAAATTAGATCTGCAACCTTTGCACATCAAACATCCGTTTTACCACCGAGAGGCGGCCTCCGTTTTCTAAATCCTTTGTGTTTTCCAGTCTATTAGCCCTCACAGCCTAGATCGCAATCTTCTCAATGGATCTGCTCTCCAATCAGCAACAGCAGAAATCCGTCAATCCCAAGGGTCAGGTTTAAAAAAACATCTAAGAGAACTCTATTCTCTTAGCTGAAAAATCACAACAGCCTTCTCTATCTGTAAAAATAAAGGCCCTTATTCGATGGTGGGATGGAACCCACCAAAATTAATCTCATTAAACCTAGTTACGTTGATCAGGGCTTCTTGGCTGGCTATCAAGTTACAATCCACCATGATCTAAAGCAGTGGTTCTCAACCTTTTTAATGCCGCAACCCCCAACCGGTCGTAAGTCAAGGACTACTCAACCGGTCGTAAGTCGAGGGCTACTCAACTGGTGCTGCACCGTTTGCAGAAGGGAACTTTTGGCGGGCTCAGCAGGGCAGAGACAGCCTGGACAATTCCTATTGGCTTTGGAAAGCCAATAGAATTAGACTCTATTCAAGAGAGTCTATTCTATGGGCTTTCAAAAGCCAATAGAATAAAAGGGAGTAGCACAGCTAAGGAAAAGGGGAAAAAAATGGTGGACTGCGTTGTTTGGCGACCCCCGTGAAATGGTCGTTCGACCCCAAATGGGGTCCCGACCCACAGGTTGAGAACCACTGATCTAAAGAGTGACACAGATGTATAAATAACTCAGTTGAGGAAGGGCATTTTGAAAGTCAGGGATGAAATAAAGTGGCATTTCCGGCATTAGCTGATGTATTTCTTCTCTTGTTGTCGCCAAACTTTCAAGCTGCTGCCCAAGAAACGTTGATGGACACAATATTGGATTGTGCAGACTCTTGATCTGCAAAGCCTCCATTGCTTAGGCAGCCGTGAAGAAGTAAAATAGATGTACCCAAGAGGTAGGAATGGATGAGCACGGAGCAGAATTCCAAATATGGGAGGTGAGGGTGTGGATGCAGGGACATGGGCACACAAGACTGGATTTGATGACACTCACATGGTCAATCTCAGAACTGACCACTCCCTACGTGGAGAAGGGTGATCTGGCACCCTTGAAGAATGCTTTAGAGTCCAACATGCAAGATGTGGTTGAGTTGGCAAATATGGAGCGTATGATACAACCATTCTTGGATCTGCAGACCTCTGCCTGCAACCTTAGGTAGATCCTGTCTGCTCCATGCGACAAGGGCATGTAGACCACAAATGGTCCAACCAACCATGGCTTTTGGGTCCTTCAGTGCAAGTCACAGTTCTGCGTCCAGGCAATTGGAGGGCTGAGTAGAGACTGGGTAGAGCAAGGACATGTGTTCAGCCCCCTGGATGGGCAGCTTGTGGCTGGCGTAGTGGTGGATGACCTCTGGGATGTTGTTGAAGGGCGGGCTGTGCTGACCCAAGACAAATTTGTTGTCCTCAGTCTGCAGGAGTTTCATGTGAAGGAACCCTTGGCTGCTCCTAAGGAGAAAGAAGAAGATCCTGTGAGAAGGATGCCAGCCATTCCCTTTTAGCAATAGCAATAGCACTTAGACTTATACTGTACATACTGCTTCACAGTGCTTTTACAGCCCTCTCTAAGCGGTTTACAGAGTCAGCCTGTTGCCCCCAACAATCTGGGTCCCCATTTTACCGACCTCGGAAGGATGGAAGGCTGAGTCGACCTTGAGCCGGTGAGAATCGAACTGCTGCCAATGGGCAGAGTCAGCTTGCAATGCTGTTTTTTAACCACTGCCACCACAGCTCTTCATAGCAATAGCACTTGGACTTATATACCACTTCACAATGCTTTACAGCCCTCTCTAAGCGGTTTATAGCATCAGCATATTGCCCCCAACAATCTGGGTCCCCATTTTACTGACCTCGGAAGGATGGAAGGCTGAGTTAACCTTGAGCCGGCCAAGATCGAACTGCTGGCAGTGGGCAGAGTTATCCTGCAGTGCTGCATTCTAACCCCTGCGCCACCACAGCTTTTAAGATTGTGATACCTCCCCTTACAGACAGGAGGAATCTTTCGCAATCACACACTCACTTGAGAGAGAGGGAAAAGGCATCGTGGCTACTTTCACTGTTCCGAACCAGATAACTCGCTTCCCGGCAAAGTCGGAGAAGACTCTCGGCATCCACCCGACTCAAAGTCCCATGATACCACCTGCACAGAAGAGATTCCTTTTTTTTCCTTTCTTTCTTTCTTTTTTTTTAAAATGTATTCAAAAATTTAAAATACAAATCTCCCAAAATAAAAAATAAAAATGCAAGCAAAAAACCCCCCACAAACAAAATGGATAAAATGTTCAAAACAAATGGCCATTAAAAAGAAACAAAACAACCCTCAAACACATATGCATATATATGTATATGCAAAGAAGAAAATCCTGTACACGGGCCGGGGTGTCTCTGGAGGATGAGGTGGGTGGTCTCTAAATCAGCCTACTTACGCTTGGCTCTCTAGTGGCAGTGCAGGATTGACATATTCGCCAAAAGGCACCCCAGCCTCCGGGCTCAGCCAGCAGGGGGCGCTCTTTCCCTCTAGGCCCGCCGGCACAGGGTTTTTCATTGTTGCACCTTGGAGCAGAAGCACATAACAAATGTGAAAGGAGGAGCAGGAGTTGTGGGACACGGCTGCAGGACCAGAGTGAAAGGCAGGATCAGGCCCAGGGGGGGGGGAATTATGGGAGGGGGGAAATATAGCTGAGGATGTGGCAAAGACGGGGGAGGGGTATCTGCAGTGGGATCAAGAGGATTGTTACACTTGAGGCCCCGCCCCTTTTGGACACATCCCAGGTTGCGATAGAATGGAGTGAGGAGGTGACTTTCCCATGAGGAAGGGGCTGCATGCCAAAGGAGCGAGAGGCAACTCAGCCCAGATATTTTGTGGGAGAGAAAGCGGGTGAAGACAGCGTCTCCTCAATAGTTCCCAGAGTATATCGTAGAACAGTGGTTCTCAACCTTTTTAATGCCATGACCCCCAACCGGTTGTAAGTCGAGGACTACTCAACTGGTGCAGCATCGTTCGCAGAATGGGACTTTTGGTGGGCACAGCTGTCAGAAGCCCGGAACCGGGTCGTAAATAGAGCTGGGGAGGTCCGTTGTAAGTTAACTCTGAATGATTGCTAAATCGTTGTTAAACTGTTCATTAAATGAACAGTTGATGGTGCAGTTGCCATTATGCCAAAAACCTATGCGCTCGGTGATACTATTTCAAGGGCTGTCACACACAAACACCGTTGTTCACGCAACCACCTTACTCACTATGGATTTCCAGGGGACAGGACGAAGCAGAAGAGTCCGGAGTGCCGGGGCTGGCATTCTGGAGGCCCCGGGAAGCATCTCTGGAGCTGGTGCTTTGGAGAAGAAGCTGTTTCTCGGGCTCTGACGGGTGAGTTGAACCATCCAGCTGTCCAACTGGGGGAGGCCACAGCAAGTCCTTGATCCCTTCCATGTCCACTGGGTGAGCCATCAGGAGAGAAGAGAACCATTTGAGGAGGGGAGGAGGTGGGCTGGCTGGATGAAGAGGTTCAGAGAGCAGGAGATCACCTGGGATAGGTAGCCTAGTAGTGACGATGAGTGGGAGAAGACCAGGTGAAGTCCAATTCTCGGGGCCTCTCCCACTCAGATGATGGGAAAAAAGGGGGAGAGAATCGGCGGGGCGGGGGGGGGGTTCTGTAGACTACGGGCAACTGCATCTTGCAAAGGGGGTGGGGGGAGGGCTCGAGGAGGGAATGAACAAATTGATGGAAGGGGTTTGGCCTCCATTTTATTCCTGCTCTGATCTACACCTAACCCGAGCTGCCTCATGAGAGAGAGAGGGAGGGAGGAAGGGGACGAGGGGGACAAGGAGGAGGAGGAGATGAGGAGAAGGAGGAAGAGAAAGCAGAACAGAGGGGGAGGGGGGAGGAGATGAGGAGGAGGAGAAGGAGGAGGAAGAGAAAGCGGAACAGAGGGGGAGGAGGAGGAGGAAGAGGAAGATGAGGAGGAGATGAGGAGGAGGAAGAGAAAGAGGAACAGAGAAAAAGAAGGAGAGGAGGAGGAGAAGGAGGAGATGAGGAGGAGGAGGAAGAGAAAGCAGAACAGAGGGGGAGGAGGAGGAAGATGAGGAGGAGGAGGAGAAGGAGATGAGGAGGAGGAAGAGAAAGAGGAACAGAGGGGGAGGAGGAGGAGGGGGGGAGGAGATGAGGAGGAGGAGAAGGAGGAGGAAGAGAAAGCGGAACAGAGGGGGAGGAGGAGGAGGAGGAGGAAGAGGAAGATGAGGAGAAGGAGCTGAGGAGGAGGAAGAGAAAGAGGAACAGAGAAAAAGAAGGAGAGGAGGAGGAGAAGGAGGAGATGAGGAGGAGGAGGAAGAGAAAGCAGAACAGAGGGGGAGGAGGAGGAAGATGAGGAGGAGGAGGAGGAAGAGAAAGCGGAACAGAGGGGGAGGAGGAGGAGGAAGAGGAAGATGAGGAGAAGGAGATGAGGAGGAGGAAGAGAAAGAGGAACAGAGAAAAAGGAGAGGAGGAGGAGGAGGGAGATGAGGAAGAAGAGGAGGAGGAGGAGGAAGAAGAAGAGAAAGAGGAACAGAGGACAAGAAGGGGGAGGAGGAGGAGGAAAGAGCAGGGGAAGGGACTTGGCCTCTGTCCTTCCACTGGTCTTTATGGCACAAACTAATGGTGGAGCATCTCATCCTGCCTCACCAGCAAAGACTCTGGAGATCCGCTCCTTCTTCCACTCCCAGGGCTGGTCGTACTCCTCTGGAGGCCTCTCATCCTCTTCGGGCAACCACGAGTAGCGGCAGGAGACAGCAGGCTGAGAAGAAGGCCGGACCTCTGGACCCGCTTCGTTCTCAGGGGCTTCGTAGGGAGTGTCGTACAGGTGCAGAGGCTTCTGGGGGGCCAGCCCCTCCTTGGACCCCTCCTTCTGAACCTCTAGGTGGCAAAGAGGAAAAGAGGGTCCACTTGAAGACTTCCCCCTCCTTGTTGTACAGGCAGCACAACACCAACTCTCACCTTGGAAGAACATGAGGAGGAGGAGGAGGAGGAAGAGGAGGAAAAAAGGAGGAGGAGGAAGAAAAAAGGAGCAGCAGCAGGAGGAGGAAAAGAGGAGGACAAAGAGGAGGAAGAAAAAAGAAGGAGCAGGAGGAGGAGGAAAAAAGGAGGAAGAGGAGGAGGAGGAAAAAAGGACAAAGAGGAGGAGGAGGAGGAAAAAAGGAGGAGGAGGAGGAGGAAAAAAGGACAAAGAGGAGGAGGAGGAGGAAAAAAGGAGGAGGAAGAGGAGGAGGAGGAAAAAAGGAGGAAGAGGAGGAGGAAAAAAGGAGGATGAAGAGGAAGAAAAAAGGACAAAGAGGAGGAGGAGGAGGGGGGAAAGAAGGGGAAGGAAGAGGAGGAAGAAAAAAGGATGACAAAGAGGAAGAGGAGGAAAAAAGGAAGAAGAGGAGGAGGAGGAGGAAAAAAAGGAGAAGGAGAAGGAGGAGGAGGAAGACTGGGACTGTGGGGTCCTTGGTGGTCTCTGAGCTTGATTATTTTCTTACAGATTTTTCATTACTCAACTAGAGACCAGCATCTGTGCACTGGCGATATTGCCTACCCGGGTCAGGAAATCTCTGCAAGGAAACACGAAGGACCCCACGGTCCTCCTAGCAGGGTCACGAAACGCCTGCAAGCAAGGAAGCCACCAAGCTCCGACAGCACCAAGGACCCCGCAGTTCAACCCTGAGCTACCAATAGCCTCTCCTGTCGGTTGAACACCCCCCCTTACCAGCCAGGGGTTTCTGGGCTTCGAACGGTTCCACGTAGCCTTCATTTTTATCCCTCTGCTGCTCCTGCGCCTGACGGTGAATTTCTTCCCTCGTGTCGAATGGATCCGAATAATCTTGCAGAATGGTCATCTACAAAAGGAAAGGACCCTTTAATGCAGAGGCCTTCAAACTTTGGGGCACCAAGGACCGGTTCTGTGGAGAGAGGTTTTTTCCACGGACCGGAGAGTGTGTGGTTTTGTGTACTGCCTGCATTCCACGGATAGGGCTTTGCTGGTTTGTGCGGACCGGTTGCTGGCATGCCACGGCCCGGTACCGGTCCACGGCCCAGGGGTTGGGGACCCCTGCTTTAATGGATCCAGCCGTAGCAGGAGAATAGCAACTTTGTGTAGGGGACAAGGAAGAAGGATCCTCCAAGCCAAGATGCGTCCATGTCCTTCACTCCGAAGGTCCAATTCGACTTATTTCGCCCTGGCCGTGCTGGAGGATTTTGAGAGTTAAGCGAGAAGCAAAGTCACTTGTCCACCCTTTTCATTCATCGGCCACCCAAGGAGAGATATTTTCATTTTTTGCTAAAGTGGAAGCAGAATCTGCCGCACAGCTCCCAGAGACCGGTGAGGTCCCATAGATTGGGCCTCCTTCAGGTCCCGTCGGCCAGACAATGTCGGCTGGCGGGCCCTCGGGGAAGGGCCTTTTCTGTGGTGGCTCCGATCTGGTGGAATCAACTTCCCCCCCCCCGAGGTTCGAACTACTCCCACCCTGCCGGCCTTTAAGAAAGCCGTTAAAACTCTCCTGTTCCGGCAGGCCTGGGGCTGATGTCCCCCGGGGGGGGGGGCGGGATATGATCGGACATGCTGTATGATTGTATTATTTTATTGTTTTATTGTTGATGATTGTTTTAATTTTGTACGCCGCCCTGAGTCCTTTGGGATTGGGCAGCATATAAATAAAATAAAATAAAATAAAATAATAAAATAAAATAAAATAAAATAATAATAAAATAAAATAATAATAAAATAAAATAAAATAAAATAATAAAATAAAATAAAATAAATAAAATAAAAGAGCCAAGGTTGCCTACCCCTGATCTACAGGAACGGAGCACTTGTTTCTGCTTGTACATTCAAAAGAAAGGCCTGCAGACAGGATCCTTAAAATCTACTAAACCCCAAAGACCTACAAGACGCTAAAAGAGGGTTGCAACTCCGGGTTGTCTGTGCACGTTGTGTGAACAAGAAGTGCCAGTTCATCACTTCCAGCAACTGCAAGCAGGGAGTGTGAACCCAGCCCTGGTGTTTCAAGAAAGATTTAGCACCTGGCCAGGGGTTGTATTGTTTTTAGATCAAAGGCCCACCATATAAAGCATCTAAATACAGCGCCTACAAGGGGTTGCAGAGGGAGCTTTCGCCTTTTCTAAAATGCAAACAAAATAATTGGGGAATTATTTTTCCCGGCTTCTTTTCGCCTAACTCGTGTCATTTAGCAACCGCCTACCTTTATTTTGCTTTCCCGAGCCGCCCTAAAAGATACCACCCAAGCAGGGATTCCAGCCTACACACAACAAACGAACACACCTTTTCTACACGCATCCTTCAACCCCATCTGCCATCCTTTCAACCCCAACACGGAGACGTAAAATACACGGCAGACAGCCCTCCCAGACGCTTTCCCACGACCCACTCCATAGACCCTCGCCTTTAGCAGCGGCCCATGGAGGTTTGAGTCCCAAACGGGACGCAACCCCCCCCCCCTAAAAGAAGCTGGGGCGCCCCGGGATTAGCCCACCCCAAAGAACCCAAAGGCGGTTCTGTCGCCTCCGCGGGAGAAAAAGCCCCTTTCCCACGCCACCCCGGTTTCTCGCCCCGGCCGGGGGAAGCGCAAGGCGGGGGGTCTCCAGTCCTCCTTCTCCCCAGCCCCCCCCACGCCCCCCTCCCTCCCTCCCTCCCCCGCCGCCAGACCTGGTTCTCCTTCTGGTCCGGCGGCTCCCCCAGCCCGGGGGCGCCTTCCACCCGGACGAGCCGCCGGCGGGGCGAGCGGCAGCGGCGGGGGGCGGCGGGGGCCGGCGCGGAGCCCCCGCCGCGGTAGGGATCCTCGAAGTCGCGCTGGCGCTGCAGGCGGTAGGCGGCCAGCAGGTCCGGGCGCTCAGGTGCCGCCGCGTAGTCCGGCTGCGGGGGCGCCGGCTTGGCGCTGCGGAAGAGAAGGCGGTCGCGGAGCCAGCGCGCCATCATGCGGCCCCCCCCCCCGCCGACCTCCAGCCCCGGCCCGGCGCGGTGCGGGTCTAGCCGGCCGGCGCCACCATCCTCCTCCCCGTCCCCGGCTCGATGGGTGCGCGCTGCTCCGGCTTGCCTTCTCCGCCGCTGCGTCCTGGGTTGCCCGGGCAGGAGCCCCCCCCCCCCGCACCCGCCCGCGGAGCCCTCCCAGCCCGGATAGTCTGCCCGAAGCGCCCGGCGCCGTCTTTAAGCCCGCATCTTCCGCGTTTTACCTTGCGCCGGCAGCCCTTCCAGATGCTGCGGGACTGCAAGAACCGGCAGCCCCGGGCGGGCGGCTCTCGGTGAGGGATGATGGGAGATGTAGTTCGCAACGCCGGGGTTCCCCCCCCTTCTCTCCATCCTCCCCCTCCCCCCATCCCCGCGCTCAGCCTCTGCTCAGGGCAGGGCACGCGGAAGGAGAAAGCGCGCGTGGCGATCCCAGATGTTGCAGGCGTGCAGTGGCGCGGTGAACCGGCCATCGGCAGTGGCCGATGGAGGTTGGAGTCCCAAGTAGGGGGTCCATCTGGCTGGACTGGTCGGTCTGAGCTACCTAGGGCAAGGCGAGCCCTAAACAGAATACAGTCCTGAACTCAGGGCGCTTCGTTCTCTTTAAGGGTGCGTTGGCGTAACGTGTGAGCGAGCCAGCGAGAGAGACGGACACGTGTTTAGGCTCCTTTATGGCCGCGGTAGGCACGTTTATGCCAAAGCCACAGGCAGATAGACTCTACCTGGAGTGAAGCTCGACTAGATTTATCTGGAACGGTATATAGGGTCTCCTGCTTGGGGGGTGGACTAGAAGACCTCTAAGATCCCATCTTTGTTTATTCTGCATTCCGAAAAATGTTTTAGGCTTGCCAAGGCGTGATCGGATAACCCTTTGTTTCAACAGGCCTGTTGGTCACGTGTCCTACTCCAATTTGGGCACTGCAATCCGAACTGGGAGCCCTGAGCAGACGTCACTTATGAAAAAAGACACGCGTGTTCACTCCAAACGTGGTTTGAGTAAATCCTGCGCGCCTTTTTCGTAGGTGACGTTAGGCCGGGGACCTCGGTCCTTGCAGTTGCTTAATTTTCCTTGATAAATGTTTGGCGTGTTGTAGGAACACGCAGTCGGCTCAGGGCTTGGTGCAACGTGTGAACGCAGCCTGTCTCCGGAAGCAGGTTCCCCAAAGTGGGGCAAAATGAATTCGCGTGATTCTTACCCCCCCCCCCCGGTCATCTCGCTAGGGTATACTACACAATTAAACCAACATCTTTTAATTATAGACATTCTAAGAGCTCATTGACCTTAAATGGTTTAAATAATCTTAAAAGCAGCCAAATGCACGCCTCCTGGCAACAAACACGAAAATGCAGCCTGGGGTGTTCCAGCAAGCTTATAACGACACCCCCTGCAAATGCACCCAAAATGCACATTCAGAAGGAATTCACTCCGAATCTAGAACCGGAGTCCTGCTGGACCCCGAGCCCGCTTTCCATCTCGACCCTGGGCTTCATTGGTGACTTGAATTTTGCAGGAGCCCTTCGCTTTTCCTTTATTTCCGAACAATTCTTAAAAGCGAAGGGGAGCTTCTTTATAGTTAAATGTCGGAAATGCGAATTTAGAAAGCCGAAAAAGAAAAGAAAAAGAAAAATGAAGATACCCCTGCCGTGACTCGGATTCGAACCGAGGTTGCTGCGGCCACAACGCAGAGTACTAACCACTATACGATCACGGCGAGCCACCCGGGCGCTGGGAAAACAGCTCGGCATCCACCTTCTTCATTTCTACATTCCCTGACGTCATTGTCTCTTCGAATGGGGATTCACGCCTGTGTCGCATAGCGCCACCTTTGGTGAATAAGGTGAAGAACAGGATGGAAGGAACTAAACTGGATTTTTTGGACAATAGCCTTTAAAAATGACTTGCAGAGGCTGGCAATGGCTTTTAGACGCTTTCCACCTTTCCATCCCTGTAATGATTTTTTTCCCCTCTGCATCCTTAAGAATTTTGCCTGCCTAGCTTCGCATTTGGCTGCCCCAAAGAAGAGGGGGTCAAGCTATCCTCCAAAGCGCCTGAAGGCAGGACAAGAAGCAACGGATGGAAACTAATCAAGGAGAGAAGCAACCTAGAACTAAGGAGAAACTTCCTGACAGTGAGAACAATTAACCAGTGGTTCTCAACCTTTTTAATGCCGCGACCCCCAACCGGTCGTAAGTCGAGGACTACTCAACCGGTCGTAAGTCGAGGACTACCCAACTGGTGCAGCACCGTTTGCAGAAGGGGACTTTTGGCGGGCTCAGCAGGGCAGAGACAGCCTGGACAATTCCTATTGGCTTTTGAAAGCCAATAGAATTAGACTCTATTCAAGAGAGTCTATTCTATTGGCTTTCAAAAGCCAATAGAATAAAAGAGAGTAGCGCAGCTAAGGAAAAGGGGGAAAAAATGGCGGACTGCGTTGTTTGGTGACCCTCGTGAAATGGTCGTTCGACCCCAAATGGGGTCCTGACCCACAGGTTGAGAACCACTGCATTAATCAGTGGAAAGACTTGCCTCCAGAAGTTGTGGGTGCTCCATCACGAGGCTTTTAGGAAGAGACTGGACAAACATTTGTCCGAAAGGATATACGTGTAGGGTCCAGCTTCTTGGGCATGGGATTGGATTTGAAGTGGTCATAAGTTGAGAACTACCTGTACTGATGTAAAAGAAATGACTAAATGTGTCCTGTATGAGGTTGAGTTACGAGATTGACTAAGAAATCTTGTAACTGGGTGGCACCCAAGCGTAAAGTCTACCAGACATCATGGCACATAAAATCAACCCTAATGGAACTGCTGGGTTTGTACTCCAGGGATCTTGTTATCTCCACTGTCCAAAGTTGATAGTTATACAGTTGGAACCTACAACATGCAAATAAAATTATCCAAGGAAGTTTTGCTGCATTGCATTGTCCTTGAGTGAATATAGCAAAGCGCAAAGGTCATTCTTCTTCTGATTAGGTGTTCGTGTTGGTCCTTATCATTTTCTCAAATACCCATTGATGCTAATAGCTAGAACCAAGTAATATTTTTGCAAGCCAACGTGCAATTTTTGTTCATTCATAGGATTTGGGGTTCATTTGTCATGCCACAGCCTCCCAGAACAAGCCTGACAAATATTAGGTATGAATACTAATAGAAGTATGACTCATCATAGAATAGAATTAGAATAGAATAGAATAGAATAGAATAGAATAGAATAGAATAGAATAGAATAGAATAGAATAGAGAGGAGAGAGAATGGAATGGAATGGAATGGAATGGAATGGAATAGAATAGAATAGAATAGAATAGAATAGAATAGAATAGAATAGAATAGAATAGAATAGGAATAGGAATAGAGAATGGGTGAGAATGGAATGGAATGGAATGGAATAGAATAGAATAGAATAGAATAGAATAGAATAGAATAGAATAGAATAGAATAGAGAATGGGTGAGAATGGAATGGAATAGAATAGAATAGAATAGAATAGAATAGAATAGAATAGAATAGAATAGAATAGAGAATGGGTGAGAATGGAATGGAATGGAATGGAATGGAATAGAATAGAATAGAATAGAATAGAATAGAATAGAATAGAATAGAATAGAATAGAGAATGGAATGGAATGGAATAGAATAGAATAGAATAGAATAGAATAGAATAGAATAGAATAGAGAATGGAATAGAATAGAATAGAATAGAATAGAATAGAATAGAATAGAATAGAATAGAATAGGAATAGGAATGGAATGGAATGGAATGGAATGGAATGGAATGGAATGGAATGGAATGGAATAGAATAGAAACAGAAACTTTATTTATATTAAATCCACTTAATATAATCCACTTGTGGGTGCTCCAACATTGGAGGTTTTAAAGAAGAGATTGGACAGTCATTTGTCTGAAAGGGCATGGGGGGCTTGGACTAGAAGACCTCCAAGATCCTTTCCAACTCAGTTATTCTGTTCACTTCTGTTCCGGTGACATTTTTGTTTCCCTAATGACTTAGTTCCTTCTTATCTATCCCTCTTTCTTATCTGTCTCTTGAAGGGATCTTGTAGACTAGATCCCTGCCTTTTGTCCTCCCGGCTTGCTATACATGCCTGCTTCATCTTGAGGTATGGCAATTTCAACTTAGTCTCACAAGAGCCCCCCCCCAAAGTTTGTGAATGAATTGCCCCTTGTTGAAGATTCATCCTCAGCTTTCCTGGCCTTTATTCCACCACAGGCGAGTTTATTTGCCCTTCTGATTATTTTCAAGCTATCTCGAGAGTGGCACTGTTTAATGTGTAACGATCATCTGAGCAAGACCAAGGTTGTTGCTGAACCATCAGCATGTTTTACACTGCCCGAAGTACAATAGGGCACACAGCTGTCCTGCTAAGCACATGGTTTAAAATTATGGGATTGTGGTGGGCTATAAGGTTTTCAGGTTTTGTTTTTTTTTAAAGGGGATCCAGGCATTGCAAGAGCTACTGGAATTCCACTTTAGTGTTGTAGGTTATAATATCAGAATCTTGAAAGCCTGTCAAAGTCTACTTCTATTCCTTCTTCTACCAAATAAAATCAAGGCAGGGTTATTTTGCATTTTTTTTCATGCTTTCCATTTTTCCAGTGCTGAATGAGCCTTTCCTTTCCCTTAACTACTCCTGCATATGGTGGAGCTCTTGAAAGGAAAAAATCGAGATGATTTCTGCATTACACTGAAGGCTCTGCCTAAAATATGACTTGAAGAAGCTAGAGAGAGCTAAAATGTTGAAACCCATTCTAGCTTTTCTCTGCTCTTGACCCTAGCTTGAATGTTATCTTTGGCATTTTGTCCTAGATAGTCTTTTCCGTTTCTACCTGCTCATTATTTAAGGAGTAGGGTCCCTTTGCTGTCTAAGACCAGCTGTGTTTCATATCTGAAGGACATCAAAAACCTGTGGTCCTCAGGAGAACTAACAAGTCTCCAGCAAGTCCTCCTGGAGATCTATTTTGTGCAATCTACTAAATCCTCACCGCCCCTTCCTTGCAGTTGTTGGAGAATGGATTTGACTTTGACTGGATTGGGATCTTTCTTCTCAGTTCCCAGAGGAAAAAATGAAGTTTTTCCTGGAATTAGATAGGTAGAAATATCTGGAATGCTGCAACATAATGAAACTCCCAGGTGTGTGAGAATGGGGAGGAGTAGGACTTTTATGGCCTAATAAATCTATCTCCAGGTCTTTGGACTATGCAGTTAATTGATTACTGATTTATGATCTGGTCTTGAAGATTGAAGTGGTAAGAAAAGGGCTTCTTGGTTCTGAGGGTAAGCAGGGCAGAGATGGATTTTGCTGTGAGTTATTGATCAGGTCGTGACATGGATGTGGGTAGGGTTACTGTCAACATTGGGAAGAGAATTAGAGCCACTGAAGAGAAACAACAGGTTCTCCTAGAGGAAGGATCCAGAGAGCAAAACAGTGGTGGTTGGTTTGTGATCTGCTGCTGTCTGCAGATGTGAAGGGAAATCCAGAAGAAGGAATCGCAGTGTGTCTTGTTGGTTGAGCATAAGACCTGCACTTTGGTGATAGCAAAGGCCCAACCAATTTGCCATCCGGTACACTCAGTTGAAATAGTGAGTGTCAAATAATTGATTAACTCATCAGGTTTGTATCCCCTGCAGATCTTCGTGGCTCATTGACAGACCCACTCTACCTGGAATTAGAATTATAGGATTGAAGTGCTTGGGGGAGGAAGGTTTGGGAGAACAGGGGTGTGACCATGGCTGCTCTGACAACAGGAAGATGCTCTGAGGTGCTACTTGCCAAGCTGACAGTGGACCTTTTTCTTCCAGAACACACCAAGGTGGAGGTAGTAGCTTCAGAACCACAAGACAATGAACGAAGTCAAGATTTCAGCTAAAAACGGTGATAAGGGCATGGCAAACCTAGGATTTCAAGATATGGTAAGTTTTTCTTTCTCTCCTTAGCTTTGTCCTTTGCACTTTTCTCAAAGATGGTAATTGTGTTTTCCTCAAAGATGGTCATTGTGTCTGTGTTTTTGTCAGGAATCAGAGACAAATGGAAATGAAGCACCATATCTTGAGATTTTGGAAGAAAACCCTGTGCAGAAGAGTCATTTTGGGAGGTACTAAATGTGGATGACCAAGGAAATGTGGGGATGTTGTTTCAGCTGGACAGTCAACGGTTTAATACTATAAGATGTTCTTTTGTCAGCTTAAAGAGGCTGATTGATTGATAGACTAGATGCGTATAGAATAGATTAATATTTTATTTTAATTAAGGGATATTAGTGGAAGAAGAACTAAACAAGATTTATGATAAAATTAAGGAATTAGAATATATTTGGAAGGGATACCCAAATTGATAATGTTTGTACTTAAATTTAATTTGATTATGGTAATGTAAATCTCTAAAGCTTTAAAAACAGGTATAGGTTGAATAAATTTAAGCTAGAATTAAATTTAGGACTAGGACTATTTTAAATAAATTATGTTATCTAAGGCAAAAAGAGAGGGAATGCTAGAGGTATTGATTGAACTATGTATATATGTTTTGTTTTTGTTTTGGGATGTTTGTCTCCCCTAACACCACGGTGTGCCTTGAGCACTTTGTTTCAAAAATTAAAAAACCAATAAAATCTCTTTTAAAAAAAATACTATAAAATTCCCCAGATTTTCCCCTTCTTAGAACTGCTGTTTTGTATAATCCCCTGAAAACACTTGAGGGCAGCCTTAATCTGAGGTCCGAGTTTGTCTTTTCATCCCAACTCTTGCAAGGAGGAAAGAACAATTAGATATCGTCTGTTATTATTCCTATCATTTACATGCTGCTCCCTTTCCAGAAACTCTGAGCAGTTTATTGTATTAATCTAGTGAGATATAAAAAAAGAAGAATGAAGTAATGGAATGAATCAAGCGGATGTGGTTCCATTCGGAAAGACCCTGATTTTACTCATCCTTAAAGGTCTTTTGGGAAAACCTTGCTTAATGGCTCTCTAAATATGTTACAATGATGGGTTGAACCAGATCTTTGAAGGTTAAGCTATTACACCAGGGGTCTTCAAACTTGACAACTTTAAGACTTGTGGACTTCAACTCCCAGAATTCCTGGCCGGGAATTCTGGAGTTGAAGTCCACAAGTCTTAAAGTTGCCAAAATTGGAGACCCTTGTAATAACACAGTAGGGACATTGCTGGTAAGGGCTGATACAGAGTCTCCAAAGATGGCATTCACTGGTGATGGGATCTTTAGCTATCTGTCTCATCAAGATCTACACAAGTCAAACAGATTCAGCTTCCACAACACAGTCACTGAGACATACAGGCAATCTAATCTAATCTAATCTAATCATAAATATCTAAAATGGGACTCAACAAAATTATGTATAAGATCCCTTCTAGATGTTCTGTAATGTTGATTTTCTTGATTGGCCTTTCAGCAGGTTCAAGAATGTGACTCAGCCTTTCTCTAAAGCAAAGAGTTTTTACAAGACTCATCGTGAATTATTCCACAAGGTCTTCTTAGGCATCTTATGTGTAGGTACGTCTTCCACTCTCAGGTTGCACATGGTGATCACATGACCCCAGTAAGCTGCAACTGTTATAAATACATGTCAGTTGCCAGGCGCCTGAATTTTGATGACATGACCGTGGAGATGCAAGTGCAAGGATCACTTGTAAGTCACTTTTTTTCCAGCGGCATTGTAATTTTGAATGGTCACTAAATAAATGTTATAAATAGAGGACTACCTGTATTCCAGCTGGTGCTGGAACTTCTGCCCCAGACCTTTGAGAATGGCACTGGTCTAAAGGAATGGTATGGACCAGCTCACCCCTATTTGTGGTGATTTCTGATGATTTGACACCCTGGGCTGTTCAATACTTTGATGTCTTGAGGTTCAATGCCATCAGCCTTGGTGGCACGGTGGTTAAAGTGCAGTATTGCAGGCTAACTCGGCCCACAGCTAGGTGTTTGATCCTGACAGCCTTCCATCCTTGACTCAGCCTTCCATCCTTACGAGGTTGGTAAAATGAGGACCCAGATCGTTGGGGGCAAGAGGCTGACTCTGTAAACCACCTAGAGAGGGCTGTAAAGCAGTGTGGAGTGGTATATAAATCTAAGGGCTGCTATTGCTATTGCTCTCTCTCTCTCTCTCTCTCTCTCTCTCTCTCTCTCTCTCTCTCTCTCTCTCTCTCTCTCGTGGCACTATGGTTAGAACGCAGCATTGTAGGCAAACTCTGCCCACTGCCAGGAGTTCGATCCTGACTGGCTTAAGGTTGACCCATCCTTCCATCCTTCTGAGGTTGGTAAAATGAGGACCCAGATTGTTGGGGGCAAGATGCTGACTCTGTAAATTGCCAAGAGAGGGCTGTAAAGCAGTGTGAAGTGATATATAAGTATAAGGGCTATTGCTATTGCTCTATCTATCTATCTATCTAGTGGCACAGTGGTTAGAATGCAGCATTGTAGGCAAACTCTACCCACTGTCAGGAGTTCAGTCCTAACCGGCTCGAGATTAACTCAGCCTTCCATCCTTTCCTTCAGTAAAATGAGGACCCAGATTGTTGGGGGCAAATATGCTGACTCTGTAAACCGCCTAGAGGGGGCTGTAAAGCAGGGTGAAGCGGTATATAAGTCTAAGTGCTAATTGCTATTGCTATTCTCATTTTAGGCTACCTGGCCTACTTCATTGCTGCTTGTTATCTGGACTACCATCGGGCCTTGGCGCTGATCATTCTAACAAGCCTGGCCCTTGCTTTCCTGGCTTATAGTATAGTCAAAAAATGTTTGGGAGCCAAGATTATCCAGATGTTCAGCCCTTGCAGGAAATGCTGTGAGAAGGCCTGGCCGTGGCTGAAATGGTAAGGGGCTGATCTGCTGAACAGATCAGTTTTAAGATCAGGGGTTTTTTTTTTCAAGAAGCCACGGAGAATCAGTCTCCATTCTGCTCTTTTAAATATTAGATCATCATTTTTAGAGTGTTGAGTTGGTGGTTGGATTAGGCAACCTTAAACGTGATTTTTCAGTCTATGAATCTATGGTAACGGAGGAATAAATACAATACAAAATGATGCAATGCAATACAGTGAAAGAAATAACACAAGTGATGGAACGTAAACAGAATACAGTGGACCAAAAAAGGCTAAAAAATGGATTGTGCCCTAGGAATCTCAGCCAGGTAAGTAAAATATAAATAATCTAGCCCAGAATATAAATATCAATATTCTGGAAAATAAAATGGGATAAATTAAGTATTGCAAGCCTGATGCCCCAGTAGAAAAGGAGTTTTCTTATATCCCAAACTATTATCTTTTGTCCCCCCCCCTCTTTTTTTTCTCACAGGTTTATCTTGAATGTATATTTAATAAACGGCTTATCACGGGCGAATGTTTAATCAAGTACCTATTAATGTGCCTCCTCTGTAATTCTCTAGGGTTTTGTGTGCCATTCTTCTGATTGCTTTGATCACATGGCTGGTTCTGGACGTGTCCCAAAGGAAAGAGCAGCTGGTCTCTTTGGGAGGTTTCTGCGTTCTGGTGTTCTTGTTATTTCTCTTCTCCAAGCATCCCATGGCCGTAAGGACCATCATTTTCTTTAGCTTAGAATCTTAAATCTAACCAAGATTCAGTACAACAGGCTGTCTTTTTCCACTCCCACTTCTCAGAGAAGTCTATAAACGATGTTGGCTTAGGTCAGGGGAAGGGAACCTTGGCTCTTTTATGACTTATGGACTTCAATACCCAGAATTCCTGAACCAGCCATGCTGACTCAGGAATTCTGGGAGTTGAAGTCCACAAGTCATAAAAGAGCCAAGGTTCCCTACCCCTGGCTTAGGTAGAAGTCATTTCTGCATTGAAGACAGCCAACCGTTCCTCTGGAACTTGGTTTGATCTGCAGCATTAGGGGAGTCTGAGTTAAGGTGACACTGAGCGCTGCTTGATTTTTCCAATCATATATTTGTCTATTTTAGCCTCTTTGGCTACTGAAAGTCCCTGGAGATCCTCAGTCATCCAGGTCATGGTTGTCCCAAGGGTGCTTTTCCAAAAGGCAACTGGACTTTGTTTTACCTTGAAGACCTTTCATTTCTCATCCAAAAAGCTTCTTTAGTTCTGACACGAGTCCAAGAAGTTTCTGGGATGAGAAACGAAAAACAAAGGAAAAACAAAGGAAAAACAAAGCCCAATTGCCTTTTGGAAAAGCACCGTTGGGAATTTGGCTACGGAGTTGTAAAGATCAACTTGGCTGAACCTCAAGGCTTCCATCTCTCCAGTGTGGAAATCTGCTGTCTCCCATGGGTCTAGATCAGTGGTTCTCAACCTTTTTAATGCCGCGACCCCCAACCGGTCGTAAGTCAAGGACTACTCAACCGGTCGTAAGTTGAGGACTACTCAACTGATGGTAAGTCGAGGACTACTCAACTGGTGCAGCACCGTTTGCAGACTGGGACTTTTGGTGGGCTCAGCAGGGCAGAGACAGCCTGGACAATTCCTATTGGCTTTGGAAAGCCAATAGAATTAGACTCTATTCAAGAGAGTCTATTCTATTGGCTTTCGAAAGCCAATAGAATAAAAGGGAGTAGAACAGCTAAGGAAAAGGGGGGAAAAACGGCGGACTGCGTTGTTTGGCGACCCCCGTGAAATGGTCCCGACCCACAGGTTGAGAACCACTGGTCTAGATGTTCACAACATGTCCTGGATTGCAGGTATCCTGGAGAGCTGTTTTCTGGGGCCTCGGTCTACAGTTTGTCCTTGGAATCTTCATTATCCGAACTGAACCGGGATTTCAAGCTTTCCAATGGCTGGGCAATCAGATTCAGGTATGGTATAGTAATTGTCAATGTCTGGCTGGCTTATTCAATATTGAAGAAACTCTATGGCCTTGAGGTGCCATAAGAGATCATCTTTATTGAATACACATTCTGGCACTGAAGAAGCAAAATCAACTCTAGTTTTCCCATGCAAAAATCTGGTTAGTTAACAACAGCTTTTCATAACACCCCTCCTGCCCACCAGGTGTTCAAGCTGTCCAATTACATCCCTTTGGTTTGTTATGGGAACAGTCCATTTCTCTGTCAGACATCTGCTTTTGTGACCTTGGGTCTCACAGTCCATGGAGGGCTTCTTGAAACTTCCATTTGAATGGCAAGTTGAGTAGCAACAGAGGTTAGCAAACATCTTAGCAATTCAACCTTGACAGTAATGTTTGAAGATGTTATATCCCATGTTCCTCAGGGACAAAATCCTACCTTTCAAGTCACATGTCCACTGGCTTCAGTTCAGAAAGATCCCATTTGAACCATTAGCCAAATCAACTGGAACAAGACAATGTTCAGCTTATGATGACAAGATCTAGTGAGGAAGGAGAAGACGTAGATAGGTTCTTGAGCAACAGGGATAATGACTTTGGGTGATTATCATAATCATCATTGAATTTGACTTTAAGCTTCTGTAGATCAAAAAGCTGCATAGGTGTGCCATAATTTTTTAAAAAGTGAACATGACTCTGTTTCCAAATGTTCCTTCTAATATTGTTTCCCTTTCAGATATTCCTTAACTATACCACTGCTGGATCCAGCTTTGTCTTTGGGGAGAAACTGATCCAAGAAAGTTTTGCCTTTCAGGTGAATGCAGATAAACATATTCTCTGTAAGAACCATATGACTTCTGTATACAAGCTCTACAACAGAGGGCTGTGATCCTTACTTCCAATTAGCCATTATTAATCTTATTGGCTAGGGTTGATGGGAGCTGTCATTTAGCAACATCTGGAGAGCTGCAGATGCCCTGTAATAAAAATGCACACTATTCTGTTCTGTCTCCAGGCTTTGCCCATTGTTATCTTCTTCAGCTGTGTGATGTCCATCCTCTACTACTTGGGAGTCATGCAGTTTGTGATCCTGAAGGTAAAGCTGAGTTTTAGGATTTCAGAAGTAAGCTTATAATTTCCCTCATGGAGCTAAACAGCCTATTGATCATTACATACATCTGGTCATAAGGCACTTGGACAGGTCAAGATACATTATAAGGTACCCAAAGAGAATAATATTACTTCTTCCACTACTGAGAAGTGCTAAAACAAGGGACACGACTTGATAGTTTACAAGGAAGGGGGTGTGATGCTGTTATGATGAAGTAGGCAGTGCAAAACAAAAGGGTTACTTTGCTGAGTCAACAGGGGTACCAGAGATTGAAGAAAGGAGAAAAACATGGAAGATGCTATGCATCAAGGAATCTTTGTTGATGAGAAGAGAGCACCACGAGATGGGGGCAACACAGGCAGAAGGGTTAATTCTATTGACTGTGACATCTGCGCTGTCTGTGGACTTCATTCCAAGTCAGACCCCACTGCTCCATCTAGGTCATTGTCTAGACTGACCTTCTGGAAGGAGCTCTTTGGGATTTCAAATCCTTCAATCCTACCGAGATGGATCAGACTTTGGATTTCAGGCCTTGCTGGAAGGCAAAGCATATGCCTGCCGCTGAGCTATGGCCCCATAGCCAAGGATGTGTCATTGCTGCAAGATTGCCAAATGAATCAACAAGAGATTAAATCTAGGATATTCTGGGCAATGACCCATAGGCTACCAGTGTCCTCCAACTCACAGTCTCCAACCTTTTCTTCTAACAGTTGTCCTGGCTCCTGCAAATCACAATGGGCACAGCAGCCACCGAATCCCTGAGCGTGGTGGGGAATATATTTGTGGGGATGGTAAGTGGTAAGTGTTCTTGACTTGGTCAGTTCAACTTTCCCTTCTCCGAACAAGAGAGGAAACAGACTTCCATTCTGATTTCTTTCTGCTTTTCATTTCCTAAACTATTGTGTTTCTGCGTTTGAGAATAGCTTTCTTTCTCCCCCCATACAATTTGGAAAAAACTGCTGGGAAAAGGGGGTACATACTTTTGAGTGCATTTCTCTGAACACGTGGATCTTTCCTTTTCTTCTTCTTCTTCAATATAACATTTCTTCGGTTTATTCTGCTTTGCAACATTTAAAGAAATGCAGACTTCAGATCTAGCCAACCTTTGGATTATGTTTTGAGTCTGAAGTGCAAAACTAGGTAAGCGTGCTTTCAGATGAATTACTCTTTCTTTTTTTAATGTGAAACAATCACAAATCTGGACACTCTCTCTTTCTCGTTGTATATCCCAGAACTAAGTATGTTGTTTAAGCAGAACATCAAATCATGCTATGTACTTGTTGTTTCTGAGAACAGAGAACAGAATTCTGAGATATATTTCTGGGGTCTACAGGCTTCTTGGTAAAACTCTGCTATTGGATTTTATCTTTTGTCCTCCAGACAGAAGCACCACTGCTCATCCGCCCGTACCTGGGGGACATGACACGTTCAGAAGTCCATGCTGTAATGACAGGTGGCTTTGCTACCATTGCTGGTAGTGTGATGGGTGCATACATTTCATTTGGGGTGAGTCTGGTGATGATGTTATCCATTCAGTTGTGTGACTCTTGGCGATTCTATGGACCAAGTCTTTCCATGTCTTCTGATCTTGCACTACTTCTTTGTTTTATGTTCTGGCTGATGCTAGCTTTGATGGTGGGGGTGAGTTTACTGTACAAGAAAATAAATATCAACAGCCGAGTCTGCATTGCATCATTTTCTGTTGCGCAGATGATATGGAATCATCCATGGCAGATTATACACACGTTCATGATTACTGAACCAGGATATTTGATGGCCTATGAGTATAGTATTGGGACATTCCTTGGGTCTTTCCTAAGTGTAGGCCTTGGGGTAAATTTCATTTAATCAGATGAAGGTTGTCTAGAAAAGGGATTTGATCAGGCCAAATGGGAACTGGAGGAACATCTAAAAGACATGGATTGGAGTAAACCGTTTTTTGACGAAGCCAATCTACTTGGACTATTGCTGTAACTCAGTTTAAAGCTGAGTCTTATTTTATTTTAATTATAATCTGGCCTTTGGTATGAGTTGTTTTATCAGGGGAGGGGAATATTGTAATAAAAGGCCATCTTGTGATGTGTGACTTGGTATTATCAGTATCATACTCCAATAAACTGTAGAAGCCTGGGCAAAATGTTCTGTATTTCCCAATAAGCTAATCGCCTTTTGATTAGAACTGATTGGAAGAAGGAGCATATAATTATTCCACAGCAAAGAACATTTACATCATACTTTTTTTTTAACTGCATGGAAAATGTTTAAATTACTGTTGGGAAAGAGAAAGAATCCACAAAATCGTAGAGTTAATACTGGTGAGTTAAAGAACACCATATTTGCCAACTCTTCTGTGGCAATTTGCAATTCTTCTTGCAGATTGATGCCTCCTCTTTGATTGCAGCTTCAGTTATGGCAGCACCATGTGCTTTAGCTATGGCCAAACTTGTCTACCCAGAAGTGGAAACGTCCAAATTCCAAAGCTGTGAAGGGATCAAAATTGCCTGCGGGTGAGAGCAGCTAAAATCCATGCAACTCCCATGGCTTGCAGAAGGATCTGGGAAGCAGGTTTCAAGGAGAAAGTGGAGAGAATAGAGGAGAAGACCAGTGTGGCAAGCATAGCTGGGAAGATTGGAGAGATACAAAGTGAAGAAGATGTGGCCCCAAATTCCCAGCTGTTTTTATCTGGACAGGCAGAAGGGCCATGGTCCAGGTCCCATCAATTAAAGAACGTCATCTAGCAGGATCTCTCTGTCACAGTGCCTGCCTTTTGAAACTCCATAGCATCAGAGTGGGATTAGATTGGCCCTAACACTGTTTTTCTCAGCATGTATCTCAGTTGTCTAGGAAGATATGAGCAGCAAACAAATTTAAGGAGGGAGGGAAGGAGCGAGGGAGGAAACAGAGAGAGGGAAGGAAGATAGGAAGGAAAAAAGAAGCAATAAAGATGGAGAGAGAAGGGAGGGAAGGAGGAAGAAAGGAAGATGGAGAAAGAAGGTAGGTAGGTAGGTAGGTAGGAAGGAAGGAAGGAAGGAAGGAAGGAAGGAAGGAAGGAAGGAAGGAAGGAAGGAAGGAAGGAAGGTGGAAAGAGAAGCGAGGAAGATGAGGGGAAAAGGAAGGAAGGAAGGGAGGAAGGGAGGAAGGAAGGAAGGAAGGAAGGTGGAAAGAGAAGCAAGGAAGATGAGGGGAAAAGGAAGGAAGGAAGGAAGGAAGGTTGGTTGGTTCTGGATCATCTCCCCATTTCCTTCTTTCTTTGTACATTCCTGCAGGGAGGAAAAGAATATTCTGGAAGCTGCTGGTAACGGTGCCTCTGTCTCTGTGGGGCTGGTGGCCAACATTGCAGCCAACCTCATCGCCTTCCTGGCTGTGCTGGCATTCATCAACGCTGCCCTCAGTTGGCTAGGAGGGATGGTCAACTTGCCCCAACTCTCCTTCCAGGTATCTCCTACGAAACACCCACATTGATTATGACAGGATGGTGAAAACATCAAGAGACATGAGGAGTTGTCTAGCTAAATTATCAGGATGTGATATGCCCACCCTGACTAGAACCGTCTCTGGTAGAAGACGGCCACCTTGTGTCTTCTACTAGTTCTGGGTTCCTACAATCAATTGCAATTTGAGCGTGCTCCCTAGTAACGATGGAATTGGCAAATATCAAATTAACCCTGATTTAAGGTATGCACTCGGCCCAGTTTTCAACCATCATTTGTTTCACAGCTAGTACAAGAAGAGAATGCAAAAACTGTGTCCCACACTCACAATCTCCTGGTGTCTAATGGTCAAAACTTATTGCATTGTGATAGATTGACCTTAGAGATTAAAGAGAAAGAAGATTCAGTTTACTTTAGAACATGGGATAATTTTTACCAATGGTTAGGAAAATGAACTAGCGAGAAATGAATGTGATATGTTATTTTGAATATATATTAGTAAGAAGAATGATATGCATTAATTAACTGATACTGTTTATGATTATCGTTTATTACACTTAGTACAGTTACTTATTACTATATCAACTATTGTTTGATATCAATCTGTTTGCTAAAGAAAATGTTATTGGGGGATAACCCCAATGTTGACCCCACCCCCCTCCCAACCTCAATCCTGATCCCAACCCCATCCTAAACTTTAATCCTTATCCCGATCCTATTTTATCCCGAACCCTATAAAACTCAATAAATTTTTAAAAAAACGTATTGCATTGTGAAACTCTAATATTTCAACTAGATCTTTGTTGAATTTAACAAAGAGGGGTGCTCAGGAGCAGAAGGGCCAATGGAGATGTACAGAGGAAACCATGGCAAGCACCAGCCTTTTATTGGGTGTCAAAAGATGGCAAGAGACCAATCGTGATCAGTTAGTTGAGCACTTTAATTTACAAAGCTTTTAAAAGAATTGCCTTCTGTCTTTCAGCTGATCTGCTCATACGTCCTGATGCCTTTAGCTTTCTTGTTAGGGGCAAGCTGGGAAGATGCTTCCCTGGCTGCTGAGATGGTGGGAATCAAGTTCTTCTTAAATGAATTTGTGGCCTACCAGCAATTGTCAACATACAAAAACAATCGCCTGATGGGTCTGCCCGAGTGGGATGGTTCTCAAAAACAGTGGATTTCGGTAAGTACCCTGGTCATAATACTATATGGAAACAAAAGCCTGTGGGCACTGCTCTTTCTCCTCCAAGCCCACCTACCCTACCCAATCTTCTTGATTTGGTGGGAGCAATCTCAGAAACAAAGTCATGGACTTGGGCACGCTTGGCATGTGGTTAACAAAAGATCTGACTGATTTTTCTTTTTAGACCGATGTGTTCCAACCTTGACAACTTTAAGACGTGTGGTTCTCAACTTCCCCATGCTGGGTGAGGAATTCTGAGCGTTGAAGTCCACACATCCTAAAGTTTCTAAGGTTGAAAAACACTGCCTTTGACTATCCTTGCTTGCATACCCAGCAGCAAGTGCTGAGCAAGGCAAACTGGAAGATGCCAACTGGAAGAGGGATGAAGGGGTGGTGGATCTATTCTTTATCACAACACTGATTATGTTCTCTCTCTCTCTCTCTCTCTCTCTCTCTCTCTCTCTCTCTCTCTCTCTCTCTCCTCTTAGCCCAGAGCTGAAACCATTTTAACCTTTGCTCTGTGTGGATTTGCCAACCTGAGCTCTATTGGGATCATGCTGGGTGGCTTGAGTAAGTCAACAAACCAGTGAGAAACATGAAGACTTCATAGTGGGAGAAAAGGACTCTTTGCTGCCAGTGGCAGGGAAGGAATGACCTGCCCCATAGCTACATCCTCTGTGGCTTAAGCATCCCAACCTCTCCTTTCATAGGCTTGGTTATTCTCAGTTGCCAAAACGGTTTGGTCCTGAGAAGAGCAATTTCATTCATGTGACCCAGTTCCATCTGCTTTTCTTTTAACATGAAGCTTCGATGGCACCGCAACGCAAGAGTGAATTTTCCAGCATTGTTCTACGAGCTTTGATCACCGGAGCCACCGTCTCCCTAATCAATGCATGCATTGCAGGTGGGTAGAAAATAATCTCCCCTCCCTGGGGGAGGAGAGTGGGGAAACAGGGTTAAACTTAAAGCTCTGTCTAGTAGTTGAACATAATTCTTGCTTGTTTGAGGGACATACCCTCTTATGTTCTCTCAGCACACGCTCATGTTTTCCCGTATGCATTTCACTTTGCAACAATACAGTCTGCTGGGTTGGACCCACAAGTTGGCGACTTCCTTTCGTTTTAAGCAAAGGTGCAACTTTCCCCACAAGCTCTGAATTTCCTACCCACAGGAATCCTCTATGTGCCCAGAGATGTCCCTGACTGTCTGGAATTCTTTAGCAATACCATCATCAACTCTACCAGCTACTCTCTGCATGAATGCTGCAAAGACTTGTTCGGCAGGTGAGCACTTGTTTGCGTGGCACGTGCGATATACACAGTGAAAGAAACTACAACAAAACCCTGATTCTTTTTGCTTGGCTTCAACACAACTTTGCAGAGAATAGGGCACGCTGATCTTTCCACCAGCCAGGGGGAGTAGAAGATGGTTAGGACGCAGTATTGCCAGTGATATGTGGGTCAATGCCTCTTCAATACCTTTAGACTTGATTCTGTGCATTAGTAAACACCAAAGATGATATTCTCTGGGTTTTTTTTTTAACCTTACTTGCCATGTGGAATGGACTTCAGGTCAAGGGCAATAGGAAAAGCATTTGTCATGGTAGACACGTATCATGTGCTAATTCCTGCACTGGTTTACAAAGCTGAGTCTAACTTATCATCAACAGCTTCCAAGATCTCTGGAGATCCCATGTTTGAAAACTGTATTCTAGAAATATTAGCAGCCGTAGAAATCCTTTGACTATCGTGATCTTCTATTTTCTTAAAATCCTTTTTTTTTAAAAAAAAAATGACCATGAGATGGCACCCTTTTGCCTTGGGAAAAAAACACAACAGCTCAGCAATCAATACTCAACTTTGTAGTGACTTGAATGGTTCTCTAATGGCCGGTCATTTAATATCCGCAAAGAAACATTGCAAATCTATCAAGTGCTGAACAAGATTTCAACATTACATTTGTTGCCTTTTTTTTTTAAAAAAAAAAAACTGAGATGATCTGCAAGACGGGTTCTCCTATGCTCAATGTCAGCATTATCCAGGGAAAATTAGAGACTGGCAAACCATATTTTGGAGAACATGGAGAGCTGTGGAGGCGCAGTGGTTAGAATGCAGTATTGCAGGTTAACTCTGCCCACTGCCAGGAGTTCGATCCTGGCCGGCTCAAGGTTGACTCAGCCGTCTATCCTTCTGAGGTTGGTAAAATGAGGACCCAGATTGTTGAGGGCAATATGCTGACATTTGTAAAATGCTCAGAGAGGGCAGTGAAGCAGTAACCATCAACATTTTGCGTGTCAGGGACCAGTTCTGTAGAGGATAGTTTTTCTGTGGACTGGAAGAGGAGTGGCTTCACACACTGCCTGAATCCCACACATATACTGATAGGGCTTTGCTCACTTGCGTGACTTGGTTCCTCGCAGGCTGTGGACTGGTGTTTGTCCACGGCTCGGAGGTTGTGGACCCCTGCTGTAAAGCACTATGGGGTCAACAAGTCTAAATACTACTGCTATTAACCCCTAATCTCTTCTTTTCCACAGTTCCTTACCTAGTTCCAATGGATCCCTCTCTTTTAATGGCATCTGGGAGACCCTAAACTCCAACACAACACAGACCTATCTCCAGAAATGCTGTGGTTACTATAGCTCCTCCATATGTCCCAAATGAGATGATGTCGCAGAAGAGGACAATTCACCGGATATGTAGAAGATGAATAAAGGAGAGGGTGGCGGTTGAAAAAATTCACAGGATTGTGTGAGAAAGAAAAAAAAAGGAAGGGTGAGGAGCAACATCTCACCTTCAACGGTAAAAGGAAGGGTTTTGTCAACTCTGATGAAGAATGCAAAGCTGCATTGTAATGTATGAAAAGAATCCTCTGGGTTTTTCTACTTCGAAGTGCTCCAGGCCAAACACCATGCAAATATGACACTCCTTTTGGCGATTTCATTTTGTGACAACGCAAAGAAGGGTTCAAGCAGTGGGTCTTCTCACAAAGTTGCTCTCGGCAGAAATGGTCAAACCTTTTTTTTTTTTTTTTTACAATTAAACCCCAATGCAATTGAGCCCTAGAAGTTCCACTCCGCCTTCCTTAGATCTCTTTGCATTCATTTCTGTTGGCTCTTCAGTCGCAGAGGTGGCTATGCATGTCTACCCACGGAAAAGCCCACGGAATTTCAAGGAGAGTTATATGCTCGAGAGAGAAAACCCCACTAAGCTCAGAGTTTCTTCCCAAGTAATTAAAAAAAAAAACCCTCAAACTTGCAGGTGGCAAAATTACTTGCTTTAAAAATAAACCAATGTCCTCATTCATATTTTTCCAAGGAACCGTGTCCTCAAGTCTAGGATTACCGAAGTCTTGGCAATCAGCCAGATTTCATCAGAGAAATGCACATACAGTACATAAAATTCAGAGAAGGTCTCAGCTGCTTCCACAGACAAGTTACGTCCTGCTTCACTTTATTCAGCAACTCTTGAACCCCAGGTTGTTTCTTTATTTTTTATTTTTTTGAGTCCAGCATTACACAACCCAATCAGTCCCAAATTTCTCCCAAGAATCCTGTATTCTTCTAAACCATTCTCATATAGGAGGGCTGCAAAATGATTCCTGCACCTGGAGGAGCTTTGAAGACAAGATTTGGCCCTGCTACATCAACATCACAGCTTCAGCAGAAGTTCCGTACATTAAATGAGGTTCTACATGGTTTGTTGGATGAGACACCACGGGGAGAGTCCACAAGGGGAACTCGGCTCCCTTCTTTGGCAACTCAAGCCCTAATATCAAGCAGCAATATTTGTAACAAATTGTTTTCAAATTAAAACTGCACACAAAGAAAACATTTTAGCAGGACCACCCGCTCCGCCTTGGTGTTGCTCATCCTGCCCTGTTGTTTGCATCTCATTGGGGTTTCTTTGGGGTTCCTAAGCTATTCCCTAAGATTATGATGGAGGACAATGAGATGTATTCACAAGTGATAAGGCTCCACGTTGTGGCAGATTATACAGTAGTCTTTGGTGAAGGAATGGCTGATGGGGCACCTATCTTCTATAGGCTGTTCCAGGGTTTTCTTGCTCAGTGACTTCTCCATCTTACGTGTAATTCCATTGAGCTCTGGAGGAAAGGACAGCTTTGGGACAATGTTATCTGATAGTAGGCAGTGGTCAAAATCTTTCTGGTTGCAGGCAACCGCTACACAGCCTGCATTTATTTAAAGTAAGTCAAGAGGATGTTGCTCAAGAGAGGGAGATTTCTATCTAAAAGGTCTTCCCTAACTCTACATCCTAAAGATGTGGCAGACCTGCACTTCCAGAATTCCCAGGGCTTTGAATCCTGGCTAGTCCCAACACATCTAGAAGAAGTTAGGTTGAGGAAGACTGCAACCGAGGCAATATACTCTAGCTCAGTGGTTCTCAACCTTTTTAATGCTGCGACCCCCAACCGGTCGTAAGTCGAGGACTACTCAACCGGTCGTAAGTCGAGGACTACTCAACTGGTGCAGCACCGTTTGCAGAATGGGACTTTTGGCGGGCTCAGCAGGGCAGAGACAGTCCGGACAATTCCTATTGGCTTTTGAAAGCCAATAGAATTAGACTCTATTCAAGAGAGTCTATTCTATTGGCTTTCAAAAGCCAATAGAATAAAAGGGAGTAGCACAGCAAAGGAAAAGGGGAAAAAAACGGCGGACTGAATTGTTTGGCGACCCCCGTGAAATGGTCATTCGACCCCAAATGAGGTCCCGACCCACAGGTTGAGAACCACTGCTCTAGCTACTTTCATACAATATCCTTGTCAGCTGCAAACTTAACAATTGCATTCATACAGGCTGGACTTGGTTACCGTTAACCCAGGTCTAGTTTTCTCTTTTTGGGGGGGAATTGGATGTGTGAATCCAACTTCTTTGGTTAACTTATGGATCGGTGTATGATGTGAATCCAGAAAAAAAAAAATCATCCAGGAACCAAGTGAAACTTATTATGTGAACAGGCGTGTGGTCATTAACAGGTAAGAAATATAACAAATCTGCTTTGAATACTCGGCAGCATCCAGAGTGTCTGATATAAATGTTTCCCAGCAATTCCTCTCTGATCTCTTAAGTCGAGGTCAAAACATCAACTGAAATCAGAGCTTTCTGTGTGCAAAATATGTGCTCCATCTGCACCATGTAGTACATGGCATGAGTGTACGGAACAGGAAGGGTAGTCAAGCAAGAAGGGGTTTATCTTCCGTTATTCTCATCAGCTCCACTTGATTGACCAAATGTCCTCTCGTCTTAGCCAGGACATATCTTGACACTTTAATTGTCCCCAAGCACAGATGCAGGAAGATACCATCACAGCCACGTCACATGGAGTCCCATCAAGGAAGCAGCATCTCCTCCAAAGGAGAAGGGAAGAAGTCAACTCTCTTCTCCTAGGGCCTAGGCACTCTTTTGAGTGTGGATGGGAAGAGAGGATCGGGCCAAAGTTACAGTAATTCTCAAGAGTCTCACTGGGGTTGTGGTGGCCCACACCATCATGGGAAAAGCAGAGAGCATGGGGCCTTTGGTAGGGGACGTATTGCAGTCAAGGGCATGAGTCCTGTATTACAGCCCAGCAGAGGTCCACCTGATGTCCAGCCCCCCACCTTGGACTTCAACCTGTTGAGAGCCATAGGACAGGCTCAATATTCAAAGCCCGGCCCAAGCACCAAGGAGAACCAGCACCACACAGGCACTTAAGTAGGGTGCCAAGCTCCTGCCTCACGTGATGGGACTGTGAAGACAGATGCCACTCTCTGCAGGGCCAGTAGTGACCACACTGTTGCATTCACACATCGTTCCAAACCTGCCCAGAAAGCCATGATCAGCATGGCTCTTTCCCTCAAACACTACACCACACAAACCTCACACATGGAAAGGTGGGGGAGCCAAGGGAGGACACAACAATCCTGTCCCCTTCCTCAGGCACACACAACGTGTATGGCTGATGGCCCCCACTGCCCATCACTGCAGCTGTCCTGTCTTGTCGCTGTCTCTTCCTTTGGGCCATGCCGTCGATTGTGATTCTGCAACATGTTCTGGACATTTCCGGGCGTTCTTGGGGCTCACGGACCCTTTCCTGGAAGCCTGGGGACTAGAGATGCCTTTCTTCTGGAGCTGAGGGCTGGACTGAGCTGATGAGGCTTTTCTGCCCATGTTGGGGCTCCGAGAACCTTTGCTTCTCGGCGGAGGTTGAGGAACCTCTAGGCTCTTCAGAGCAAGGAGCTCACAGTAACGGTTGCATTGATGGGAGGTAACAAAGTGATTGAGGAGGTTGGAGCAACAGCTCTCCTTCAGGCCTTGGTACCTGGCAGAGAAAGAAGGTTACTTCCCAGGATAAATTCCCCTTCCATCTTTGATATGCTTGTAAATTATGGAATTCACTGATGCTTCCCCCTGGTCTTATACCTATTAATGTGATCCCTCTGAGAGAGCCTTTGTGTTAGCAGGCACCATAGAAAATTGCAAAGGATACATCTCGGGAAAGATCTCAGGTCAGCCACATGTGACCTCTGGGTGGCTAATCAAGGTTTCAATGCCTACATCTCATCAGATTCCTTGGTCTGGATCAATGGTTCTCAACCTTTTTAATGCCGTGACCCCCAACCGGTCATAAGTCGGGGACTACTCAACCAGTCGTAAGTCGAGGATTACTCAACTGATGCAACACCATTTGCAGAATGGGACTTTTGGCGGGCTCAGCAGGGCAGAGACAGCCTGGACAATTCCTATTGGCTTTTGAAAGCCAATAGAATTAGACTCTATTCAAGAGAGGCTATTCTATTGGCTTTCAAAAGCCAATAGAATAAAAGGGAGTAGCACAGCTAAGGAAAAGGGGGAAAAAAATGGCGGACTGCGTTGTTTGGCGACCCCCGTGAAATGGTTGTTCGACCCCAAATGGGGTCCCGACCCACAGGTTGAGAACCACTGGTCTGGATTATACAAGAGTTTAGCATGGCACCAGCCAATCTTTGTCTTTTGCTAAACAACAATGCGCAAAGATCTCATGAATTTCCAATTCTGAAATATGAGCTGCACAGAAATCTGACACAGCAAGAGATAATACTGTCATGGTTTCAGCCTAGAAGGAAGCTAGGGAAGGGTCATGCCCTGATATACACTGAGAGTTGAGTAAAAAGGTGCCAAAGCTGTTAATTATTTGGCAGGAAGATAAAAACTGCTAGTTAGTGACATTGGCAGACTCCTTCCTTTATGTGCCAAAAATATGGGGCTGGAAGGGATCTGGGAGGTCTTCTAGCCCAACTCCTTGCTGAAGCTCTAGTCTTGTCTCGTTCTAGTTGAACCCAGTCATCCAGCTTGGATTGAAAGCTGCATGACGTGGCTACTACTTACCCCTTGGTTTTGGTAGCAATCTTCACATTGGTGACTTTCCATCCAACACCTGCAGGAAAAGTTCTGATGAAATCATAAGGTAGGTCCACCACTCCTCATTTTTGTTCAGCAACAACATCATGCTGACCCTTAGAACATCATACTGAAGCCAGCCTCAATCTGTTCATCCACAGCAGACGTGCATTCCTCCCAGTGTTGCTGACCCACAACTCCCAGCATTCCTCAGCACATCAGCGACAACAGACTACGGCAATCTGACCTAGAGAAGCTTCCTACAAGGTCTTCCCCTAAAAGTCAGAGGGCGCATCTCGTTGCCCACACAAGAGCCTCACCTTCCAAGTCGGTCACCAAGATGTTGCCATTTGTCCATTGGTAAAGCCAGTGCTGGAAAGCAGAGCATTTCTGCCCTATCTCAGAAGGGTTGGGTGGAGCCAACCTGTTGCCATCTCCTTCTCGCCCACAGTAGCCCTGAAACGACCCAGGCAAATCTTCCTCCATGGTTGCATAAGGAATATTGTTGGCTGGGCGATAGATTAGGTAAAGTGGGATGATCCTGGGTCAAAGAAAAAGAGTGTTCCTATTAGGCCTCTTCAGTGACTAGGAGACACTTCAGATGTGACCATTGTCTCCCAATTAAGACAGAAGTTGTGGCTCCAGTCAAGAGTTCTTGAACATTTAAGAATTAGTCATGCTGGACCAAGCGGAGGTCTGTAATGCAAACTATGCTGGTCTTTGACCACAATCGTGATGTTCTTCTCTTCTACAATGCCAAAATGGGGTCATTCGTGAAACCTCTCCCTCGACTGGTCAGTTACGACAGACCTCAGAGCTACGTATGACCCGTTTTTGGAGTTTCAACCACCGCCACCCCCAACTCCTCTAGTCACATGAACACATTTTGGATTCTTGTCAACTGCCTCTCATTTACGGCTATTTGCAGCGTTCTGTGACAATCATGTGACAATGATTTTCAGACCAAAATGTACTGCTGGTTTTCAGCAAAAAAAACAACCCTCGCCCATTGTAGAAAATGAGTTAATTTAACAACTGCAGCATTTGCTGAACAACCACCACGAAAAAGGTCGTAAAATCAGATGTGGTGACCAGCTTAATGACCGCCATAATTCCTGGCTCAGTTATGGCCAGATGCCTAGGACTACTTGCAAACCTATGAAGAGTTAAACAGAGAGGAGAGAATATTTGTAGCTCTGGGTTGGACCATGAAGCAGATATTTGGAGGGTATCCCAAATGGAACAGGACTGGCTTATTGTATCTTCAAGTAAGAGAAGGATTACCAATAACAGCTGGCTCCATAATATAACAGGAAGTGAATCCATACTTCAGTGTTCACATACACTACAATATAAGAATATACACCACAATGCAAATACTACAATCCCTCCCTACCCCAATCTATTAACACACAATGCCTTGAACCACAAACTGAGCAACTTTAGGGGGTCCTTGGTGCTCTCTGAGCTTGGTTGTTTTTTTTGCAGACATTTCATGACCAATCTAGGTAACATCATCAGTACTAGTTGATCATCACCATCAGCCTAGCATGGATGATGTTACCTAGTCTGGTCATAAATTTCTGCAAGAAAACAAGAAAGTTTAGAGAGCACCATGGACCCCACAGCTTTAAGCAGGCAATTCCCAGCCTGGAAAGAAACAACTTACTCAGGTATTGACCCAAAGTCCGCAATGGCCCGGGCCTCTGCAGCAAAGATCTTACAGTATTCCCGACTTGAATTCTGGATTTTACACTCCTGGAAGGAAACAGACAGTTCTTGACATCTTCTAACCAGACTTCAAAACTAGTCTCTCCCCTCCCCACCCAGGCAATGTTGTGAGGAGTGTGGCTTGTTTTAATCTTGATTTGGTTTTGGCAGCTCATGTTTGAGGTTAGCTAGGGATTCAATGCAATGTACAAATTGGAAAATGGGATGGTGTACAGGGAGTGACCATAGAAGTTTACACCAAACTTCTATAAAGCTACTTATAACCCATAATTGAAGTTCCAACAGCCAACAACCTCCCCCACCCACCCCGGGTGCTTGGAAATTGATAGTGTTTGGCAACTGGCTCACAATTATGGCCATCTGCAGTGTCCCCCACGGTCACATGACTACAAAATTTGGCATTTCTTTTGCTTCCCCCCCCCACCCTGACTTCTGGTTTCCAGCAAAAAGTGCCCATTGGAGAAAACAGACTTGTTTAATCACCACTGCGTTTGCTTAACAACTGCCACAAAATAGGTCCTAAAATCGGGTGTAGTCATGTGGTGTCCCTGTCAACACTGCTAACATTGGATGTTTTGCTTTGACAACAGTTGGAGATGCAACCATTTTCTTCTTATGTTTTACTTTTAGAGTTAGAGTTAGATGATGCTGGGGGGAGGAATGTGCATGAGAGTTTAGCTAGACATAATAATACTGGACCTAGTGTGTGAACCAAGGTTATTGAAATAAGAGATGATAAGAATTGGCGGGTTGGAGAACTGGAGGGAAAGCCTGCATTTCAAACTAATTGGAGAATGTGATTTATGACTGTTAATTGGAGGAAGGAATTGTGCTTTGATACTATGTGCTCAGGGGAGGGGAATTCAATTTTTGGCTTCGACTGTGTTAGTGCTGATGCTATGCTTCTCTAATAAAGATTCTTTAAGGTAAACAATGCCTCGAAGTTCTTTGAAGAGTTTCATCCGTCGTAACCATGACAGTCCCACTTTGTCACTGCCACAATTTATGATTGTAATTCCAAGCTCAATTGCGGTCATAAGTCAAGGACCACATGCACATTCTTGTTTGGGGGAACCATTTCTTGCTGTCAGATAAGGAATTGATCTAATTCTTGATGATGGAACTTGACGATTTGCTTGACTACACAACTGGGGCCAAGCAAGGGGTGGCATGGTCTCTTTCTACCCACCTGAATGGTGATATCATAGTTCCTCTCCACCAGGGTGTTCTCACTGCGTCCACCAAATGCAATGAGGTTGTTGACCTTAATAATGCCAGTATGTCCAGACTCAAACACTGGCTCAAGGCCATAAATGGCACGGGCCCGGCAAGCCTTGCGTATAAATCCTTGTCCAACCTCTAGGTCCTCCACCATGATGCGACCAAAGAGCTTATCCCCCCAGAAACCAGAGTCAGCTAGACCTTTGGCAAACACCATAGGGGTCATCTCAATCTCCTCTCCAGCTGAAAAGAATAGAAAAAGTGCCTTAATTTTAAGAGTGGAATTCCTAGCGGTGGAGAACGAGAAGAGGAGAAGCAACCAGATGGTCATCTGGGGCCGTGTCTACTGCTGCAGCAATAGTTGAAGTAGGAAATCATGTATGGGTTGATTCCACCAAGATTTGCTGGTCTGACTCCATAAACAACATTGTCTGCAAACACAGCAGGTGGATTCACATATCACAGAGAGCTAGAAAAAATAGCAATCTTGGCCCATGTATGGACCAAACTAGTGAAATTAGGAGAAAGGCAAAGAATTTTTGTTCCAAACTTCCATGAGTGAAATATCTTTCTTTCTTGGATTTTTGGCCCCAGTATGAAATAAGGTCATCTCAACCATCTCTCTTCCCTTCAGCTGGAATGTCATCCAAGGTGAGGAGCTTGGGAGGGTTCATAATGGGGGTCATGTTACTTTCAAGGACATTGACTCACCCTACCTTTTTCTGGTGTACTTTACCTTCTATTTCTTCTTTGGTGATAAATCCAGAGAGCACTGGAAAAAAGAGCAAGATGGATAAAGAGATGTACAGTATTATGCCAAGATGCTTCCTTTACTTAGAAGGAAATTGGAAAAGGATAAAGAGATTTCTATAGAGTTGGATCCAAACTGTACTCCTGGACTTGCTCTTTTGGAAGATACAAGCCCACCTGTATGGAAATGACCAGGCTGAGCTCGAAGGAGGGGTAAAACGCGTCATAAGTCTCGAGTCCCTTTGTGCCCACCTGAGATCTAAGTCCAGCCACCTTGACTTCTGCTAACTCTTATCTACTGTTTGACTGTTAGTGGTTCAGATTTTTGAAGAGAGCTTAAGCTTACAATAAACCTTTATATTTATTTGCCTGGATTCCCTGATTTCTTGCGATTCTTTGACCCATTTCTCTAGAAAGTTTCTTCTCCACCCCTCTGTATACCTGTTACGTCAGGCTCCAGAAACTAAAAGAGATATGTTGTGATATATCCAAGCAAATTTCTTATTGTTCCCCACTCATAGACAAAATCTTGCCAAACTAAAACAAACTACCACTCCCATAAAGCATATACTTTGGGAAATATTAAGGAGGGGCCATCTTCACCCTCTTTCTCTCACACAAACTCTTGCTCCTCTGGAATGCAAGCCCTTCCCTCATGGGAATCTGGAGGACATTCCATCACAAACAAGCTAAAACAGGAGCTGATTTTCTACAGATTGTGACTCCTGGCTACCCCTACGTTCAACAACAGTTGTCTCTATTTTTATTGCAGTGCCTTGCCTTGCGCACACCTCCCAGTTGTGCACGCACAACTTCCCTCCGGACATTTTAATTTCATAACTTTTGTGGGTCAACAGTTTTCCCATGAAATACTTGGACATTACTGGGCACAAACAGCATGAGAGGACAATGGATCGGTGTGGTTCTTGCCCGTGGGGCATCCTTCAGAAATCGTGGAGTTTCAGTTTCCCGTATTTTCAATAATGTCCATATTGGTTGGGGGATTGTTGAAGTTGAAGTCCACAAAACTGGACTCATTAAGGTCATTATCATGCCTACTAAGACTAGGTCAGATATAGATGGAAGTCTAGCATTCTGTCCATGAAAAGTATTCTCTCTTCTACTGCCCAGACCTAGCAGAGGAAGTCTATCTACTGAGCGATTAAATCTTACCTTCAGGGCTCAGCAGAAAGTCAGTACTATCAGTCCCATATTCATTCTGGATAGTACACTGATACACTCCACAATCCTTCAAGGACATCTGCACAATGGCCAGAGCCGCCTGTCCTTCATCTCCAGAGCTAGAAGAGATGAAATCTAGAGCACACACTGCAGGAATGACTTAACCGGATGCTTCCAAATTATCGTCATAAAAAAATAAAGAAATTAAGCTGGGCCTAATCCAATTTATGGGGGCCATGGCGAGAGACCACTTGATGGAACACACCCCTCATCAGGCTGAGTAAGCAAGGGATGAGAATTGGTAGAAGCACCTTAACAGAGAGAGTAACTGTGACATTGGTGGGAGCTCCTAGCTGCAATTGTTATTTCCTCTTCTCCACCATTTTGGTTGAATTCAGTAAGCTAACAGTCCTCCCCAATTGGCTACCTGCCAGAGGTGTGGGACTTAACTCCCAGAATTCTTAACAAGCATGATCTGATGATGGCTGGGAATTATGGGGGATGAAATCCAGTCTTTCTAGAATGTAGCTGGTTGGAGAAAGATTGAAGATAAGAGTTTGGGGCAAGATAGGAACCATGCTCCAACACTGGAGATTTTTAAGAAGAGACTGGACAGCCATTTGTCTGAAATGGTATAGGGTTTCCTGCCTGAGCAGGAGGTTGGACTAGATGACCTCCAAGGTCCCTTCCGAGTCTCTTATTTTCCTTCCTTCCTTCCTTCCTTCCTTCCTTCCTTCCTTCCTTCCTTCCTTCCTTCCTTCCTTCCTTCCTTCTTCCCTCCCTCCCTCCCTCCCTCCCTTCTCCAATACTGGAAATTTTTAAGAAGAGACTGGACAGCCATTTGTCTGAAATGGTATAGGGTTTCCTGCTTGAGCAGGGGATTAGACTAGATGACCTCCAAGATCCCTTCCACCACCACCACCACCATCATCATCATCGTTGTTGTTGTTATTATTATTATAAATAAGAAAGGACAAAAATTATGCGAGAGACACTGCCCATACCATCACATTTCTACTGCTGCCCACCGGAAACTTTCCCACAAGACTAACCTTCTTTTGACATCTGCTATGGGCACCTCATCCCTGTACCAGATGAGCTTGGAGTCACTCAAGATATTGAAGAACTGACACCATAGCTTCAAGTTCCCCGAGGCATCAGAGAACTGTTCTGCTCGGATCTTGCGGACTACTTGTGGAGCTAAGAAAAGAGGACAAATTTAGAGGAGTCAATTCTCAATCCCCACAGGTGACGTTGGGATGAAACAAGGTGCACGTTTTCAACTCGCTTGGCTTTGAAAAGAACATTTTGGATTCTAGAAGGCAGGAAGTGTACAGCAGAGAGGTTTCTGTGGGTTTGTTCAAGCCACAGTTGTGAAGGTCCCAGGAGTTCTTCCAGCCCTGGAAGGAAGAAATTACCCTACATCCCCCGAAGACAAGATATTCTCAAAACCTCCATCATCGGGGTGTCCTGACTCATCTAGGAAGAGGCATGCACACCTACCTTTAAATGGATCGTTGGTTTTTCTAGATTCTCCCACTTCGGTCTTGCTTTCTTCTGCACTCTCTGGAACCAACGGGGAGCTGTCATCCTCCTTTTTGCTTTCTTCTACCGTCTCCTGATACATCTTGGGTACTTCCAGAGTCGCCATCTTCCTGGCAAAGGTTGGAGAGCGCTTCTCCATAGGAGGAGAACCCGGGGCCGGGGTCTGCAAGAGAGCCTGGCTCCTACGGCTCTGCTGTGGAGACACACTGGGACTGTCTCTTTTGGACAACAGCTGGCCCTCAAGGGCCCCTCCTTCCATCTCATCCGCCAGCTTGGTTTTGGGTAGAAAGATCTTCCGACGGGCTCCAGATGCCAGTTCCTCAGGAGTGGCACTGGGCAGAGCTGCTGAGTGCTCACTAACAATCTCAGAAGAGGGGAGATGGGAGAGATCTGCTGGCTCACCTGCAATGCCCCCTACCACAATTGAGGGGACACAAGGCAAAGGAGGTATCTCTGGTTCAATGTTGAGGTTCTTCTGACAAGCAAGCAGTTCTTGGTTGATCATGCCTGTAAGTTTCCGAGAAGTTTTGGGAGTCAACTGCAGGTTCTCAGCACTTTGGAAAAGTTGGTCGGTCTCCACCTGTTCAAAGATCTTCCTTGAGGTTCTGGGAGTTAACCCTGCAATGCCCACGTCTGGCAGATGTTTTGGAATAGCACTTAGCGGAGTCTTCTCCTCCACCATCTTGGCTTCTTGCTTTGGGCTTCTTGCTTTGCTTTTCTCTGACTCAGATGTGATCTTCAAGAGCAAAAGCAAATAATTTTTCAAAGAAGAAACAAGGTCGTTGTTCTGCTGGTCTTTCGCCAGGGTTCGATTTTCCTCCAGCACAGCCTCAGGAAGACGAGAGTTCTCTCTCAAAAGAATGTCAGAGCCTACTTTTTCCTTATCCTTCTCTCTAACCTCTGTCTTCTTGGTGTACGTTTGAGACTCTTGCTTATTTTTTTTACTCCTTGGAGAAACCAGGAACTCTTTCTGCACACAGACCTCCTTGATGTCAGTCCTGGTGTCTTGCTGGTTTGTTTCTGAAGTCGCCATCTTGCCAGGTTGCCGAGTTTCCGCTTCTCTCTTGATATCTTTCAGCAAGTGGGCTACAGATTGGTTCCTCTCAACAAGGTCTTCTTTAACTGGAGAAAGCAGAGCTGGTTCTTGGGAATCAGGAAGCTCAGGCGGGGTCATCACTGTTGAAGCTGGAGGAGGACCCTCCAAAGCAACTTGAGAAAGAGCTGGAGGTGTCGTGGCAACTTCTGAGATCAGTAGTGACCTTTCTATTGCTTCAGATGATCTCTTCCTCTCAGGAACCAAATGCATTTGGGGGGCGGGTATATTGTCTCTCAACAACTTAGGGGCTTCTTCTTGTTCTTCTTCTCTCATGCCTTCAGTACAAGGAGCAACTTGGTCCAACTCGTCCATGGGTCTACCCTTAAAATGGGTTCCTTGGGCTGTTATTGTAGGAGTAATTGGCTGTTTACTCTCAGGAGTAAGAGGTAGTCCGCACTGGATTTCATCCTGGCCCCATTCTGGAGAATACGTCTCCACATCTTCCTTCTGAACCCGACTGTCCATCCCATTTGGCAATGGGACACCAGAAGAAATCTCTGGGATATTGTGGGAAGTCACCGGACGGTTCTGGAAAATTGCTGGCTGGTGATCTTCCAGATGTAGCATTCCCATACTTGAGTCCTGGATCTCTGGGCTGGAACCAGATTTCTTCTCTGACCATTTTATTCCTAAATCTTCCGGGACATCTTTCCTTACTGAAAAACAAGTGGTTTCCTCTTTCCCTTCTTCCCCAAACCTGGAATTTGGAGACTGCAAATCGGAGGCAACAGACAAGCTCGGCTGGGAGTTTTCTGAAGCCTGCAAAGAATAGATGGTCATTATTTCAAAACAAGGAAGGATGGCAAGACAACCTTCCTCTCGCTATTCTGCATTTGAAAAAAAATTCACGTGCAGCCTTTCCCACCTTCCTCTCCAAACCACTCCTCTTTTTTGACACCCCTCTCTGGATTGAGAATCGTGGCAGACTTCTTTTAGTTTTGCTTGTATCATTATCACCACGTGTCTTTTCCTTCTCTGCAACTGTTCTTTGAAGCACTATGCATTTTTTTATTTAATTCTTAGACGTCAGTTGCGTTTGGGAGAAAGGCAACCTCAGAAATAATTTGGATTTTGGTGCATTCAGTTATTAGGAGCAGAGGAAACTACATTCTACATCAAAAACAGAAAAGTATGTTTTCCTTCCCCAAGTTCAGTGGGGAACGGTCTGCTTTCCCCAAAGCCCTTTAATAACTTTTTTCTCTTTAACATTTGGTTCCAAGAACCCAAATTAACCTTGCTGACAACTCTTAAGCTGATGGACAGATCAAGAACAAGCAAGCCATGTCATCTGAGCCCCCACTGAGCACATCGCTTAGAAGCACACATGAAGACTTGGCTTACACGCAGCTCACTCACATACAGGGCACTGAATTCATTCTTTTTCTGGTTTGCACAATATATTTAACAGTAAATTGACCAACTATGCCCACGAAGAACTAATCCAGGTTAAAACTAAGCCCGGTTGTATGAATAAAGGCATGAACAAGGCCACCCAGCTGTTAATTGGGGTTATGCAAATCTCATTTAAAAGTACGGGACCATTGCAATCTAAGTAACTTGACAATTGCCCTTTAGATGCTGGGAACTACTGTGCTAGGTTAGAACACCCTTACAAATCAACAATATTATGCGACAACTGACTCGGTTGGAAGCTTGTCAAATTGTGCAGCATTTCACCTCCTCTGCAATTTCTCTATTAATACAAAATTTCTCTCTTCCACTGAAAGACATCCAATAACATTTGGGCATCTTTGGTTGAAGTATATTTCTGTACACCAATGTTGCTTGCTCAATTCTTTGTGCATCTACTCAGGAATGAGCATTACAAAGTCTAATGTGAGTAGGACTAACCTTTTTAATAGCAGATCTTTGTTTTATGTTTTAAGACTAGGGCTAAATTGGATTAGAAAAGGAACAATTACTTTGATAAAAGACTGGAAACCCTTTATGGACTTTTTGCTGGAAACGGACAAAAACGTTCAAAGCCTGGAATTAGCTTCCCCACCAAGCCTTCCAGGGTTATGCCTGTTTCCATTCTTAGCTCCAGATCTTCATCAAAGGCTGATGCTCTCCTGCATCTCCTAAAATGGTGACAGGCCAGACAAATTCCAAAGAGACTGCGGTTCAATCACCAGAACACACCCAGGTGCCGAAAGCTGCTTTAAGAGGACGATAAGAAGAAGGAAGTCAACGGAATAATCCCTCAATAGGGACAAAAGCTCTGTTGAGTCTGCTCACATACCAATATACCAAAACCAATTGTTCCTGGGTAAGAGGAGGGCCACGTGCTTATTAGATTAATTATCAATTTTAATTAGAGGTTTTTCTATTCAATAAAAGGGTTAACAAATTAAAGGAAAATAAAAAAGAGAAAGATAATAAGAAAGGAAGAGAAGGGGAAGGGGAAGGAAAGGAAAGGAAAGGAAAGGAAGAGGAAGAGGAAAAGGAAGAAGAAGGGGAGGGAAGGGAAGGGAAGGGGAGGGAAGGGGAGGGGAGGAGAAGAGAGGAGAGAAGAGGAGAGGAAAGGAAGAGGGGAAGGGGAGGGGAGGAAAGGAAAGGAAAGGAAAGGAAAGAAGGAAAGGAAAGGAAAGGAAAGGAAGAGTGGGAGGGGAAGGGAAGGGAAAGGAAGGGGAGGAGAGGAGAGGAGAGGAGAGGAAAGGAAAGGAAAAGTGGGAGGGGAAGGGAAGGGGAGGGGAGGGGAGAGGAAGGGAGGGGAGGAGAGGAAAGGAAAGGAAAGGAAAGGAAAGGAAGAGTGGGAGGGGAAGGGAAGGGAAGGGGAGGGGAAGGGAGGGGAGGAAAGGAAAGGAAAGCTTTGTCATAGTTGGGGATCAGGGGCCACTTTTAGCTTTTGAGTGACATGGTAAGGACTATATAATGAACCATGAGTGGGCATAGCAAACATGATAATTTGACTCCATTTCATTATTATCAGCATTACGATTAATTAATCTTCCCTGTTAATAGTATGGTTACTTAACATGTATTCCCAAATTTCATCCACGTGCAACAGTACAATGCGTCAACCAATGGTAGGGAGGTATGTGCCTAAAGCTTTCAGGGGTTATATGCAGCTCTTGAACCTTAGTTTTGTGTTTCTAAAATCCTTGGAGAGCAAAACAGGCGCATTTGTTTGTTTGTTTGTTTCCATAAGACTCCTAAATAAGGTAGCGGGGGGGAGAGGGGTGTTTGTATATTTCTTTAGCAATAATCAGATTAGCAGTAAGCAAACAGTTTTCTCCAAAGTAAGGCTCTTTCAAATTATTGGGACTGTATACAGAAGAAAAATTAAAAATGTAACAATGGTGATGATACTGTACTAATGGTATTCTGTAAGAGCAGTTTATTCAGCACCAACTAGCCTCGTGGCCCAAATCATTCTACAACATTGAGTCAAAGCAAAGATCCTTCACAATGTTAATTAGAAGCTTCCCCTTGGTTACTACTCACACTCGGATTGCTTCTTCTTTAGTTGGGGAATATGACCTTAGGGAAGCCATCTTGAATTACTCACTTCTCAGTGGAGAACAGTTTTACTTACTTGCCTCTTCTCCTTTTCTTGATTTAAAGAAGTTTGGGCACCCAGTTCTGGAACCAAAAACAAAGGACTTCCCAAAGCCATACACCTGCCCAGCCCTGGAATAGATGGGCCAATTATCTAACTCAGGACAAACAACATCCTCCGTTCACATTCCAGAGGTCTGGCAACCCCCCTGTGGAGATCTGGAATTCCCCAGCAAGGAGATCCTGCATCTTGCAGAAACATGAGACAGCCTCCTGTGTCCAGAAGCATCCCACCTACACACCTCCCATGCTCTGGCAGGTTAAGTGACACAGCGTGAAGCCCTCCTACACACATTCCCGTGCCTTGACCAGCTCTTTGGATGCCTAGACACTCAGGAGCATGACCCCTGCACCGTAAGACCCTGTGTTAGGAAACTCCAGAGTGACTAATGCATGCATACCCACCCACCCTTCTTCCCTACTGCAGAATCGTACAGAAAAACGTGCATCAAAGCGATGGAAATAGATGCCGGGTGAAGCAGGCTGGTGAGTGTCAGAGACAGCTGGGGCCGGGCTGGCAGGCACGGTGAACAGGCTGGTGGAGAAGGAACCCTGGAGTCAAGAGTACATCTTTGAATACTGATTCCATACTGGCCCACATGCAAACCAAAGCTGGGCTTGACCCTCTCTTTATGGCTGTTTCTATCTGGTTGCCACCTACCAAAGTTCTGGTGTTCTGGTGTTTCAAAGCTAGGGATCAGTCCTTGGCCCCCCCAGAAGACCACCCTCACCCTTTCCTGGCCTGCCAGCTCCTGCATGTCCCTGCTATAAATAGCTGGCAGAACTTGGGCAGTTGCTGTAGAGCTGGTTAGGAAACATTTTGCATGAGGTCAGCCTCACCCGAGAAGAAAAATAGAACTTACAGTACCTCAGAAGGCCCTGGGTCAGGCAACGGTTCCTTTTCCAAGGCTACTGGCAGAAAGGCTTGCCTCGCTCCCTGCAAAGGCAGGGGCAAATCCGCAGGTCCAGCCTCTGGTAGCTGCAAGTCCGGCTCGGCTTCAGGAAGAGCAGAATCCAGCAAGTCTGTTTCACGGATGAGAAGGACTTCCGCGTCCCCCTTCTCTGCAAAGAGAGGTGGCCTTCCAACTCGTTTTGGACCAGCTTGGCCTGGCTGCAGAACATCACTTTCCGGGGCCCTGCTGCTTGGACATTCCACCTTATGTCCCATCTGGACCTCTGTAGTGGGCTCCACTGTCCGGCTGGGACGCTGGAATTGCTGGGGGTTCAATTCCCTGCCTGTCCCGGGGGCTGCCGTTCTGCCATGCTTTATCTCCACACCCTTAGACTTCTGCCTGGCTTGGGTTGCCTTTCTTTCTTCTTCTGGCTTGGCCCTTTTCAAAAGTTGAACAGTTGCCGGAAGAGTGTCCTCCGCACCGGAAAGGTCTCTGTTGGGAAGTGCCTTCTCCATAGCTCTTACCTTACTTTCTGGCACCTTCTTCTCACCTTCTTTAGGCTTGGCTTCAGCGTCGTAATACATCTCTTTCAACGAAAAATGCATCTCTGGTTTGGGAGGGCAGGAACGAAGCTGGAACTTGGGCTTTTCTTGGGGTTTGTTTTCCCCTGGCCTTCCGTTGACTGTAGGAGATGCGACTTTCTGGGAGGACACAGCAGGCACAGCATCCTTCTGCAGGGAGATATTTCTTCTTGGTTGCGTGCCATCCTCTAGTTGGGAAACATTCTGGCTTGCATTGGATGGAGCTGTCTTATCTTCCTCTTTCTTTTTCTTCTTTGAGGAAAATTCCTTGGTCACGATTCCCACTGTCTTGCAGATATATTGAAGAAAGCCGTTGTCGTTCCTTTCTCCATTTTCCTCCCCGCTGTCAAGAGAAGAGTCCCCGTTGGTGGTGGCCACTTTGGTTTCCAGATGTCCTGCTATGAAGTCATTGGGGAACAGGGTGGGGGCAGTCAGAGAGGCCTCTCTGTTCTTGGCATTCTCATCTTCACCAAAAGAGGCCTTCCCATCTGGAACCCGCATCTTGGTCACTTCCTCCTGGTCCCAGAGGGAGGTGCCCGAGCGCATCCCCACATCCCCCGTCAACCGTCGCTTCCTCTGGAGCCTGTCTGGGCTCACTCGTCTCAGCTGTTCCAGCTCCACGTTCTCCTTCCCTCGCTTCCTGCTCTGCTCAATCTCATACAGCTTGGCTTCGGCGTTCCTCTTCAGCTTGGCAAACCACCCTTGATGAATTTTGTACTCCGTCATGGTTCCAACCTCCAGAACCCCAGAACAGGACACAATGCCCTTGTTGTTTCTTGCTGAAGCCTGGTAAATAGCTGCATCTTCCTCTTGACACCTGTGAGCAAACAGAAACATCACCCTGAGGGAACTCTGGACAGAGACAGAGTTGAATTTGCTGTGCGTAACGAACAGGACTTCTTTTTCTTGATGCTCTCCAGCAATATTGGGGTTCAGTTCCCAGAACCTCCCAATTAGAATGGCCATAACGGAAGGAGTCTAGAATTTGAAAGGGAACAGCAAAGCTCCACATATCTCTAGAGCGCCAGCTTGTGAAAAGTTGTCACACGGGAAGTTGTGTTATCTCTTGAATTTCAAGTGGGTGGCCTCAGGTGGAACAACAGTAGCTTGTCCAGGGTCCTGAATTACTACACTGGGTTCCACAAAGTAGGTAATCTTAACATATACTGGACTACTACTGTCAACTGAGTACCATAGTAGAACTGAATGAAGTCCAGAACATGGAGGACAACTGCGCGTAGCTCAACCATTCTCATATTTTCTCCAATTACAATGGTAAAAGCTGGATCGTATAAGATCTCATGATAGGTTAGTGTGCTTTCTAAGGGATCACCCACCAAAGTACAGTCACAAGACTTAACATTAATCATTTTCTGAGGAAGACTTTTGTATTAAACAGTCTTCTTCTCCTCCTCAGTCCTAGCTGAAGCCGTCAAATTTCCTGGTTATCTAATCAGATGTTCAAGCCATGTTCTCCATCTTCTCCTGACCTAAACTTTCCTGTCGGCACTATTTGCAATGTGTGAGCAGTGACTGTAAAAATCATTCAACAGAGGTTGGGAACTTCCCCAGCTACACTGGCTCCTATCAGCTACTGTTGGCACACCAAACCCCAACAACTGCTGGCAACTTCCCTCCAAGCTCATTTTGTCTTGGGTAGATGTGATGATGTCCGGTGCAAAGAATCAGGACCATACGTTCAGTTGTAGTTCAGAATATTCATCTCTGAAGCTTAAGTTCAACCTGAATTGGCACCAGGTCAACGGAATTCAAGGCGGGATTGGACTTAGTACATTTGTGGGAACATAATGACTCTAAGCTAATGACTCATTTACCTCCCAGTTATGTCTGGTCGTCTCTTATAGGCACTGGGCAATCTAAATCAATCTAAATCAATGGTTCTCAACCTGTGGGTCGGAACCCCATTTGGGGTCGAATGACCATTTCACGGGGGTCGCCAAAAAACGCAGTCCGCCATTTTCCCCCCTTTTCCTTAGCTGTGCTACTCCCTTTTATTCTATTGCCAATAGAATAGACTCTCTTGAATAGAGTCTAATTCTATTGGCTTCCAAAAGCCAATAGGAATTGCCCAGGCTGTCTCTGCCCTGCTGAGCCCGCCAAAAGTCCCAGTCTGCAAACGGTGCTGCACCAGTTGAGTAGTCTTCGATTTACGACTGGTTGGGGGTCACGGCATTTAAAAGGTTGAGAACCACTGATCTAAATAGATAATTTCCCTGTAAATATCACTTATTTGGAAGGTGTACAGGTAGGAGAAGACCGATGTTGATGGTCTGAAAGAACAATTGAATCTATCAATGTCAACTAGCCAGGAATGCCACGTCAAACTTAGAGAGGCTGTATCAATTTCCTGGGAACTGGGGAGAGAAATCTGATTGTTCTCAAACCTGCTCGTGGGACCTCTTGGAGATATGGACCTTTGGGCCAAATCCAGCAGCGTGGTCACATTGTTTGACTTATCAATCACTCTGTTGCCAGAACTGTCTTCACTGCCACCCGAAGCAAGGTCTCTTCTTTCTCACCCATATTCCTTACAAAAATATCAGTGAAATGTCCTCCCCTGCTTTGTACGCAAAGAGGACAAAGATGATTTTGGCTTTCCAGGGCACCCATCCAACCTGGCCAGGAGACAAGAAATTAGGCTGCTAAATCCCCACGGATTGCAAGGCCGCCTTTCTTAGAATAACTGAAATCGTCTGCTTGTTTGTAGCAGGGCGTTTGACCTTGTGCTTAGGAAACGGTAGACGTCTGGACAGATGGTCTACGCACGATGCCATTCTGAGCTTAACGGAACAATACATGGGCTTTTCCTCTCCTCTCACCTGAGACAGCTGCTGAATAGGTGTCAACCAAGAGATAGGCCAGTGATGGCGAACCTTTTAGAGACTGAGTGCCCAAACCACAACCCAAAACCCACTTATTTATTGCCAAGTGCCAGGACTGCATCAGCGTTGTGGTGCCCTCAGGGGGGGCATGGAGGCTTGGCCCACTGGGTGGGCGTGGTCCACTGGATGGGCATGGTCCACTGGGTGGGCATAGCTGCAGTTGTTACAGCAGACTGGGTGGGCGTGGCTGAGGTGGGCATGGCCACCTCGATGTTGCTCATGGGGGGATGCCTGTGGGAGCCGAGCAGGGTTGGGGGAAATCCAGGAGGTCTCTGATGGGTGGGGTGGTAGGCAGGAAGCCCAGCATAGATGGGGGAAGGCACGCAATCCTAGCTGGGACTGGCAGGGCATGGCATTGATGGGGATCTGGCTTTTCCTGCTCAGGGTGGCCTTTGGCTTGTGGGCATGGGCATGCTCTACCATCTCTACTCAAACTTGCTAGCTGGCTACTTTGCCTCCTTTGTACTGGGTGGGGCTGCCGCTCCGGGTGACGGCAGTGGCCTAATGGATCTGCGCAAGCTGCTGGCAGTAGCAGTGTGTGTGCCCACAGAGAGGGTTCTGAGTGCCACCTCTGGCACACAGGCCATAGGTTCCACCACCACTGAGATAGGCGCTCCCCTCCTTCCTTACTTGTATAACTGCAGAGTGTGTCGGTTCCCGTGTCGTGAAATTTCATATTTCGGCAATCCGCAGTATCGATCCATTTCTTCATTATCTTTGTACCACGTCACTTCTGGAGGTGGGTACCCTGATTGGGACATTACACATGAGCAGAATCAGCATTTGTGCCTGAGAAACAGACCTCATCCCAAAACAAACATGGAAGCAACAGTCTTTTGCCTGCTATACCAGCTTAAACAAGTTGCCCTGTTCTCTGTTGGACACAACAGGAAGGCCAGTTTGGGCTGGGGAAAAACAAAGCATATGGAAAACCGATACTTCCAGTCCAGCTACCAAAAGGGAGGTGCGAATCTAAACATGCTGAGAATATTAGCAAGAAACTGTTGAGTAACTTTCTCCAGTGTGATGCCTCCTATATATAGGCTTCCATACATACTGAGATTGCCTATTCCCAGAATTGCTAGCTAGGAATTCTGGGAGTTGCAGTTTCAACACATTAGATAGACACAAAGATTTAAAAAAAAGAAAGAAAGGAAAGGAAAATGAAGGGATTTTATTGTGCTTATGATTTTAGCATTTATTTTATGTATAGTAACCATTTTATATTGATACTTATAGTGTGATCATGTAATCGTTGTTTTGTTATTTTGTAATCATTATTTTGTAGTTAATTGCTTGATGCTTTATATATATATTGGGAAAGTAAGGGCTTCATGCTTTAGGTATAGGTGATTGCTTATATGAAAAGAGCACAGTAAGGGGAGGAGGAAAGGAGTTACGGATGGAGCCTGGGTTGCTGTGTATGAGTCATCATCTAGGAATTGTTTTTTTGTGCCATCTTATGCCTAGTACCAAGACCTGATCTCTTTGTTCTGAAAAGGTATAAAAGGTGGAAGACATCTTTTCTGGTTGTTGCCTTTATCTCTCTACCAGCCACGAAGAGAGATGGGGTCACCCAACTCTGTTTTGATCAAAATAAAAGTGGTTTGCTTGCTGAAACCTCGGCTCGGGAGTTTCTTTGGCTCTTTTAAATTCCTGAGTAACGCTGGGGCAATTGTGAGGTTAAATGGAAAACCTTACAAAAAGAGTCCCTGTGGATTTTACTTTGCTAGTCGTCACTGGTTATAGGGAGCAGTGTTCATCTGTGTTTCAAGCCATTGAACCACTGCTGTCCAAAGACATTTCTGCAGCCATGTGGCCAGCATGACATAAGGGAGCACTGTCACCTTTCCACCGAAGTGGTACCTATTTATCTACTTGCATTTGTATGCTTTCGAACTGTTAGTTTGGCAGGAGCTGGGATGAGGACAGGTGCTCACCCCGTTGTGGGGTGCTCAGGTCTTGAACTTTGGCTGCCAGCTTTGCAACCAACAAACCTAATTCTTAACCACTGAGCCAGTGGTGGGATTCAGCCGGTTCGCACCACTTCGGCAGAACCGGTAACTAATTTTTGGTTGCCCAGGCCCAGATTGGATTTCCGGAAGCGGCATCCACACAGAGAACCAGTTGTTCACGTATTGGAGTCCCAACACTGCACTGAGCTGTCATGCTGTCCTTTATACATAAGATAGGCTGCTCTGAAACCATATGGAGAAATCCCCTGGGTGGATGCCAAACATCCATATCTTTGTTGAATTCACTGCTTTCAATTTAAACCAGAAGAGGACAGAGGCAAACTCAAGAATAGAGAGAAATATATTCCATCTGGAAGTACCTGGACTTAGCCTTAGAGAAGAATACTGACTTGTACTCTAGTGTCCAGAGTACAACTTAATCACTTGAGTGATTAAGTGAAATGTAGAAATGGTGAGCATGATCGAGAGAACAAAAGGAAGGAAGGAAGGAAGGAAGGAAGGAAGGAAGGAAGGAAGGAAGGAAGGAAGGAAGGAAGGAAGGAAGGAAGGAAGGAAGGAAGGAAGGAAGGAAATCTCCCAAACCAGGATTTCACTAAAATGACCTTCTTGATATTTTTATTTACTTCCAATACTTCTACATCTCTTTTCGTTAAAACTAAAGATCAAAGTGGTTTATGCAAACCTTATTTCAATAAAATAGAAAATTAACTTTTAGAAAGAGCAAAAATCACAAAATTGCAATTAATTAATTAATCAGTATCGACAGTTAGGGCAACTGTTAATAAAGTGGATAAGGAGTTGAAGGGAAAGTTTGAACACTTACGTTTTGAATTTTGGGCAAAATGACTGCCAACGTAGGGAATCTGTGTAATGCACTTGGGATTAGTTTATTCTTGGTGCATGTTCAGTCAACCCCACAATTAAGCCTTTTATGTGAACACAGCCACAAAAAGGCACTGCTTGATGCTACAATAACCTATGAAAGGTAGTCTCCTGAACTCAAATCAGGAAGACAAGTTGCTAATTTTGCATCCGTTGGGGAAAAAAACCCACTTTTTTCCAAACAGAACTTGTAGCGCAGCGGAATCAGGTGATCTCTCCTTGTTACCCTCAACATAGACAGGAGATGAGAACATCCCCACCATTCTAGGAAGTGAGACCGCTTTGGTGGATTTAAGCCTGAGGTTTAAAAACAGACGCTTGGTGGAGGGCCAGTCTCTTCATGGAGAGCCACACGTCACAGCCTGTAAACTGAACCCAAAGTTTCCATTGGGCCAAAGCAACAAGGGTTGCATCACAGCCCTCTTGTGTCCTCTGGGCGCCTTTGGTCAACAGATGCCTTTTCAGGACAATGATTTCATACAATCTGCATGACTACTTGCTTCTGAGCCAAAAGGGATCCTGTGCTTTAGGCGTAGAGGGCCAAGCTCAAGGGAGGGATGTTCTATCTCAAGAACTGTCCTCTCCAAGCAAATTAAAAGGTTCCACCTCCACCTTCAGAGATGTCAACCTCTGAAAAGCATGAGCCTACAACCAGGACTTTTGCAAGGAGAGAGGTGTGGCACAAAGCAGGGGGTGGGGCCAAATCATGAGATACCACTGACCTCATGTACATAGACACATCATTAAAATTAAATGCAATTAATGCACTTACTTTCCCATCACGGAATCATTTTATGCTCCTATCTTATGAAAAAAAATCTCAATTTGGTGAACACTTTTGGAGGTCTCTGAGGGCCATATAAGAGCTCTTTAAAGGCTGGGAGGGAGAGGGGGCTGGCCCCGAGAGGCATGGAGATGTTTGTGAGAATTCTCAGTCCTCCTGAGCCAAAAAAAAAAAAGAGACCATCTTAATATTCCCTATAAAATGTCCAGTCTGCTCCTATGGGACCTTCTTAGATGATGGTAGTGATCCAGCAAAAAGGATGGAGAGAAAGGAGACATCGAGGGGAGTGAAGTGGTGATTGGGAAACAATATTTGGGGCTTGAAGACCTCTTGGAGCTGAAGGTGAAGGTGGAGATAGAATGGAGGTAGAGGTGGAGATGGAGGTGAAGCTGAAGGTGGAGATAGAATGGAGGTGGAGGTAGAGATGGAGGTGGAGATGGAGATGGAGGTGGAGGTGGAGATGGAGATGGAGGTGGAGATAGAAATGGAGGTGGAGGTGGAGATGGAGATGAAGGTGGAGATAGAAATGGAGGTGGAGATGGAGATGGAGGTGAAGATGGAGATAGAAATGGAGGTGGAGGTGGAGATGGAGATGGAGATGGAGGTGAAGGTGGAGATAGAAATGGAGATAGAGGTGGGGGTGGAGATGGAGATGGAGGTGAAGGTGAAGGTGGAGGTGGAGATGGAGATGAAGGTGGAGATAGAAATGGAGGTGGAGGTGGAGATGGAGATGGGGATGGAGGTGAAGGTGGAGATAGAAATGGAGATGGAGGTGGAGATGAAGATGGAAGTAGAGCTGGAGCTGGAGCTGGAAGTGAAGGTGAAGGTGGAGATAGAAATGGAGGTGAAGATGGAGATGGAGCTGAAGGTAGAGATAGAAATGGATATGAAGATGGAGGTGGAGATGGAGATGGAAGTGGAAGTGGAGGTGGAGAGTGTCCTATCAATAATTCTTCACTCAGGGCAGATCAAACCTAGAATGTCTTAAATGCAAGACACCAAGCTCCCCCCTGACTTTTGCCCTCATCCCCTAAGGCAAAGAATGGGGGCAGAATTAAATTGACCGGCTCTTCCAGACGCAGGAGCTTGAGTCCTTGTGACACAACACTTTCTGCACCAACCATCTCAGCCCTTAGAAATCAGTGGCTGGCCCACTATGGTAAGGAGGCTACAGAACATGGTCCTGAAACTGGAGGGAAGGGAAGTGCCAGCTGGTTTGTCGTCCATGCCCCTTCAGCAATTCTGCTGGCCAAAGATCAGGGGAGTGACGTGGTCCAAGAGAATGAAATAGGATCTGACTTGCTCTCACTCTGCTCCAGATTCGTTATCGAGAGAAACGATCCAAGAACTTGGTTAGTCTCTTTCCCATCAGGAGCTCCAGTTACATCCCTTAAGCCCATTACCATTAGCACAGGTGCCGTTAAGAGTAGGGGGCATTAGCAAGCAGCTTATGTACGGTTGAAATCCATCCCAGATCTACGGAGATCTCCTCAAACAATACACAGCTTTCCGTCAACCAGTGTTTCTCAACCTTGGTCAGTTCTGGCTGGGGAATTCTGGGAATTGAAGTCTACACTCTTCAAGTAGCCAAGGTTGAGAAACACTGGTCTAAGGAGAGAAGTCAATCTTCCCTTCCAAGTGACCATGTGACCTTTCAGGACTGCCCTGACTTTGTTTCTGAGATCACTCCCACCAGATCAAAAAGGAGGTAGAGGGGGGAGATTTAGGAACACCCACATCCATCCAACCATTTAGTTTGACCTTGTATGGTGCTTTTTACTCATTTTAAGCTTTTTATTGCTGTGAACCGCCAGGAGCCTTTGACTTCTGTCCAATGTAGAATGTCGAGTAAATAAATTGCATTTTTTTGTGCAATTTGCTGGGTTTGCACAATGCAGTTATACTGGTTACTTTATTAATTCATTTGTGTTTGCTTACTACCTTGAGTGATAAATTTAACAGGTGCCCTTGACTTTATGCAACCAGCTAAGCCATATCCACAAAACAGTCAAGCTTAAATTGAATTAAATTTAACATGTTGTGTGAATGCATCTCCTAGGTCCTTCTGTGACCCAGTTAACTCTACCATCAGAACCGGCTTTTGAGTGAGCAAAGGGTCAAACTATCGTAATTCTAACCACCATAAATATATCACTGCCCTTGCCCATCTTCTGTCATTGTTTCACTGAAAGACATCAGTAGTTACTAAATGGTAGTAAGAATTTCCTGCCTGAGCAAGGGGGTTGGTCTAGAAGACCTCCAAGGTCCTTTCCAACTCTGTTATTCTGAATTTTTAAAGGGAGAACTCCCCCCCCCATCCAAATGGAAGGAAATCCTTTTTTATGAACAGGGTACCGAGACTATAAATTGTTGGAAGAAGAGGGAGAGGTCAAACATGAATCCAGAAGGTGTTATTTTTACATGACGATGGGCAGAGCGGAGAGCTTAAAATATCAGCCACTGATCAAAGCAACAAGGGTGAAGACAGTCCTCAGAAGAATTCTGGGACCGGTAAAAGGGCAAGGAGAGAGCGGTGCTGAGGACATGAAGTAAGCAAGTTGCAGCTGACCAGAGACATTTCATGGTAAAATTGAATCAAAACATTGAATCAGCCATCGTATCATCGGAGAGCTTCTGAAAGCCACAAAAATCTGGGCTCAGAGGCAGCATGTTGGAAAAGGTAAGTAGATATAATTTATTTATTTATGAGACTTATATACCGCTTTAAGTGCAAGCACTCTCTAAACCAGTGGTTCTCAACCTTTTTAATGCCGCGACCCCCAACCGGTCGTAAGTCGAGGACTACTCAACCGGTCGTAAGTCGAGGACTACTCAACTGGTGCAGCACCGTTTGCAGAATGGGACTTTTGGCGGGCTCAGCAGGGCAGAGACAGCCTGGACAATTCCTATTGGCTTTTGAAAGCCAATAGAATAAAAGGGAGTAGCACAGCTAAGGAAAAGGGGGAAAAAATGGCGGACTGCGTTGTTTGGCGACCCCCGTGAAATGGTCGTTTGACCCCAAATGGGACCCCGACCCACAATATATATATATATATTATTATATATATTACATATATTATATATATATTAATATATTAATTATTATATTAATTAATATATTAATTATTATATATATTATTATATATATTGCATTGCCCCCAACCATCTGGGTCCTCATTTTACCTACCCCGGAAGGATGGAAGGCTGAGTCAACCTTGAGCTGGTGAGATTTGAACCGCTGACCTGCTGAACACAGTCAGCTAAAGTGGCCTGCAGGACTGCACTCTAACTGCTGCGCCACCTCGGCTCATAATTCAAGTATCAGCCCTGTGGTAGCCCAAATGAAGAATTCAACACTTGCTCTTGATAACATCCCTGCAAACGCTGACTTTGTGTGAACTCACCTATCACAATGCATGTGAATTTGGCATCGGCGTCCTTCGATACGGCATATGATTTAAGCGTTGTTTCAAAGACCGGCTGGGTCTCCTCAGTCAGCTGAGCAATGATCGCACAGAAGACGCTCCTAAAAGAATCAAAGGATCCCAATTAGAACTTGAGCCAGCCGGTTAAGAAAAACATGAAGGGTCATCTTCTCTCCAGATGCTTTCCTTGACCATACACAAATTTCTAGCTGCTGGAAAATGCCTTTCCCTCTTGCTTAGAAACCTTCTGGAGAACTTAAGAGGCAAAGCCATGAAGCAATTCCGAGATCATTCCAGATGTGGACAGCTGAACAACTCCATAATATTGCAACACCTAAACTCATCCTGGTCATTACAGCGGACTGATGTTGCCAATGGGCCCAGCAGCTGTAACATGGTACACACTGGAAAGAGGCAACTTAGGGCCAGCATCACTTAAAGTCTCTTGTCTTTAAAATTGATGCAGTTAGTTTGGTCAGAGAATCAAACAGAAAGAAAGAAAGAAAGAAAGAAAGAAAGAAAGAAAGAAAGAAAGAAAGAAAGAAAGAAAGAAAGAAAGAACACATGGCTGGCTTTGTACCAAAATATTAGACAAAACGAAACTTCCCATGTGGAAGGTCCTACAAAATGGACAGGGAGAAATGTTCACACAGAGGACGAGGACCTTAAAACTCCATTGGAATATTTACTTGAAACGATGCATGGAATCCTATTTTATGCAGGTTTACTTGGGGGGAAAGTCTAATTGGTTTTAATGGGGCAAAGCTGATGAAACGTTGTGGACTTGGATATGTCTAGTGACATGGCTGGCTCAGGGATTCTGGGAACTGAAGTCCACGAGTCATAAAGGAGCCCAGGTTGCCTAGCCCTGGTCTAGTCTAATGAAGAGAAGGATTAGGGGGAACAGAATAACTGTCTTCCAGGACACGAGAGGCTGTAACACAGAGATGAGGGATTGACTTATTCTCCAAAGCACCAGAGGGCAGGACAAGGAGCAATGGATGGAAGCTTGTTACAGAGAGATAAAACCTAGAACTAAGGAGAAATCTCCTGACAGTGAGAACAATTAATCAGTGGAATGGCTTACCCCCAGAAGTTGTAGGTGCTCCATCACTGGAAGTTTTTAAGAAGAGACTGGACAGCCATTTGTCTGAAATGGTATAGTGTCTCCTGCTTGAGCAGGGGGTTGGACTACCTTCAAGGTCCCTTCCAAACCTGTTATTCTGTATTCTGTAAATAAATAACTCTATAGACCTTGGCCCAACAGGGAGGAGGTTTTCCTCTCCCAGACTAGAAGTCAACCTAAAACACCAATCAATATCTGTTTTGAAAAGAGCCTGCTCCAAAGCAAGATCTCAAACACCTGGTGTTGATGGCGGATATAGGTGGAGATCCAAGCTGCCTATCTGGTCATGTTTTATCCACATGTACAAGTGGGCAATGCCACTCACATAAGGCACACTGGATTTCACTGCAATTGACAAGACTGAATAATAGCACATCTTGGGGGTTGCTGTGCTGTAAAGCAGTGGAGATATAATTATCCCCAAATTAGCTCAGCCTCATCCTGAAATGAAAACTCCGGAGCGAGGCAAAATCTGGAGGTGGAGAATGTCACAGGCACTACCCAGTGTGCTTAAGAGTCCTCAGCTCTGACTTAGTGTGAAAGTCTTGACATCAAAATGAAGCAACGGTACTCAAAGCATCCTTCCCGGTTTCCTTTTCGTGTCAAACTCAAGAGTGCCTTAATAAATAGGATGCTGGCAATGCTTTCTTCTGTATCCCTGTAGCTCAGTGGTTCTCAACTTGTGGGTCGGGACCCCATTTGCAGTCGAACGACCATTTCACGGGGGTCGCCAAACAACGCAGTCCGCCATTTTTCCCCCCCTTTTCCTTAGCTGTGCTCCTCCCTTTTATTCTATTGGCTTTTGAAAGCCAATAGAAGAGACTCTCTTGAATAGAGTCTAATTCTACTGGCTTTCCAAAGCCAACAGGAATTGTCCAGGCTGCCTCTGCCCTGCTGAGCCCGCCAAAAGTCCCATTCTGCAAACGGTGCTGCACCAGTTGAGTAGTCCTCGACTTACGACTGATTGAGTAGTCCTCGACATACGACCGGTTGGGGGTCGTGGCATTAAAAAGGTTGGGAACCACTGCTGTAGCTGAAATGGCCTTGCTTAGAAGGTACCGTCCAATTGATATATGCAATATAGAAGGTGGCAAAATCATAGAAAGGACACTCAAGCTGTTATCTTAAAAAAAAAAAAAATACCAAAACTCTTTTGGGCCACAAGAGCTGGGTTTTGTCATCAAAACCTTTTTAAAACTGCGCTTGGCAAACTGCATGGGCCCCAGTAATTGGAAGCTAGGAGACAGGAATCTTAAATATTTCTCTAGTCCCAACCATAAACTAGAGAACTAAACATGTGTTTCCAGGAGGAAAGAGACACACTGAAATCCTCAGGAATCCAAATTCTTCATCCTGTGTCAGGTTTCCACACAATGCAATACGCACAAAGTGGAAGATATGAATAACACAGCCTTGGAAAAAGGAGGTGCGATGCAACATTTATGGCGCTTCCCATGTTACGCTGCCGTTGTCCTCTCTTTTCCCCTGGTTTTAATCCGTATTTTTCCTCCACAGTTGTAACGTGTTCTCTGGGAATTGCAGCCCAAGGTTTTGTTTTTGCATAACACAGAGTTCATTGTCCAGTTGCTTTCATGCGCTTGTGTGCACACCCACTCAGTTTGTGGGGAGGGGGGATAAAGGGAGGAGGGGGTGAAGGGCAGATTGCGGAATCCCAGGCTTTGCTTGTGCTAATGTAAAGAGGATCGTGCACGGGAAGAACGGTGCAAATTCATCTCAGATGGAAAAGCTGGATGATAAGCAACAACGTCGGACTACGTCTACATTCACAGTGCAAAAACCTCTATGGTTTTGTGCAAGTCCACACACTACACACACAGTGAGATGACGTGCGCAAACAGTGACAAATCAAGTTGTGAGATGGATGGTAGGCTATCAAAGATCACTTGGGGTAACAGATTGCAGCAAAACCTCCCTGGCTAAAGAGAATGAAAATATATTTTGAATTTTCGTGATAACACACTTTCAGGGCTACATCGCCTATCTTTAGTCCCTTTAGACAAAACTCCATCACCCACCTGGAGCACACATGCCTTGCCTGCCACAGATCCTGGGCTCAAATCTTGGCATCTCCACTTTGAAGGATGGGGCAACAGATCACAGAAAAAAACCCTGCCCAGGACCTTTAAGAGCTGATGCCCAGTTTGGATGAACAACAGACCATCAGCCAGATCTCATTTAGGGAAGTTTTCAAGGTTTATGTCCGCCCCTCTATAAATTCAACACTGTTCCATAGTCCAGGGCTTTTCAACCTTTTCACCCGTTGTGCCACTTTTAGGATATGGGAACATCTGAATGCCACCAGTCGCCTAGGAAGGTGTCAAAAACTTGATGACCAAGAAAAAAAAAAAAAAGGAAAAAAGTGAGGAAATACAGGTAGTCCTCAACTTACAACAGTTTGCTTAGTGACTGTTCGAAGTTACAATGGCACTGAAAAAAGTGCCCCCCAAGCCACAGCCGAGCAAGGCACCTGCCTGCCCACCCAGCTGCGCTCTTCCTCCTATCCGAGGTTTTCATTGTTGTGAGCATTTCTGTTGAGGATTGGCAGCAGGGGTGGGGTGTGGGGGTGTTTGGTTTTATTCCCCCCGTCTGCTGGGTGGTTGCAGCAGGTTTTGGTCACTTCACATGACCCTGGGACACTGATTCTGTCATAAATATGAATCGGTTGCCAAGCATCTGAGTGTAAATCACAAGACCCTGGAGATGCTGCAACATTCCAGCTGATCGGTGCTTCTTCTGGGCTCAGCAGAAGCACCAGGATCAGGCTGAGCTTCTTCTGGGCTCAGCAGAAGCACCAGGATCAGGCTGAGCTCCAGCTGGAGCCTGGTGCTGATCCTGGCGCTTCCACTGAGCCCTGACAGCCCAGTAGCTCCAGCCATCTCTCACTCAGGCTTGTGCGATGCTGCCACCGGTTCAGCTCATTCCCTTCCCCCACTACCACTTTTCTAGGATGGTCGCGTACCACCTGCCAGGTGCCAATTTACCACAGGTGGTACCCCTACCACTGGTTGAAAAGCCTTGCCATAGTACCCTAGTTCCACCTTGACTGTCTCCATGAAGTCAGCCCCTCAGATTTTGCAATGTCCTGTTTATCTCATAACAAGGAGTGAGATGAGGGAGAATAAGTTGGCAAGGAAGTCCAGCAACTGCTAGCTTCTGCCCCCTTGCCAATAATCCCGTCCTAGGTGGTTGTAAAGGACAAGCGTGGATCTGGGTGATAAATCCATGACGTCTCCCTTTACCATTTCCTCCTTCCTTAGCACTGTTGAAGGTGGAAAGCCAGCTAAAGGAGAAAGATTGTTGACTGGAAGGTCCTGCAAAAGAGAAATGCTTCTTTGCTCCATGAAATTAAGCTCTTTGGCTATGTAGTCTAATTGTTGAGAGATATGGGTTGTTTCCTTGCAGATGTTTCGTTACCCAACTAGGTAACAGCATCCTTGCTGGAAAGGGGTGAGCTTTGCTCTCTGTCTACATATAAGTAGTTTGCCCTGTCAGTGTTGGTGGGAGAGTTCTTGATCGTTCCTTGATTGGACGGTTGTTTACTGTTTGACGGCTTGTCTAAGTTGGTAGCTCCTCGACTGGATTATTGTTTTTTGCTTGATAGTTGGTCTAGTGTGAATCTTGGCACTAGTCTCTGCTTATTTGACTCTTGATCACTGACAAGGAATTGTTTGGGTCTTGTTGTTTATTTTTGTCTCTTTGGATTGTCACTTTTGAGCCATCAACCGCCCCTCTCGTGGAAGCACTATGATACAAACAGAAAGCAGACTTAGCCCTGAGGATGTTGCCTAGTTGGGTAATAAAACGTCTGCAAGAAAACAACCATGCTCAGACAGCACCAGGGACCTGACAGTTCACGTCTAAGCTACCGATGTTCTAGTCAGCATTACTTTTAAGATGTTGGACTAAGGCACCGGAGGCCCTGATTCAAATCTCCACTCAGCCGAGGAGAACTTGAGTAATCCCCTTCTTCCAGCCCAAACCAGCTTGTAATCCGTTGCCAGATTTGAGCAAGGACCTCTTTGAAAACTGAGCTCCATATCTATGAAAATGGTTGGGTGCATGGTCCTTGAGCAAGCCCAACGCGGCTTTAATCAACTCTCAGCCAGGAAGGCACCACTCAATAGAAGCAGGCGGAGGGGTGCAAGCTCCCTGGCAAAGTGGGCAGAGCTGTTAGTACCCCTGGACAAACCGCGAGCCACGCCAAAGTTTTGATGCCACCGGGTTGCAGCTGGGCAAGACGTATGAGGGGATTTACCTTCCGTAGCCGGTGGGGGACACCCGCCTGGGTAGCAAGCTAAGCAGAAAGAGCAAAGAGAATAATTAGGTTTGAGAGAGAAAAGCAGAGACAAAGAGATGAACTCATAGCAATTAGCATACAATGAAACCAGTCCTCTGGCAGAGGGGAAGGATATTAATATAATTCAGCCGTTTTTTAAAAAAATTTTTTTTTATTTTTCCAAACTCTCCCCCATACATATACCGTGATTTAGATAGAAGGAGCAGATAAGGAGGGAGACCCAGGCGACACAGTATTGAATAACTGGAGGTTGTATAAATATTTATAGAAGTATATACCGAGAAGGTTAGATAAATAGAAGTATTAATGTAAGAGAAAATTAATCTTATTGTATATAATACTGGTAGGGAAATTTGGAGAGGGGAGTTGCTCGGACATTACCCCTGAATTGTATCTGAAGAGGGATGGGAGGGAAGAAAGGAGAGGAGAGAGAAAAGAGTGAAGGAGGGGAGAAGGAAGTAGGAAGGTTGGAGGAAAAGAGGAGAAGTGGGGAGAAAGGGGAGGAGAGTGGTGAAGGAAAGAGAAGAGGAGAGGAAGAAGAGGGAAGTAGGGAAGAAAGAGAAGAAAGGGAGAAAGAAGATAGAGAAGAAAGAGTGTGGATACGGTGAAAGGGGAAATGGGCGAGCAACACAAAAGTCATGTGTATGTATTTATTTCATTTTATTAAAAATATCTTATATATCAGTGTTTCTCAACCTTGACAGTTTTAAGGCTGTGGATTTCAACTCCCAGAATTCCACAGCCAGCAATGCTGGCTGTGGAATTCTGGGAGTTGAGGTCCACATGCCTTAAGTTTTGGGAATTCTGGGAGTTGAGGTCCGCATGCCTTAAGTTTTAAGGCTGTGGATTTCAACTCCCAGAATTCCACAGCCAGCATTGCTGGCTGTGGAATTCTGAGAGTTGAGGTCCGCATGCCTTAAAATTGTCAAGGTTGAGAAACACTGTTATATATGAATGTTAAAAGAATGTATGTTAACATCTGATAAATATCACGGTATATGTATGGATAATTCAGCCGCTTTTGATGAACAGGGAGGAGAAGCCAAGACGGCTGTACATGGTAACTGAAGCTCTGAATGAAGAACTTTGTGGAGATAATAAGCATCAGGCAGATATCACAAGGCCACGTGTTTCCCTCCCTCCCAACCGCCCACAAAGCCCACTAAGTGGTTAGCGGGAGTGGGAGCAAAACAGTCACTTGCAAGAGGATTAGTTGAAACACTTGTAAGGCCTCCAGCTTCCTTGAACTCTAAAAGCTCTGGCTGAGACTATGAAAAATCGCAATGAAGCATTGACTCCTTCTGCAAGAGAAGGACCAAGGGTGAGGTGACAGCAGTCTTCCAGTGTCTGAGGGGGTCAACCTATTCTCCAAAGCACCTGAGAGCAGGACAAATAACAGGTGAGAGAGAGAGAGCCAACCTGGAACGAAGGAGAAATTTCCTGAAAGGGAGAATAATTCATCAGTGGAATGACCTGCCTCTGGAGATTGTGAGAGCTGCAGGTTTTCCAAGAAGAGATTGGACAATTATTTGGGATAGGGTCTTCTGCTTAAGCAGGGGGTTGGACTAGAAGACCTCCAAGGTCCCTCCCAACTCCAGGATACTGTAGTCTGCCTAGGTAGTCCTCAACGTGCAACCACAACTGAGCCCAACATTTCGGTTGTTAAGTGAGATATTTAAGCGAGCTTCGCCCCCATTTTACGAGCTTTCTTGCCGCAGTTGTTAAGCGAATCGCTGCAGTTGATAAGTTAGAAACCCGGTTGTGAAGTGAATCTGGCTTCCCCTCCCCTGGCTTGGCTGGTCAGAAGGTCACAAAAAGGGGATCGCGTGATCCCGGGGATGCTGCAATGGTCATAAATATGAACCAAGCATCTGAACTTTGATCACGTGATCCTGGGGATGCTGCAAAGGTCGTAACTGTGAAGAACGGTCCTTAGTCACATTTTTGAGTGCCGTTGTAATGTTGAATGGTCACTCAACTTTGTAAGTCAAGGATTATCTCTATTCTATTCTGTTCTGTTCCGTTCTATTCTATTCTTCACTTATTCTATTTTCTACTCTATTTTCTATTTTCTATGCTATTCTCTATTCTGTTCTTCACTTATTCTATTCTATTCTATTTTCTATTCTATTTTCTATTCTATTCTCTATTCTCTATTCTATTCTGTTCTCTATTTTATTCTATTTCCTATTCTATTCTATTCTCTATTCTATTCTCTATTCTATTCTATTCTATTCTATTCTATTCTATTCTATTCTATTCTCTATTCTATTTTCTATTCTGTTCTGTTCTCTATTCTATTCTCTATTCTATTTTCTATTCTATTCTCTATTCTGTTCTTCACTTATTCTATTCTATTCTATTTTCTATTCTATTTTCTATTCTATTTTCTATTCTATTCTCTATTCTATTCTATTCTATTTTCTATTCTATTCTCTATTCTATTCTCTATTCTATTCTCTATTCTCTATTCTATTCTGTTCTCTATTTTATTCTATTTCCTATTCTATTCTATTCTCTATTCTATTTTCTATTCTATTCTCTGTTCTATTCTATTTCCTATTCTATTCTATTTTCTATTCTATTCTATATCTCTATCCTATCCCATTCCATTCCATATTTTCTATTCTATTCTATTCTATTCTATTCTATTCTATTCTATTCTATTCTATTCTATTCTATTCTATTATCCTATTCCTATTCCTATTCTGGAACTTTGCAGCTGAAGACCTTTGCAGTGGAGAGCCGTTCTTTTTCCCCTCCACCCTGTACATCCAGAGATCGGTTCACTTAGAGAAGGGCCTTTAAGCAGTGACAGCCATTCTCTCCATAATTCCTGAAGTACAGAGTGGAGTACAGACACACGAGGAGCAATTCCGCATGGGCCTTGACACGACCGTTTGCCTTAATCAGTTCCTAGGTGTCAACATACCCTCTCGAGAAACCAGAGAGCGAGTTGAACACTATCTGGTGGAGGCCCCATCAGAGTGCAGCATTCCGGAAAGCAGGCATATAAATAGCCTTAGCCAGCTATCCAACTTCTCTCCTCCAACTGGCCTATTTGAAAGCCAGACTGTGACCCTTTCATCGCGAGAAATGCCCTGCTCTTAATCCTTGTCTTCTAATGGATCCCAAAGTCCTTCTCCAAAACCAAAAAAAAACCCTCACTGGATCTCAGGGCCATCACTAGGGGTGGAAATTATGGTTGAGATCAAGTGACACTAACACACAACAGCTCCACGTTTAGGAAGAGGGAGAAGATTGTCCCGTATTTTTGCAGGTGGGGAATGACAACGGTCTCCAATCTATGTTCCGTGTGACCTCCTTGGGCATTTCTTATCTTCCTAAAAGAGCAAGCCACGTGTCCACCTGGATAGAGAGAGTCGACAGCCGTCGATCTGGCGTCAGTCCAGGGGAGACAGAGGCGATGTCATCTTGTCATACGCTTTAAAATGTTTTTTAGAAATCTGGGATTTGAGGGTGCAAGCGGGAGGCTGGGGTGAATGGGGAAGAGACAGAATGGGCTGGAATTATAGAATTCACAAACATATGAAGTTTATCACAAAAGTCTGGGTCAGTTTCTGTCTGGTTTGAAAGATACAACATCATAATAACAATAGTCAGCAGCAGCAGCAGCAGCAGCAGCAGCAGGAGGAAGAAGAGGAAGAGGAAGAGGAAGAAGAAGAAGAAGAAGAAGAAGAAGAAGAAGAAGAAGAAGAAGAAGAAGAAGAAGAAAGAGAGAGAGAGAGAAAGAGAGAAAGAAAAGAAAAGAAAAGAAAAAAGGAGGAGAAAGAGAAAGAGAAAAACAAAAAGGAAAAACAGAGGGAAGTAGAAGGAGAAGTAGGAAGAGGACTAAGAGCAAGGACCAGGTATCCTGGACTGTGTAAAATTCATGAAAATTATGCAGCCTTCAAAAACCATTTAGAAGAGATTCGTCTGTAAATATTTTTGCTTAGTTCTCTCCTTCTGTTAATGCAGCAAAAAAAAAAAAAAAACCAAAACCCAAAAACACCATCTGCTTTGCAGCCAATACATTCCTAATCCATTTTCACAGTGAACTGACTCATGATAGAGTTCCCTGCACTTTCCCACTCATTATAATCTTTTTACAGATGGTAGAAAAAATGGTGGATGCTTTCCTATTTGGAAATATAAGAAGCTTTTGCTGTGTTTTCCCCCATGGTGACTGTGTGTTTGTGTGTGGACACTGCATCTCTAAGGAGTTTCAGATACTCAGCAAGGCTCCAGCTAGGTAAGTTATGCTGTAATGGGATTAATATATCAAGCAGTTGTGTAACTTTTATACTTTTATCTTGATTTTCCTCCCCTTAATTCGGGAAAGCATACGCCCGGATTTCTGTCTGATCCTTGCTTTATCCTCTCAAAAGACTTTTAAGGTAGCCTAAGATGAGATATAAAAACTGGTCCAAGGTCATTAATGAGGCTCATAGGAACTAAATCCAGATTTTCAAACCTTACTTACTAGATTTATTTCCTACTTACTACAATATCATGATCCACCAGAGCATCGGAATGAAGCATTATATGTTAAAGACTGCTTTAATGTGAAATGTCCCTTCCAAGCTCAAAGTAGTCCCACAAACGGATCAACGCATGTCTAAGGGATGAGCCAGATCCCGTTCTTAATTCAAATAAGCCTTATAGCTTCCATCTATCCAAGAATATTTGCCCAAAAGTAACTGAGCAGAAAGTACATCATCTTAAAAAAAAAAGGAAATTCAATTCTGAAGCAAGCAAATACAATGCTAATCCATGCCTAAATTAAAATCACTTTTTGATACCATTTATCAACTGCAGACTCCTGACATGACACCAAAGCTGGTGTGTGTGTTTATGTGTGTATCCACACAGACAAATTCATGCAGGGTTTTTTGGCCCACATTTTAAAGCTGGGATGCCCTTGCCTTTTTTTTTAGGGCTGAGAGCGACTGGCTTCGTTCTTTGGAAGGATTAGAACTTGTGGGATAAGTCACCCAGCTGGTTTCATGTCTAAGGCAGGACTAGAATTCCCAGCTCCCAGTTTCTAGCCTGGTGACTATAACCACTGCACCAAAGACATTCTTTGTACGAAGATCATACGATCTACTTTGGCATGCAAGCGCCTAAACGGCCCCGTGTTTTCCTATCCTGTAAAAATGTGTGGGTTTTCCTGAAGGCACCTAGGTCAATATATGGGAAAGAGGATAAGTCACCCAGTTGGTTTCATGTCTAAGGCAGGACTAGAATTCCCAGCTCCCAGTTTCTAGCCTGGTGCCTTTAAACCACAGCACCAAAAGGGTCCTTGGCAAAGATTTGCTAATCTGCAAAAACTGATCAAGAACTTTGCCCACTTCTAGCCAAACGGATTCCTAAGTTTATCCCACCAAGTTCAATGGGATTCATTTCCTAGCAAACCACTTCAGGAAGGCAACTTTAAAGGGAAGAGCTGTTTTGGTCTTCTCAGAGTAAATCCCACCGGCGTTCAGGGTCACTTATTGTTTCCGGGCTCAGCTGGGATAGAAACATCAGCCTTCAAAAACTGTACAAAGAGCCAGGTCCAAGCTGTGCACTGCGAATTCCTTTCCAAATGATTGTCACATGAGAAAAGAAGACAAAGGGGCAGTTTCTGGGGGGAGCAGCTAATTCCAGAAACTCTTTCACGGTGTTCAGAAGACCCTTAAGACCTCAGAATGAATGGACATGTTTAGCTATGTTACCTATCTGGAGTTCTAAGAGGCTGGAAAAAAATAGGACAGTGAAGTTCACTGCTTCATTCAGCAGTATTTCTCCTCCGTCCTTCACCTTTCTCTCCCCCCCACACACACCACCATCCAACTTGGTGACTTAAGACCCACCAGCATCTGTTTCTTTGCCTCGCCCTCCTCCCCCTCCCCTTGCAAATTCAGATTGATTGTCTCCTTCTGGCTTGCTTGGGACACGCTTCGGTTTCCTTCAGGAAACGCTCCTCTTTCAACTTCGGGATCCTCCAGCCCCTTCCCTATTTCTTTAAAAGTTGGGCAAAAATCTTGCTGGGGGCGCGGGAAGGAAGGGGAGTCTTGGGACACAGGAACCGGCCCAGTGTCGTGTTTCTGGGGAAATCCTACAAGCAGCCACAGAAATAGCCCCCCTTCTTCTCTCTCTTTTTTTAAGGATTCCACCCCTCCCAACGCCGGGGACTCAGGGGTAACCTGCCCCTGCAAGGTGGGGCTCCATTCCGGCCAGTGGCCTTTCGCCCAGAGCTCTCCCGCCCGCTCGGATCGGCTTGGTCCTGCTGCTCGCTAGAGCAACGACACCAACCCGGGACTCTTGTGGCCGCGAATCCCGCAGGCTCTTCCACTGGCAGAAAGGAGCCCTGGCTCCGTCTGGGCGCCTTCCACCTGCTCTGTTGGCCGGGCCAGCGGCTTCCCAACCGCGGGCCACGTTGGGACCCTCCGGGAGGCGCGTCGCCTGCTGAGAAAGACCCCCACGAGCGCCTGGCAAGGGGCGCGGCGCCCTTTGGCTTTCAAGGGGGGGGGGACGGACGGACGGAGCTGCATTCCCCGCGGTAGCGAGCGGCGGGCCCCTTGCTCGTCCCCACCGGGGCCCCCTTCCCCCCTCCGCGGCTCCCTACCTGTTCTCGGGGCGCACGCCAAGCAGGTAGCTGCGCCTATCCGGCCGGTACTCCACCAGGGGCCCGTTGTCCTCGCCGTCGCTCCCGGGCCCGGGGCAATACCCCAAGGCAGACCCGTTGCCCGAGTGGGAGCGGCCCAGGGGCCTCCGCCGGGAGCCCATCGCCACCAGCCCGGCTGAGCAAAACAGGGGAAACGGCGGAGCTTCGTCCGGGCAGGCGCGCGCGGGCACAGGCGGCGGGGGGGGGGGTCCCCGGCGGCTCCCAGTCCGGGGGGCTGACTGAGCCGCGGGCGGCTCCGCGCAGCCCCAGCGCCGCAACCGTCAATCAGCCCGGGCTGGCCGCCACCCGGCTATTTATAGTGGGCCCACTTGGGGCCGTCACTCAGGCGGAGCGGAGGGGGCTGGGGGCTCGGCCAGCCGGCCGGCTGAGCTACCGACGGGCCCCTCGCGAGGCAAGGGAGACCATGGGGGGTGGGGTGGGGTGGGGTGGGGGGTCTCTCTGCGCCGCAGGAAGGTAGCGAGCGGTGGCCTAAAGGGGTCTTTGGTGGGGCTGGGGGAGGGGGCCGCTCTGACTTTTCCTTTTTCCGTGCGCTTGTTCCGTGGCAAGAAAACGGATCGTGCCCACCGAAGCAGGTTCAAGAGAAACAGCTTCTGAACTGGATCGCAGCGGGTCAAATAGATAAGGGAATGGCAAGAGTTGGAAGGGACCTGGGAGGTCTTCTAGTCCAAACCCCCCCCCCCGAACTAGAACTAGTGGTTCTAATGATAACTAGTGGTTATCGACCTTTTTAATGCCGCGACCCCAACCGGTCGTAAGTCGAGGACTACTCAACCGGTCGTAAGTCGAGGACTACTCAACTGGTGCAGCACCGCTTGCAGAATGGGACTTTTGGCGGGCTCAGCAGGGCAGAGACAGCCTGGACAATTCCTATTGGCTTTTGAAAGCCAATAGAATTAGACTCTATTCAAGAGAGTCTATTCTATTGGCTTTCAAAAGCCAATAGAATAAAAGGGAGTAGCACAGCTAAGGAAAAGGGGGGGGGGGAAATGGTGGACTGCGTTGTTTGGCGACCCCCGTGAAATGGTCATTCGACCCCAAATGGGGTCCCGACCCAGAGTCTTGTCCCCGCTGCCCGGCCGCCATATCCTTGGCTGCGCTGCTCTGTGCGGGCTGCGCTTGGGGGCGAATCTCCTCCTGGGGGGCTGCTGGTGAGGAGGGGGCCATGGGGGAGGCAGGGCTGGGGTGACTGCACGGGTGCCTACAGAGATGGCTCTGAGTGCCGCCTCTGGCACGCGTACCATAGGTTCACCACCACTGCAGTAGGCCATGCAATCCAGACAGCCAACGAGGTGACCAGATAAGCGTTTGGCTGTGAGATTAACGCCATTCAACCCCCCACTGTGTGAATGGAGCCAGTGGGTGGGAGAGGCCCCGAAGGAAGCGAAGGAAGGAAGGTGTTCTGCTCCTGTTGTTTTTTGTATTCTTGCATTACAATCCGATTCACCAAGACCCACTTTAAGCTGCATCATGTGCCGTGGGGTATGCTGGAGGGCTGGGCAGGAGGTCGCTTGCGTCACCACCCTGGCTAGCTGCCCTCCGTGGAGCTGCCTCTCTGGGTTCCCTGCCTTTGGCTGGTAGACTTGTACATTTTAGGACCTGCGAACGCAGCGGCATGCCGACAGGTTCTTCCCTGGCAGATTAAAAAGACAGGCTTTCTTTCTCTACAGCTTAATTGCGCGTGGCACTTTTATGAGCCGTGTCCGCCTGGTGTTAAAATTGGGGTTGAGAGATGGAGGCGATTTAAAAGTGTCCGTGCCGGCAGCAGGCATGACAAAACCCCTCACACATCAGGGAGGAATTACGCAGTTCACATGACATGTGCTTTGATCTTGCCTTGTTTCCTGCGCCGTATCAAAATAAAAACCATCCTTTATAAATTGCACCAGATAGGTTTTACAAAGCGCGTTGAGTCACACTGGAGCAAATCACATTTTGGCATGGCTTGTATAGTGAACCCCAGTCTCTGGAAAAGTTTCTTAACTCTTAGGACTCCTCTTTTGGAACCCTTAGCCTATCCTCCCCCTCTACACACACATACACAAACACACACATAACCCTGTGAAGGGCAATGGTGTCATCTTTTTGGCAGATATTTGGAGGGTATCCCAAATGGAACAGGACTGGCTTATTGTATCTTCAAGTAAGAGAAGGATTATCAACAACAGCTGGCTCCATAATATAACTGGAAGTGAATCCATACTTCAGTGTTCATACACTACAATATAAGAATATACACCACAATGCAAATACTACAATCCCTCCCTACCCCAATCTATTAACACACAATGCCTTGAACCACAAACTGAGCAACTTTAGGGGGTCCCTGGTGCTCTCTGAACTTGGTTGTTTTGTTGCAGACTTTGCATTACCCAACTAGGTAAGCAAGTTTTGGCACCGACAATGTTTCCTAGTTGAGTAATGCAATGCCTGCAAGAAAACAGCCAAGCTCAGAGAACACCAAGGACCTCTCATTTCAACCCGAAGCTACAAATGTTTACCTTTATCAGTAACTGCATTTTAATCCAACGTAGCTATACGAATCCAGCTTGAGTAAGAGTTTATAATTCAGGCTATTGTCTGAATCCAGAGAACCGAACTAACACACTAAATCATTACCGTGTGTCAGTTAGGCAGCCATATAATTTTTTTTTTAAAAAAAAAATCAGGGTGTAGTTATCTAAAGTGTGTCCTGCCTAAAACTAGCTAAGTGCTTCTCTATCTTAATTCTTCCATTGTTCCCACATTGATGGGGATGTTAAAGTGGGTTGGGGTTCCGGAGGGGCTGACGTGCATATAAGAAGAGCCCTGGAACAATTCAATCCAAGTCATCTTTTTCCAAACCAAGAATTAGCGTGTGCTGACCCCAGGTGGCAGCTGTGGGGAAAGTGGCTCACCCAAGGAGGGGCCCAGTCAATAGTAAGATTTAAGGCAGAAGGCCAAGGTCCTTCTCCGTTGGAAGGAGAGGAAGGTTCCTGAACTGCAAACTCTCACACCATGTTTAGAAGCCATGACACAATAAACAACACTGAAAACCTCTACCTGGCTATCAAGTCTTAATCGCCTCTCCTTCTTTCAGTGATTCTGTGAAAAGTATCCATGCTACCGTGCTATCTGAGATACAGAGAGAATTGGGCAGAGGAGAGGGAGACAGAGACAGAGACAGACACACACACACACACACACACACACACAGAGAGAGAGAGAGAGAGAGAGAGAGAGAGAGAGAGAGAGAGAGATTGGAAGACTAAACCGCTGGTCCAGGAAACCCAACTCAGATTGGATCCTGCAGAATTAACCTTATGGGAAATGTTGAGTGTTCCTATAAACCAAAGTGGATCAGGGAAGTTAGGAGTGATGGTTTAAATGGCCTCCTTCCAACTCTTTACCTCAGCTGACACAACACATGAAATCCTAAACCTGGGATAATGAAACCTCAAAGCTGTGTTCGCCTAACATGTTATGCCCAAAGAAACGCATAGTCCTCGACTTATAATTGGGACCAGAACTTGCAGTGCAGTTGTTAAGCAACTTGTGCCTGATTTTATGAGCTTTTTTGCCCCCCTTGTTCCGTGAGTCTAGCTTCTGACCCTTGGCTTATGAGCAGAGCAAGAGATTTTGCAGGATTGACGTCTGTAAGCCCCTCAGACAGGAAACCAGATGAGCTAATTCTACTTTATTGTAAAACAACATTTTACAAGTCTGAAAATACATGCTTCCTGTCCCCTTTACAACCCAAGGGACTAGAGAGGATCTCTTCTGAGCTTCTTGCTATGACCATATTCCAGCTGTGGGCTCACCTGGAATATGGTCATAGCAAGACCACTCCAGAGTTGCATCTCTTTGCCCTGCTCGCAAGATCACTCCCACAGATCATTATACCAAAGCAGATAAGCTCAAAAGTCTAGGAAATGACAGGTAGATTCGTGGTTGCAATCTACCACAGCCCTGTCAACGTGCATCGTTCTATCATTTGGTTTGCTCTGCAAAGGTCCCCAGTGCAGCCTATTTCTCCGGGTAAGAATGCAAAGGAAGAGGCAACCACGCGAAGAGCCAAAGTGATGGAGAATGAATTCCCGTAAGTACTGCAGTTGTCAGATAAGAAAGATTTGAGTTCAGCATGTCTATGGAGAGTCTCAGTCATCCAGGTCATGGTTGTCCCAAAGGTGTTTTTTCAGGAGGCAACTGGACTTTCTTGTTTTTCTTTGAAGACGTTTCGCATCTCATCCAAGAAGCTTCTTCAGCTCTGACCGGATGCTTGCGTTCAGGACCACGGAGAGCAACTCTGCAGCTACCAGGCAGACGTTATTCTAGCAGTGTGTCCCAGTCTTGATCATTTGCATATATATGGATTTCAGGTTCCAGAATTCTCAGCAATGGCCCTGCTGGCTTGGAAATTTTGGGTAGTGATCATGTTTATAACTTGGCCAGGACAGTCCTTTGAGAAATGAGTCCCTTTCAAGTGCTTTTAAGAACCCAAGTACACGTAGTCCTCAATTTATGACCACAATTGAGCCCCAAATTTTTGTTGTTAAGTGAGTTTTGCTCCATTTTATCAATTTTCTTCCCACAGTTGTTAAGCGAGTCACTGCCATTGTTAAGTAACTAACACAGTTGTTAAGTCAATGTGGCTTCCCCAATTGATTTTGCTTGTCAGAAGATTGCAAAAGGGGATTACATGAACCCAGGACGCTGTGACCATCATAAATATGAATCAGTGGCCAAGCGGCTGAATTTTGATCACGCGACCGCAGGATTGCCGCAACAGTTATTAAGTATGAAAAGCAGTCCTAAGTTCCTTTTTTCAGCACCGTTCGAATGGACACTAAATGAACTGTTGTAAGTCAAGGACAACCTGTAGTTGAACAACACAAGGAGTCTCCCTCTGGGACAGTTTCTCAACTGCAGCAGTCATGTGAAAAACAGTTGTAAGTCACTTGTTTCAGTGCTGTTGTGACTTCGAATGGACACTAAATGAACTGTTATAAGTTGAAGACTATATCCCATTCTTGGTGGTTCTTGATATCTCAGATGGCAAGGACTGGAAAGGTGACTTGATTAGTGCCCTGCTTTGGTAAGATTTGGTTAATCAAACATCCCACCCCTGTTAGAACCAATGTAATTTAATACATTTTTAAAATAATATTTTATTAATTTCCCAATTTTACATTTAGGTATTTAAAGAGCAACATGGTGACTGGGTTAATCAATAGTTTGATAACAAAATCTTTAGTACAAAACTCAAATTGCAACATC